GACCGGTTGGAGTCTGGATGCTGATATAGACGAGGGTAATTATCAGCATCCAGACTCCAACTGGTTTTAAAACAGTGTTTGTACCGGCCAAGCACATATTTATTGCCATTCAAAGTTACCTTTTCGGTCAAAAAATCAAAATGTTCGGTCTAAAAGTCAAAATAAGTCAAAATGATAAATGTCCAACAATTTTGTTTAAACAAAATCACTTCATGTTTTTCGAAACACCCCTATAGCTATATTATGGTATGTCCCTCTCCGAAACTAGTGGTAAACAACTCCTAATATGAAATTTGGCGTGCGCAGCTGTGCCGGCGTATTGGGAATTTAGTACATGAAATACTGACTCACTGGTAGTATTGCGCATGCCTACGTGAGGATTGTGAACGTTCAACCAATAAAACAGTCAAAGGCACCGGGTTTCATAGGAGTCCAAATTTAATGTGACACTGGAAAAGTGTTTAAGACCAGCCAGCCGGTCTTTATCTACTGTTTAAAACCGGCCACGTGACGGTCTCTCGACCAATAGGAGTGGGTAAACTGTTCCCAATCTGTACCGGAGTCAAACAGGGCTGTGTTTTGGCACCAACCCCCTTCTCTTTGTATCTTGCCGCTGTTCTGCTCCGCATCGAGGGATCTCAACGTGACCTCGGAGTTCGGCTCCGGTATCGGTTTGATGGCAGCCTTTTCAACTTGTGACGCCTGAAAGCCCGATCAAAGACCTCTGAATTGACCATCTCCGAACTCCAATATGCTGACGACAACTGTACCCCAGCCTCCTCCCTTGCTGACCTTCAAGTTGCCACCGACGTCTAGGTGGAAGCTTAGGAGAGTGCAGGCCTGGCAGTCAACGTAGGAAAGACAAAGCTGTTGGCCCAAACACACCCTGCGTATCCACTCGAACCTATCGAAGTCTGCATTTATGGTGACACTGTTGAGCAGGTCCTTCGGTTCTGTTACCTTGGCGCCATGATCAACAACACTAAGGATCCAAGTGATGACATCAACAACAGGATTCGCTGTGCTTATCAAGCCTTCGGTAAGCTTTACCAACGAGTCTTCTCTTAACGTGGCTTGACTTCGCAAACCAAGATCAGCGTCTATAAAGCAGTTGTTTTCCCTACTTTTCTCTACGAAAATCAAGACCTTGGAACGGTTTCACCAGCAGAAGCTTCGGCAATTCCTTGGAATCAGCTGGGAAGAACGGGTGACCAACAACTCCATTCTGACTCGTGCAGGCCTCCTCAGTGTGGAAGCACTCGTCGCCAGAAACCAGATGCGTTTCCTTGGACATCTCCAGCGCAGGAATGACTCGTCCCTTCCAAAGCAGACTTTGTATGGAGAACTTGCTGAGGGTACAAGGCCACCTGGAGGACCCAACAAGCGACTGAAAGACCAGCTCAAGCAACTTCTCCTGAAGACCAAGACCCCCATCAACACCTGGGAGGCTCTGGCAGTGGACCGACCATCCTGGCGCTCCACAGTCACCAGTGGCGTCCAGAGACTTGAAGCTGATCGCGCTCAAGTTGCAGATGAGAAATGACGGCAAAGGCATAGACGTCTCCTTCTATCTCAACCTCCCCCGACTCTGCCGTGTCCGGACTGCCCCCGACTCTTCCGCTCTCATCTCGGTCTTCACAGTCACCGCCAAGCCCATCGACGGAAAGGTGCCCAACGTGAAAGAGGAAGAAAATGAGGCAGATAAATCCTCGATAACGAGGCTGCCATGATGATGATAGCTCAATTATGGTATGTCCCTCTCGCGACTAGTGGTAAACAACTCCAAATGTGGAGATTAGCGCAGAACGCAGCTGTGCCGGCGTATTGAGAATTTAGTACATGTATATGAAATACTGACTCACTGGAAGTATTGCGCATGCCTACGTGAGGATTGTGAACGTTCAACCAATAAAACAGTCAAAGGCACCGGGTTTCATAAGAGTCCAAATTTTATGTGACACTGGAAAAGTGTTTAAGACCAGCCAGCCGGTCTTTATCTACCGTTTAAAACCGGCCACGTGACGGGCTCTCGACCAATAGGAGTGGGTAAACCGTCTTAGGTATTTATAAATATCATTTAAATAAACTTTAAGTTGCATTGCGGGTATTTGTAAAGGCTGAATCAAAGCGAGGTTTAAAATAACTTCAACATAAAAGGTAATGACGGCTGAATGGAGAGTCGAGACTATGCCTGGGTCATACTATAAAACTTGGGTCCACTTTCTTGTCCCTGTTTATACATCTGACGTATACGATTTTGTAAATTCTGGATGCCTCCTTAATGCCCAGGAGTGATCAAGTAAACTACCTACCCAATACATTGGAATAGTTTGAACTCACTTTTAATATTTGAATGGCAATTAATATCACACTTTGGACCTAAATTTAAATAACCCAAATCGTAATAGAGTCAACCAAACTGGAGATGGAAGAAAAGATCGACGGACGCTTTTTATTTTTTTTTATTTTTTATAAATGGAAGGCTCTATTCCTACCTCCATGATTCTACAGAAATATCACTAAAAAAAAAAGGTTGCTGAAGTCTCAATTAATTCTTGTAGATTTCTTTATTTTATTACAACTTTGTTTTCACATTATCATGGGGCAAAATACCATTCAATACATATAGTATGCCGAAACAGGCCTGATTTAATAACTCCTCTTCATAGGGGTACACTGAACAGGAACTATTGATACCAAACACATAAAAGTCAGGCGTTCTATAATGTGCGTTAATGTCCAACAAATTCACATTTCTGGGTACCGTGGGGCATTAATTCATTTACGATTTCTACCATCGGAAAAAATTGTGATAATATGGAGGTCAATGAATATTGTGTGTCGACACTAAAAATGTCCGAAGTGAAAAAAAAAACCCAAAAAGAAGAAAATAACAGAAAAAGATTGAGACTGCATTAAGTGCGTTTCACATAAATTAGTATTTACATTTTTTTTTTTACTAAATCACAAAAGTAACGAAACCAGTGAAAACACAACGAACTACTTGCGTTCAATTATGGCTCGTCGTTCATTGTTTAAAAACACTGACTGACACAATGGAAATGTCATGATTAAACAACTAACTAACACTCTCTGCGATATGTGACATTTCGAAATGCAATGGAAGCAGAAACTGAATATACATTTTCTAACTAAAAGCAAGTCTACAAAAGAAGATGAACAAGATATGCATAACATCGATACAACATAATATAATATTCAACATCATAGGATGTGTGAACCGCATTATAAAAAGAAAGTCAGTTAAGAAGTATCTTGTCAAATTGCTATAGACGAAAACAGTCACAGTGGATTCTGATATGGAAATGTTTCCCCAAACAATACAATTCAAACATCAATATTTCCCTCGCGAAATACAACATAACCCCCCCCCCCAAAAAAAAAAAAAGGACAGAAAAATTACCAACCAGCCAGCTGACGGACCAACCAACAAGTATACGCAATACAGGGAAATTAAGACTGACTACCTCCCATATTTCTAACTGTAGTCACAAGATTTCAATAATCATAATTTGTTACTACCACCCCCCCCCCCCCAAAAAAAAGGCATCAACACCCACCGACCTGGCGGGTAAGCATTGTATTTATTATAGGTACAGGATCACTTGCTTTTTGCGCATTTTAATTTTTGTTTGAAGCAACATAATTGTTCGAAATCTGAAGTAGGGCGCCCAACAACTAACGTGGAATTGTCAGCTCTGTGGATACTCTACATTCCGAGAAAAAAAGATGCAAGCATACGCACAGAGTCTGTTAGGCGGTCTCGTGACTTGCTCCCACTGCGGGAATGTTTTTTTAAAACCAACTTCAATTATTGGTTTCTAATGGATGATATTATTTCAGGCGCACTTACTGCACAGGGGGTTTGGTACCATTCCTATCTTCAGTTTTAGCAAGGCTTTTGTTTATTATTAAATCGGGAGGATCGGGTAATAACGGCATTCCAACGTGATTTTAAAATAGCATGTGTACCCCTTGTATAATCGATTTTAAATTGTTTTGAAAATTGTTACATTTGTTGTTTTAACAGCATACAGTCCGAATGACAACCAATGTCATGTCGCTTAACACATGCTGTTAAAACAACAAATGAATCATCGATTTTAAACGTTTTGATAGTTTTTACATTTGTTGTTTTAACAGCATAAAGTCCGAATGACAACCAATATCATGTCGCTTAACACATGCTGTTAAAACAACAAATGTAAAAATTGTCTACACAATTCAAAATCGATGACGCGGGGAAGGACATGCTTTTTTAAAATCACGTTGAAAACCCGTTAATTACCCGGTCTTTAAAGGGAATACATGTATACAACATTTGCAAACATCGAAATATAAAACTACCAAGTTTTTACGAAATACCTTACTAGGATGTTGGTAAATGACGGTCAAAAGCATCCTGTAAATTTATGGCACCTGGTGTGAAGTCATTTTCAAGAAAATGGTATTTTTGTATACATTTCCAACTATTTTTCAACTACTGCTCCAAATTTACAATTTTTTTTCAGTCCAAATTTGGTTTGCTATTGGTTACATGTTCATTAACGGGTGCAGGCCAGCTAGACTTGTTCCCTTACCCTACAATTTTCCGGCATCTGGAAATTGATCCATTTTATCTTTAGTGGAGTCAGGGAACCAGACTACTTGAACATTTTGTTTGTCTTGGTTTTTCAAGCATTGTCGAACAAAAAACTTCAAACATGTCAGTGTAACAAAATTTGATCTATTATACTAACCCCTCAAATAGTTCATTTCTGAAAATTACAGCAAAAGCCAATGATGTACATTCCCTTTAACGACCTTCCAATATGCCTTTAAAATAGCATGTCTTCCCCGCATCACCGATTTTAAATTGTTTTAACGATTTTTACATTTTCTGTTTTAGCAGCATATGTTAAGCGAATGACAACCAATTAAAAAGAAAATCCTACTACCGGTACATGTATCTAAAAACATGGTAGAAAATATTCATTTAAAAAATGAATTTATTTAGCACAATAACACAAAGTAATCATAAGTACTGGTGAGCTGATAACACCAATATTATACAGGCATCCACACTAACTAAAATACCCGGACATTAAAATGTACTTTCATAAAAACGTTATTTGTCCGTCATCGCGGAGGGATATTCTATTCAGCATAGAAAAATGCAGACACATTTACATATTCAACTAAAAACATTGGCCTAAAAATATTGAGAGAGTGCATTTCAGAAATGTTTAGAGTAAACTCTAGGGAATTTTAAGCAAAAAGCATGAATACCAAGTTAAAAATAAAGTCACATTTTCACATGCATTAGATGCGATCTACCAACACCTCCCCACAACACAAATGATTAGTAAGATTTTTGTTTAATAAAAATGCTTGTTTACCCAAATTGGTTTAAATTTTAAAAAGTTTTTTTTTTGCATAATCAAGACCAAAATTACAAAATTCTACACGTACCTCCCCTTTCGTTTATTCATGGACTTTTTCATGTCCTGCTTTAGGGAATGAACATATTAATTTATTAGCTTAATTTGTAATTACGGGTTCCAGGTCTTGTACAAGCTTATGCTTTTTACCTGGGTCCCTCGTATCATTTTTTTGTCATTATTCCCGTTTGTTATTTTCTTTGTGCTATGATATGAAAATAAACCATAACCATAACCACGAAGTCCTGAAAACTGCATCAGTTTAATATGTTTTACCCCTCAAGATGGGTTCATTTCAGAAAGATATCCGACGTGCACTGATGCCTACAATTTAAGATATTCAAGACATTTCAAATACCAAAAACACTATCAATTCAACAAAACACCACACCTTTGTCATTTGTTGACAATTACACCGATGAGTGATTACAATTAGTACATGCAAGTTACAATGATAAAAAACACCTGTCACATCAAACCGGCCAACACATTATCAAAAATACTCTCCGACTGTTCAATCATATCGCTCATAATTCATCTCCCCTGTGGAGATAATAAAATATACTCAGTTTTTTTTGTTTCCATTTCATAATTATTTTTTTAATGGACCAGGACAGAAGTGGTAACGATTTCAGTATGACATTAGTTAAGAAAACGAATGACAACAGATGTTGCACAAGCACATCCACACAATTATCAAACAATTGTACTGGCATTCACTTTCACATGCAGACCGAGAAACACAAAGGTGACAACAGGCAAATTCTCTGAATCCTTTGTTCTGAGTACCACAATACCAAGTATAATAAATTGACTTGTTATACCACGGTAATAGATTGTAATATGTAAATTGTGTTCCCGTGCAATGAAAAAAATCATCCTGTGCGAATATTCACGGTGATCGCAGGATTTTTTTCAAAATAATGCTTCCGCGATTACTGCAGGGCAACTGGAGGAAACCCACAATTTCAGACGCTTGGACGCTATTACCGTGGTATAACAAAACAATTGTTGCCTGCCGTGATTGGGGTCCATGGGTTTTGTACACCCTCCGGGGTGCAAATGGCACCCTCGGATGTACAAAAACACCATGGACCCCATCACAACAGCCAACAATTGTATAATGCTTCTCAATACAAAGGGAACAATCGCCTAAATAAAGTCGTTTGTTCTGGGTACCACAATGGACTCACAAGTACCCCCTCAACGGTTATAAAGGGAGAGTGGGGGAGACCACTGGGAGGGACTTTCAAACGCATCCTCGAAGGGGCCTGAGGCTTACTCCAAGACGCTACAGATTTATACACCTTCAGAATACATGGAAGTTGTATGTACTTCACGCCATACACTGTGTCCCTCCCGATGGGACTTTCAAATGTGGTCATCAAGTGGCAAACGCTGTCTACTTTCTTCCACAGAGTCCTTTCAAGTATGATCAATGATCAACACACTCTCACTACCTCCTTTTTAAAATTCAAATTGAGCACAAATGACGCAATGTATGAGTGGGTCGTGAACAAAAAATATCGTCATACATTGAGTATTTTGCAAACTGAGTGACTAACTGATGCTACAAATGCGATATTTCTATTAAAAAAGAAAAGAAAAAGGAACAATCTTGAATGTTATAACAATCACAAGTACCCATTTTTAACTAATGGAACACCCAGGGAATATCTCACACAAATATATATGGTTACGTAAAAACCTATGAATCAGTAAAACGCTATGTACAGTTTCGGGTTAATCTGCCACTTTTTGTACACTCGTTCCACAATCCTTTTTTTGGAAATTTGAAGGTTAGATTGTCAGCTTAAGGCAAGATTTCTTATTTGGGAGTTCAAAAAATCAATAAAAATCAAATTAGGAGTTGATTAAAATCTCTGGGATAAAGGATACTGTTATTAAGTTAGAGAGTTGTGCCAACAATACATTTAGGCAAATTAAAAATGACTACTTTTTTTTTTAACACCGATGACTGCCTTTCTTAACACAAGAAAGTGGCAACCTCAGTGAATATATGTTCTAAAGCATTTGGTCTGGCATAAGATAGTATTCAAATAATGAATGTTTATGAGTGCAATGGTAAGAATAATTATTCTTTCCATTGCACAAATGTTGAACAATGCTAAAATAAAGCCTCGTCATCTGATTGGTAATTTGTAAACTGGTACTTTGAATGTACAGCATCAGAGCTGTCTGAAAGCGCAACCAAAAATGTTACCGTGCGATGGCAGTTCTATTTACCCTGGAATGGCACTTTTTTCTTTACGGTGCGGCCGCGCCATGCAGTGGTACCAGTAGTTCAAGACATGTGCTCCATGACCCACCACTCAGATGACGGGGATTTATTCAGGTGTTGTACAATAGGGCCTACTCCATACAGTGTAGCTCACTAAATGGCAGTTATCTGCACATATGCAGTCAGTGCGCAGCCTACTCGATAATGAGCCACACAGCGAGATTTTATTTGCAGCGCGTGGACGGTCTCGGACCGTTCGAGACTACACGAGGTTTTGCGAGTGTTCGGTGGTACCCCTGGATAAAGGGACAGGAAACCCGTTTTGTAGCAGAAGCTGACTAAAATGGAGTGGATTCTGAAACTACGATAATTTCTGCGTCGATTGAAACCATTTTTGGCTGATTATTACAGGCTTAAAGTTATAAATAAGCGATGTGAAATGAGAGGTGATTCTTGAACATTTTCGACGATGCCTGTACTTTTTTGGTGCTCCTGACTGTTTTGGGATATTTGGGGACATAATTCGTCACTTTCTGGTAAGTTGAAGAGTTACGCTTTCGAACCATACCATTCCCATCTCTGCAGGTTCTACCGCCGATTTTTAATTTGATACGAAATATTTGCGAAAATTGCATGATTGCAGTCGCAATGTGCGATTCGAATGACGTCATACGTGTATTTTGTGTACGGGTTGTGTGTACTGTGTGCGTGTTTTGTGGGTGCATTACCACCGATGTCGACAATAGGTTCCTACCCGTTAGTTTTGCATGTCGAAAGTACGAACAATGTTTATACTATACGATTAAAAATCAGATTTGTTTTTTTGAATTCATGAAATTAAACAGGCATCACTCAAGATTGTCCTTGTCGGTCAATTCATGTCAGTCATAAAATATGAAGAACAATTCTTTTCTGGTACTGTTTTCAGATCTTGCGGTGGGGATGGGATTTTTTGAAGTAGTCGCGAAACAATTCCTTCCTAAATAAATCAGCAAAAAAATACATGTAGATTATTACTTAGATTTGTTTTCTCTCTTTCTATTTTCTTACAGGCCAAGTACGCAGAGTGATTGACCCTTTTCCCTATCAAGACTAGTTGAACACAACACCTGAACTTGCAGACAGTTCGCAACTATTTCAATGGAACTTTATTTACCATGAAATGAAACTTAATGCTGCGACCGGATAAGTGTTGTTCAAACCCGACCAGAAACCGACCAAACTTGCTTAAACTGACTTTCTGTTAGGTCGCCATAAGTTTGTCCATCAGTTTAGTCGGGCCAGGTTGGTTTCGGTATTGCGTTTTAAGTCTTCTAATTGTGTTGAGTCAGTTTAACCCGAAATAAACCCAAACAGGAAGAAATGTTGCAACCTGAGGCCACTTTTTTTCATAAATTTCCAATGTTGTTAGAAAATATTTAAAATTGTCTAGACTCTACATAGACTTTGTACACAATCATGGAAGTGGCGTCAGGTTGCAACATTTTTTCCGTTGGTTTTCCTTAAATGTTTGTCGGGTCAGATCAGGTTGGTTTTAGGGAGTTCAAATTGGTTTCCGTTCGGATTCCGGTTTACAAAATAATGTTTCGGGATGGTTTGGCCTGGTCAATCTGACCGGACACATCACTAGACCGAAATCCTTATTTTTTGCATGCCTAAATTCAAAGACGTGTTGTCAACAACCCACAAATCAGGCATCGAGGATTTTCATGGCATGTTGTATTCAGATCATGTATAAAAAGAACCCTGAAGAATCAATTCAATCATTGCTGAATTTCCACTTTTCTTTTTTTTCAAGTAAGTCATTTTGTGAGTGTGCTGTATATTTAAAAAACAAAAATATGATGAAAATGTCTGCAAACAGCTTTACACTGCACTCTAAACAAAGCTTGTAAAGATTGTAAAGATTTGTGTAATTGTTTGCATATTTAACAATTATTGCCGAGGAATGGAGCAGTTCAATGGCCTTGTTATTGTCTTAGAATGAGTTGCTTGTGGGCAAGCTTGGGTAGGGAATTTATTTTATAATCTCATGAAATATAGCAAGAAAGTGTACACATGTACATCCTAGAGCGAGCATTAGTAACCTCGCACTTTGAAGAAAGTTTGGCTTGCATGTATTTTTAAGTTCATTTTTTTAAAGTTGCTTTATATTTATAATTAAGTCATTCTATGTTTTCAGAAACTTTCTATTGTAAGCAATGTTTGTAAGTGTAAGTGGTTCAAGTTTCCAGGGTTTTAGTAATATGTTAACTCACTGATGTAATTATTAAATCCAGCTCAAAAGTATGTAACTTTGCACTCTGATTTTATGATTAAATCGTTTTCCAGAATTTCAGTCATGAAAAGAGACATGCCTTTGATTATTTGTGTTTATATTTTCATGTTCATATAGTCATACCCATTGTTTTTTGTGTTTATATTTTTCATGTTCATGCACATTGAAACTGTCAACAAACAAAAAGCATCTAGAAAATGGGAGACATTATTGCCAAAAAATAATAGTTTATTACATGAATCTTAAATCATAACGGTCTAGAAATAGGAATAGCATTGAAAGTATATTACTTTCTTGCGTTGAAACTTTGAGAGAGGACACATCGCCAGTTTATATTCTATAGTCGGGCACATTGAGTTCGAGATTATAAGATATCCATAAGCACGCATAGAACGGCGTACCCGACATACGGAAGACCCGTGTGCTGTTACGTGATTGGTCAAAACGCGTGTTGGTTGCGGGTCTTGCCCAATGAGGAATGTACACTCGTGCTGTGCGGCGCTTACACGTGCTTCCAGAGTGATTTTGTTTTCGTATCCTGAACGTTCAGAATGGCCGTAAATTTTGCGTGCTCCTGACTGTTTTGAGTACTTACACGATTCATGGTTATGATAATTGGTGAATTTAATAACAAAGCTTCTCATCAAACTGTAAAATGATTCTGCACGGTTTCGTTTTATATAGAAAAAAGATGGTTTTCGCAAACCGAAATTTCTCGACAATTTCAGTAAAACTTTCATCCTCATATTTCTTAAAATATTTTATGAAAATTTTAGAAATCTCATTTCACAGTTAGGCTTAAGTATTCTCTACTATATTTGTGAGTAAAAACTTTCTTTTAAAGACTAGTTATCAAAAAAATGAATTTTCAAATGTGGTCTCCCGATCTCATGAATATTCATTTTACCAAGCGAGTTATGCATACGCTGCAAATAAACGCAAGCACTTTTCCGAACCCTGCGCACTGACTGTATGTTCTGTACTACAAAATGTGGTATCTTAAGCCATATTACAGGAAATGTCTGGTATGTGTTATGGATTAGAATGTCACATCCAGGCTCTACTGTATGCACTTGGCTGTCGGTACGAGAAGGGTATTTACAACATTGAAGCTTTATAGCAAGGAAATTGTCACCTGTGGTCACTTCGGAAAAATACTTGGTTTACGACGGCATCAATGCTCAAACATTCAACTAAAGTTTCCATGTTTCAAAGCCTACTCCGGACCTTACTGAAGCAGGCTCTACACCACAAAGTGTACAGTGCAACCACTGTAATGCCAATATCTTTCTCCCTAACCCTCAAGGTTTCACTTGAGTTATGCAGAATCGTGTTGAATAGAGTACCGAAATTTAGAACCAGAAAGTGTAGTGCAAACGAATGGAGTACACACGCGTGTTGGTTCACGGGCTGAATCACGCGCTAATGTCTTTTACACACACATTGTGGGCGTGATGTATTCGCTTCGGTACTCTACTGAGCATGGTTAGAGTTAAAGGTGTTGGCATCGCAGCCAACATCACCCAGTTACCAAATGCCATGCAGCTGCTGCATTGATTATAGGATTTCAAAATACTGACCACCGCTGTCTAGCAGTGCAGTTTGCTTGATTAAAATGTATGATCACTTTGTATGAATTGTTGTTAAAAAAAAAACAGAAACGAAAATAAAGAGGAAGGTTACATCAGCCAACCTGAAGATTCTAGCAATACCATACCGCTCTGTGGGTCCGAAATCACTGCCAGGGGATGCATTATGGGACTGTCACTTGCATGGCTGTTTGCTCTTCTATTCATCGTCATCATCATCATCATCATCATCATAGTCGTCTCCATCGTCATCTTCGTCGTTGTCGGCCATCTCCTCATCATTGGTCCCTGTCCCTTGCTCCTCCTTGTATTCTACCACTGAGTAGTCATCTGGGTCTTCCCCTTCTTGCTCCGCCTCTTGCTTGGCCTTCCCCTTGCACTGGACCAGGTAACGTAAGCTGACCTGGCTGGTCTTGTACACCACGTATTCATTGTAATCAAAGAAGCAATAAGTTGCCTGGTTGTGTACAAACTTGCCCAGTGGAATCACCGCACCTGTTGTCAATGAGAAAATGCACATTCTTTTTACCAGATCGAGTCCATTGCAAGTCAATCACAGGTCAAACCACAAGTCAAGTAACAAACAACAGGGCATGAACACTGCCAAGGGAAATGCTAAATCCATGTAAAGCATAATCAGTTTACTAGTGCAGTACTCACTCCATCAGATTCCAACAAACCCTGGTGTTGGAGTTTGGCTGGATGGGGATTGTAGGGTTAATCAAATAAGATGGGGATATCCAAGGGAAACAATATACATTTTGTCACTATTACTATTATTATTTGACCTTGCAGATCAAAATAATACATGTACAGTGCAAAAGCAAATCAAACTATCAAAGATGCGAGGTGATATAACATCATAACGAATAAGCACGCCAAAGTTACACTTAAAACAAACATAACCAGGAGGGCAACTAGATGAGGGTCGAGAGTATGTGAGGGCATGATGCCAGAATGTTACAGCAAACAGGGACTACACCGCAATAATCTAACAATACTACATTCCAAGATGTAAAGAAGTAAAACTGCTGCAAACTGCTTACTGACTGGATGGACCTGAAATATATAAATCTTAAAATTAATGTGGCCTGACGTTGCGAACTTAGCAAGTTCTTCTTCAGAGGCTAGAACAGAAATGACAGAGGTACATACATTAACATGGGGATGCACACAAACATGCAGGGCTGAAAGAATAAACACAAAAGGAGGATTAAGTGGGAAAGGTGTAGAAAGATGCGGGGGAGGGTGGATGAGAGAACAAGGGGTCTGGTGTGAACAGGGGAGGGACCAGAAAGGGGAAGGATCAAAGATCACAGGGAGTGGGAACGGACAAAAGAGTGTGAGAGTGAAGGGATGATGCGGGGGGGGGGGGGGGGGGGGGGGGGGAGAGACAGTATGGAGGTGGAAAGGGATGAAAGATGGGGGAAGATGGGTAAACACAAACAAGGAAGACCAGATGGATTATCTGTAACAGAAGACAATGGAGGAAAAAAAGGATTAATCATTTCCAAGTTGGATGTTGAGACCATGTGGTTGAATAGTTCGAAGACGATTCATCCACACTTTCTCTCTACTGAGGCGAACTGAGTCCTTGCGATGGCCAAGAGATTCAATGCCCTGCAAAATCATATCAGAAATGGAGTGGTTATGCAGGTTGAAGTGATGACCAACAGGGGTGTCTAGTTTCTTGGTGTTGACCGTTGACCGGTGGGCATAGAAACGCTTCTTGAGCGTATTCTTAGTCTTAGTCTCACCTACATACTGCACTCCACAGACCCTGCAAGAAATGAGATATATGACATTAGAGGTGTTACAAGTGATGTTACCAATGGTTCTGTGGGTAGTGACAGAAGAGTGGCCAGAAAAGGAGTCAGACTCCTGGATATGAATCTGGCAGACAACACATCTGGAACTGCACTTGAAAGTACCATGCTGGGTGGGAGGGGATGCATCTAAGGAAGGGACTTCAGCTCGAACAATCAAGTCCCGTAGATTTCGAGGACGCCTGTAAGCCAATGTGGGGCCGTTGGGGATGGCGCGGGCAAGGCGATCTGAAGTGTGGATGATATGATGATTGTCATTAGTGATTTTGCGAAGGGGAGGGAGATTGGGGTGAAACGTGGTAACCAAGGGAATCATGGGTTTGGCCATGGCATCAGGGGCCTTTCCCGTGAGAGCTAGATTTCTGGGGATCTGTAACAGAAGACAATGGAGGAAAAAAAGGATTAATCATTTCCAAGTTGGATGTTGAGACCATGTGGTTGAATAGTTCGAAGACGATTCATCCACACTTTCTCTCTACTGAGGCGAACTGAGTCCTTGCGATGGCCACGAGATTCAATGCCCTGCAAAATCATACTACATTCCTGTTGCAAGGAAGCATGCTGTCCCACACACAGTAAGACAGAGAAACTAAGGCTAAAAAAAAAAGTTTCCGGTTTCTGGTATGCGCGCGCGTCGCCGTAGCCATGCGCGTCGGCAAAATGAAAACGTTTTTTTTTTTCACTGAAAGATGAACAATACTACATTCCTGTTGCAAGGAAGCATGCTGTCCCACACACAGTAAGACAGAGAAACTAAGGCCCCCCCCCAAAAAGTCTCTGGTTTCTGGTATGCGCGCGTCACCGTAGCCATGTGCGTCGGCAAAATGAAAACTTTTTTTTTTTCACTGAAAGATGAACAATACTACATTCCTGTTGCAAGGAAGCATGCTGTCCCACACACAGTAAGACAGAGAAACTAAGGCCCCCCCCCCCAAAAGTCTCTGGTTTCTGGTATGCGCGCGCGTCGCCGTAGCCATGCGCGTCGGCAAAATGAAAACGTTTTTTTTTTCAATGAAAGATGATGTCTCAAACCGCCAAACGCACTGGTTTGACTGGAATCCTGCTGCTGCACCATTTTAACGTGCTTTTAGATGGGGTTATGATCGAGAATAAGCTTTATGTGGCCTCTCTGGACTCCCACATATTTGCAGGAAGTTTAGTCGGGCACCATTTGCAGTTATCAGCCGACATTTGAAGCAAAAAAAAAAAACAGGTAAAAAAAAAAAAAAAGCCGCGTCGCCGCACCACTTTTTGGGCAAGCTCCATACCAGAAACCGGAGACTTATTTTTTTTGGCCTAAGCAACACATAATAGTGCAAGTACTAGCCGCAGGTGAAACCCATGGACTAGATTACTACTCTGTCAGATCCTAAGGTTGAACTAACTGTCAAGGATTGGTATTGTTTACCTGATGGTATGAGCAGGTCTCTGTTGTACTTGTACCTATGGTTGCCACGGCCCATGACGCTATCGTAGCCTAGCTTCAACACTTTCAGACCGTCTTGTTTAGGATTGGTAATCATCTTGCCAAGGGCAACCTTCCAAAAATGCAGAGAAAATAGAATCATCAATCCCATCTGCAAGTAGTTCTGAAGTAACCAGGATAGAGCCTAAACCTGGTTGACTCTATCTTAGTTCTGATATAACCAGGTGCAGCGTAAACCTGGTTGACTCTATCCTAGTTCTGATAGGACATGGACAGAGCCAAGACCTGGTTGACTCTGTCTTAGTTTTGTTAGAACCAGGACACAGCCAAAACCTGGTTGACTCTATCTTAGTTCTGTTAGAACCAGGATAGAGCCAAGACCTGGTTGACTCTATCCTAGTTCTGTTAGAACCAGGATAGAGCCAAAACCTGGTTGACTCTATCCTAGTTCTGATAGGAAAAGGACACAGCCAAAATCTGGTTGACTCTATCTTAGTTCTGTTAGAACCAGGATAGAGCCAAGACCTGGTTGACTCTATCCTAGTTCTGTTAGAACCAGGATAGAGCCAAAACCTGGTTGACTCTATCCTAGTTCTGATAGGAAAAGGACACAGCCAAAATCTGGTTGACTCTATCCTAGTTCTGTTAGAACCAGGATAGAGCCAAGACCTGGTTGACTCTATCCTAGTTCTGTTAGAACCAGGATAGAGCCAAAACCTGGTTGACTCTATTCTAGTTCTGATAGGAAAAGGACACAGCCAAAATCTGGTTGACTCTATCCTAGTTCTGTTAGAGCCAGGATAGAGCCAAGACCTGGTTGACTCTATCTTAGTTCTGTTAGAACCAGGACACAGCCAAAACCTGGTTGACTCTATCCAAGTTCTGTTAGAACCAGGACAGGGCCAACACCTGGTTGACACCATGATAGAGCTAAGACCTGGTTGACTCTATCTTATTTCTGTTAGAACCAGGACACAGCCAAAACCTGGTTGACTCTATCCAAGTTCTGTTAGAACCAGGACAGGGCCAACACCTGGTTGACACCATGATAGAGCTAAGACCTGGTTGACTCTATCTTATTTCTGTTAGAACCAGGACACAGCCAAAACCTGGTTGACTCTATCCAAGTTCTGTTAGAACCAGGACAGGGCCAACACCTGGTTGACACCATGATAGAGCTAAGACCTGGTTGACTCTATCTTATTTCTGTTAGAACCAGGACACAGCCAAAACCTGGTTGACTCTATCCAAGTTCTGTTAGAACCAGGACAGGGCCAACACCTGGTTGACACCATGATAGAGCTAAGACCTGGTTGACTCTATCTTATTTCTGTTAGAACCAGGACACAGCCAAAACCTGGTTGACTCTATCCAAGTTCTGTTAGAACCAGGACAGAGCCAAGACCTGCTTGACTCTATCCTAGTTCTGTTACAACCAGGATAGAGCCTAAACCTGGTTGACTCTATCTTAGTTCTGTTAGAACTAGCATAGGGCCTAAACCTGGTTGACTCTATCCTAGTTCTGATAGAACCAGGATAGAGCCTAAGACAGTTTACCCATTTCTATTGGTCAAGAGCCCGTCACATGGGTGGTTTTAACCGCTAATAAAACACCAACTGGTTTTAAACATTCCTGCACCACTACGTGTGCGAGGCAAATACCATAGAAATACCAAGAGGTATTTTTTTCCCCCAAAAACATGAGGTAAAATTGATGAACAAAATCGTTGCAAATTTGTAAATGTTTGACTTGTTTTGACTTTTTGATCGAAAGGTGTGAATGGGAATAAATATGCGCTTTGGCCGGTATTAAACAAGTTAGTTTAAAATCAGCTAGGGTCAGCCGGTATTAAACAAGTTAGTTTAAAATCAGCTAGGGGCCTGATCACGGATGCTCCTAGCTGGTCTTAAATGTACTTGTTTAAAACAGGCCCAGCACATATATATACTCCCTCATTACTTAAGTGGCATCCCACTTGTGGGCAGATGCACTGGTGCTCTGTCTACCAATAGGGTTCGTGCCGAAATGTGAAGATGCTTGAACTCATAAGAAAATGTGCAATACATGCCCTTGCATTCTAATTGTATCTAACAGACCAACCCTAACAGTCCTGAATCCTCCAATTTCAATACGATTTTGCACACCCCCTAGGGAGTTAGGGCTTTTAGTCTGCAACATGAGCCAAGCTTAAACTGGCATGAACAGTAGCTCAGTGGGTAGGATCCCAGACCTGTAAATAGATGGTCAGAGGTTCAAATCCAGATACTGGGCCTGTGCTGTATCCCTGGGCAATCCACTTTAACATTACTTTTCTCTTTTCCTCACCTGACAGCTATGTGCCCTTTAATGCCCCTAGCAACTTTACGAGTAGATTTTGAGGTAATACCCAACTGTATTATGTTTACAGTGTTTTCAGATTAACGTATGACGGTGATAGTGATATCAGCTCAAAACCATCAACATATTAACTCATTCTGGCAAACTGTTTTCATTTTAGTTCCACGACAATAAAACAAGAACAGACTTAGGCATCAAAGGAAGTAAAGTTCAAACTTATCCAGGATTATACACGAAATTCCCAGCAATGTTTATGAAGCTATACATTTTTTACCTGCAACCTTTTTGAATGTCTTTTATAAGTTTTAACGCAATTTGAATGCCCCCTTTTTAAAGTAAGATAAATTGATTGCAACACAATCTGTAACAATAATATGTATTTCTCTATATAGACAATTTTCTTTAGTCAAATCTGTATGCACAATGTTTAAACCTTTTCTAATATTTGTATTTAATGTCATATTTTGTTTTTTAACTCGGTAGGCCTTTAATTTTTTTTAAAATGTATTTTTTTTAAAATGTAAATCATGTGCAATTCAGCTGTGGCTGCTATTCGTGATTTGTTAATAAACCATGTTGAATGAATGAATGAATGAAGGTATTTATATACTGTTTTACCTTAAGGAGCATTTTGAGAAATGCTGCCCCATTCCAAAGACAGTTAAAGCCAAATGTATTTTCAGAATGGCTGGCAGAGTTGATTTAATTACTTTTTTGTGACTGATATGAAATCATTCATATACAGCAATCATAATGTGATCGTCCCCATCCAAGACGTTTAAGTATTCAAAACATAGCACAACTACGCCAAGTTAGGTAAAATCAAATGGAAGTACAGTGTAGAGTTGCATAGCAAATTTGTTGAGTAAATTCAAAGCACTGAAAGTTACAGAGTGTTTCATGAAATTGGCTGCAAGTGCCATTAGGCCAAAAAAAAAAAAAGTTGGTCTCTGGCCAGCGCGCGCGTCGATTTTAATCATGCGCGTCAATTTTTTTTTCTTTCTAAAATGTTCCGCGGTAGCTCCAACAATTTTTTTTACCAAAGAGCACCAAGGAATGGGAAATTGCACCAAGGCAAATGATCGAAAGCACCAAGGCAAATTATGGAGGACACCAATGTACATGAGGACACCAAAAAAGCAAAATAGTACCCCACCTTGTCTGTACAATCCAAGCTTGAAGAAAAAAAAAAAAAGAAAAGGAAAAAAAAAAAAGCCGCGTCCCCGCGTCAATTCCGGAACTTTGGTCTGACCAGAGACCGAATATTTTTTTTTTGGCCTTAATTTAGTACCTTTAGTTTGTGCATGTATGTGTGTAAAGGGCTTTTGTCTAGTTCTTTGTATGCATGCTTTCGTGCTCATGTTACTTTACTTGTGTTGCTTGAAATTTGATTTCGTTTCTGTTTATCTTACTGGGTTTTGTTTTTATTAACATTTTATTTGTGTATCGCTCATCTATCATTCTTTCATTCCTCTAGTTCATGTGTAATTGTAACTTCTGTGTGTACATAAATATTTGTTTTATTTTTCTTAATTTAATTTAATCTAATTAATCTAATTAAATTTTTTTGTTAACCTTTCAGTCAGGAGAGCCCCTCTACAGCGACTTTGTCTCTTTTGGGCAATCCTTCAAGAGCTGTTAGGTTCTTTTTGTTTTCTGTTGTTGTCCTTTTATTTTTTAGTCTTGGTTTTACTGTCTATCCCGAGAAATAAACCAAATGTAAATGTAAAATTAATTTTAAAAATGGCTTTATCAAACTTACCTCGCACAAGAACATAAACTTGGTGTCTGTCTTCTCGAAGTGCTCCTCACAGTAATGGATGCTTTTCGCAAATGCATCTGACGAGTAGATGCCCTGCAGAGGAGATACCGTAACGTTCATCAGTTTCTCAGGTTTGGAGGATAAAATTTTTTTTTTTCCTTTTAGAGAAGAAACTTTACAGAGTTTATTTCTCCCCCTCTGAGCTTCCATGTGCATCTAGCCCAATTTTATGGCTCTGCTAACCACAGAATTATGCGCTTACGATCGCCATTTCAGCTCCAGCAGAAAAATTCTGCTAACTCTGTAAGCACAGAACAGTTACGGAATGTACACATGTATATCAGCCAAAATTCCTGTGAAATGCATGTGTATGCGTTGCAACAAATAAGCAACGTATACATATGGAACAGAATGTGTGCTACATTATGAGATTTTTTCATGTCTGTAAAATGAAATCAATATGCAGCTTATGCGCAACGGATAAAAAAAAGGCGCATACGGAAAGGCTTACCACTTGAAGTTAGTTGGTGGTCCATATTTCCATTACTGAACTCAATACCCCCAAGTGATGTATAACATTGGAAATAAGTATCTCAATTCTTAAAAAGTCTGACTTAAAGCTCCTTCTGTGATGACAGGTCACATATTCTGAGGAGAAAACCCGCCTAAACTTGAAGTACATGTATTTGATCACACCTCTTCGTCATGGGAACAGCCCTGTGGCATCTTCCCATCTTCCCTCTGAGAGAATGCTACTGATCATTATTGCATATGATCCCCTAATGTCTCCTTTCAACAGACAAGTTGTCTGTTTTCCCTGCTTAAACTGTGGCGTTTACCGTAATTTCCTGCGGATAAGGCGCGCGGCGGATAAGGCGCAGGTCCCTAAAATCACCCCAAAAAATTCAAACGCCAACAGATAAGGCGCACCGCCGCATAAGACGCATGTTTGACCGCACACAGAAGAACACCAGGCGTCACCCGGTGTCGGTACATCGCCACAAAGGGGCCATTGTGTTGCCTTAGAACGATCACACTATTCGGAGGATGAATTAAGCCGTGTCCGCACTGGACTTTTTTTTTGGAAGGTTTTACCGAGACGATAGTAAAATGAGAAATGGTCAAATGTGACCACTGTCCGCACTTGGACTTTCGACACGGGAAAATTTACCCAGACCGCGTGGGAGAAGTAACCGAGCTGTCACAGTGTCAGTAAATTACTCACCGTACACAGAAAACAAATTGCCGATCACATTTTCAGCCGCCGATACGCACAGTAATATTACACACGCCATTTGCATGCACAACATAATCGTTTACACGATATTATTTCATCTTGACAGGCTAAATCTTGACGAAAAGGCCTGTAATTCTGACGCATTTGTGATGCACGTCGTCGAAGCCATGCCGCTGTACGATGTTCCGTGCGGCAGCAGTGCCATCAGTATTCGTCGGTTCCCATCGCATGCTTACAGAATCGAAGCTATGATGTGGGCCAGGAACCAGTGACTACGGCCTACGTATGGTACTGGACCATGATGTTCCGTGCATGACTACAGTAGCGTATCAGGACGAATTTGGATCGTAGAAAATAACACATCGGTGGAGAAAGAGAATTTCCGCAAATTAATTCTCAGAACGTGATCTCTCTTCTCTGTGTATGTATTTGTCCGTTGAAATATATATTTTAACGAGATTTTACCGCTCGGACTTGATGAAACACCGCAGCGTGTTTCTACAAAATGTTGGGCCACACGTGCACTGAGGTTCGTGCGGTCTCTGTATGCATAACACGGCGCTCGGGCCGGAAGTACGCTTTCCTGAGCCGCTTTTACCGACTCGCACTGTTTTCATCTTGATCTTCAGGCTTGCAGACTTCGAAGATATCCTGTACAATAAACACCCTCAACGTTCACACAATAGAACTTGAGTGAATGCGATTTCCAAACGTTTAAGTAATTCTGATTGCAGCATTTTCGGAATGAAAAAACGGCCACAAAGCAAAACGTTTGTATGACGGCATTGTTGGAACGAAAGCACGATCACTAAGGGGGATCAACGCATTGCGGCATTGTTGGAATGAAAGCACGATCATGGGGGATCAACACATCGCGGCATTGTTGGAATGAAAATACGGTCACAATGTCTGGAGAGTTGAGCCTTGGTTGACCGCATTATTGATTGTGGCATTGAAAGAATTCTTCACACAAAGACCGTCACTTTGAACTCAAGCGACACCAGATAAGGCGCACCTGTAGATAAGGCGCAGCGATGTTTTTGTGGTCTAGAAAGTCAGATAAGACGCGTCTTATCCGCAGGAAATTACGGTAATCCTTCCAAGTTCTCTGGTTAGGCCTACCTTGCCAAATCTGTAACCAGAATGTTCCGCCTCTTCTGGAGCAATGAGCAGACCCTTGTTCATGATGCTGATGACATTGGATCGGGTGCTGCCGTGCCACAGCAGCTTGTGATTGCCAACCCCACTGGATTGAAGCCGCTCCTCCTCACCTTCTCTTGACAGGCGGAAGATGGCTTCCACATTGGCTTCTTTCTCACCTAGTGGATACAACCAAGACGATTCAGTTATTTCTATATGGATTCCGATCAACTCTAAGGGTCGAGGCACTACAGTGTGGTGCAAAAAGAAGGAAAACCACTTTTGACAGGAACTTTAACCTACTTACTTAAAGCTATTTGAACTTTTTTTTTTATAATGTAGTGAAGTATCTTCAACCATACGTGGTGAATTTTTTTAAAAAACAATCGAAAGAATAGTGCAATTATGCTAAGTTGAATACAAGTCACCAAAATCACTGTTGTCCACGTGTAAGTCTAGTGTAGTGTTTGTTTGTCTTCAAATCAAGCTCCAGAGCTCAGTGTACTGACATGACTGATGACGTCACACTCTGCTTACACATGTGCTTTTTGTGGGAGCCGGGTGGGGACGACGGTTTTGTGGCCCCATAAAAAAGCGTACACGTAAACAAAGTGTGACGTCATCAGTACAGAGGCTTATCGTATAGGGTTCATTTGCAAGTCAAGACTAGCCAGGTAGCTCAGATTTCTGTTGATGCTAAGCTTAATAGTAGAAACTACTACTTCACAACTTTTACACATTTATGTCATAAACAAGAATCAGCTGTACAACATAAAGCCCCTCACATTTTAACGGGTAAGCTTTAGGTGTTTTTGTTTGTTTGTAAATAACCTGTAACATATTTACAGTCAAACCCTGATAAGAAGAGCACTGTTAATACAAGGTACTGCTTATAACAAGCAAAATTTTAGGTCCCTAGTCTTTGTTTTTCTTTGCTGTCCTTTGTTTTCCGTTACTGTTAATCATCATCATCTAGCGGTCGCAACCGACATCTCATTCACAACGCCACGCCAAGTGTCTTTATCTCTCATTATGTAAGGAAAGTACATACAAGGTACTGTTATAACAAGGTAATTCGCAAAGTCCCAAGGACCTCGTTATAAAGGTGTTCGGCTGTACATGCATTGAAAACAAGGCAGATATCTTCTACACCTAGCGAATTTCTATAGCTCTATGATAGCCACTTGTTGTGATCTATGACTTACTTGTTTTGTGGATGTACTGAAGCAGGAGCTGTGTTTCCTGGTCATCTTCCTTCATGAGGCGGATCTGGCAGCCTAGAGACTGGTAGATATAGTCCAGAGGGTTGATTTCTGTACCATAAAATCCAATCAGATATGCACATTTTTAAATAAAAGAGAAACATGATTTTGCCTTTTCCCAGTTAATGTTAATTAATCAATGTCAGATGCCCCCCCCTTTTTTTTTTAGATACACCAGCAAGTGAATTACTTTTATAATGTCGATATACATTGTACACATATGCAACAGAGATCCACTGTGATTCCAATTGCAACAACCCAAGGGAATTCCCAACAATGAGAAATGACCAGGTACATTGTGACACTCCCAGCTTCATATCTTTGGCGCGACGATGAACCACAGATAACAGGGTACCAACGTGTCCGTACCAGTGCGCACGTTCCGCAGCACATTGGGTTATCATAGCAGATCATAAAGACGACGATATTTTTCACAGTAATGCACTTGATTGTGCAAGGTATGTTATCTTTTATTCCATCCAGTTTCCAAAGTGCCCCTCCAAAAACCACTTTTTATCTGTCCAAAAGACCCTGAACTGAGGTTAACCTGTGACTCTACTGACCTTTGACCCTGTACTGGGCACCCAGCAAGATCATGTTGGTGGTGGCGAGATCCAGAAGGATATCCAGGTTCCTGATATGCGTGTTCAACTGATTCGTGTCCGTCAGTGGCGAGATCTTATCGTGGGCGAAGTTCAGATTGGGAATCAGCTCAAAATACTCATTGCTCAAATCACAAACCTAACGGGCAGCAGGAGGAACAGGGGAAAAAAATCAATTAGAATTAGGTCTTAAAAATAATTATTTTCGTCAATATGCTTTCATAGGGTGCGTTTGATTAGCTCATCCGGGTCGACTAGGGTTAGCCCCGTGCCGTTCGATTAGCTCTGACGTCATTCTCGGGGCTCACCCGGGTCAGCCACCACAGACCCTGCTCATGGAGCAGAGTCAGTGGTGGAAAAACATCACATGCAGGCATTGCTCATTCCAAGAAACAAACACATATGGCAGCCGGACAGCGAATAAGCTCAAGTGGACCCAAAAATCAACTTTATTTGAAGTCTAAACACATATTATATTTCGTAGTCCTCAGCATTCTCTGCCTAAAGAAAAAAATATACCAAATAACCTACCTCTTCCATGATAGCCTGATGCTTTTCAACATCAGCGAATATCTGACTTTGTTCCTCTTCCGATTTTTCTATCAAATCACTGCAAGAAACACAAAAGTTCTCATACTTTGGAAACAGGACTGGTGTTAAAACATTGGGAGGTCCGCAGAACTGTTTAACCCCATGCGTACGGGAAGCGGTCATAGCCACGGCCGCTAATCCTCATTGGAATGCAGTTGCCAGCTGTGGTATGCCGTGGCACACGGCTAGTGGGTAGTTCCACAGCTGCTGCTTTTGTGCAGTCCCGCTACCACACAAAGGCTGTGCAGTCATGCGGGCCACTTGCTCTATGTGTGGAGGAATGTCCCCATTACACCCCGTTCTTAAGGGGTTAAACTGATCTATTTTGGAGGACTACATTGTCATTAAACTAAACAAAAAATATTGAAGTTCAGAAAAATGGGAATGGTAAAAAATAAACCTTAAAGGGAACTAAGTTCACTAATTAATATATCAAGTAGATATAAAATTGACTTAAGCAGGCTTTACACCTGCAATCTCTAGAACTAGTTGTCATTTAAACAATACATGAATTGAAATTACATTAACTCAAACATTCCCAAATACTCTTTGCAAAATGTAGGATTTTGCAGGATTGAGGCTAAATGGCAAAAATGTGTGGCTGATTTTGGAGGATGCACTGTGTCAAGGTCTTGGGCCGGACCTTGTGTTGTTTATGCTAAGCCGTGCATAAATTTAGGCCTTGATTATACTTGAAATCCTCCGCACTGCTCCAGGATGTCACTGGCTCTGCCTCAACATACATGTACTGACAGTGATTGCTGGAGGATTTTGTAGGATTGAGGCAGTAGTCACCCCTCCAAGGACCACATTCAAGAAACAATGGAGGGTTTTGCAGGATTGAGGCTGTATGCAATTTTTATGCGGAGGAAGCTGGAGGATTTTGCAGGATTGAGGTTGCATCCTAGCAAAAATGCCTAGGGACTAGGAGTTAGGGTTAAGACAGTGTTGGGATGGGTTAGAAGTACTTACCTGATTTTGCCTAAGAGTTCTTGAGCCTTGAGCAAAATATCCCTTGAGAGGAAGGTGCCAAGGGAGATGACTCGGGTATCTATCCCGGACTCTGATAAAGCTTTGCTTAGTAGCTCTGGTTTGATCTGGCAAAAAGGCAAAATAATCATGTTACCCTCAGAAAGCTCAGTGCCCGGCCAAACTTGACTCCAGGGGCTGGGTGCACATTCCTTCTCTAACCCCTGGCAATGTTGAATACAAAAATCAGGCTAATAGACTATTCAGAGCATACTGAGCGCGTATTTCAAATGCTGCATGCACTATATGCGCTCAAATTATCTCCTGCACGCCGTGTTACGTATGAATATTTTTCAAGACTGCGTGACACCTCTTCGATATGGAAAGTCTGGAAGGTTCGTTTTTGTGAAAAATACCCGCATTTTATGTTGTAAAAGGGACGACAGAGGTACGCACATTATAAATTCTAGCAACGTGATGTCCAAATCAAATCTTTGAAAGAACTGATGCTACAAAAAAAAAGGAATTAAGATTGAAAGGACTGTGCATTGGATGTTAAACACATTGACTGCAGTCCTAATTTAAATCTCCCACATAGTTGGATATTTAAATTACAAAATACCAGGGGTTAAGATCGTGCAAGGCATGGTGGGAACCAACATGGCGCAGCAAGATCATACCCATGGCAACAAGGTTGGTTCCAGGTAGGCTTGCAGCAATAGGAATCAACTTCAATAATCAATTTTACCAGGATGAAATTTTAAGCTAAAACACCTGTAGCTTGTAGCTGCTAAAATAATACACAAAATTGCACATAATAATCATTATACATGTAATGGAGTAGCGAAGTGAATATGTCACGCGCACAAAATGTGTGTGAGAAAGACAATAGGGCGTGATTCAGCCGGTGAACCAACACGCGCACGTACTCCATTCGTTTACACTACACTTTTTGCTTCTAAATGATGTCACACTTCGGTACTCTATAGCTTCTCACATTTATTAAACCTAACCCTATAAAAAGGTACTTTTTTAAGTCAATAAAAGTAACTTAACACCAGTGTCTCTCTCCCTCAAAGAACAAAACAAAACAAAACAAAAACAAACAAACAAACAAAATATACCCTGAAAAATCTACTGTTAATGGTTAACAACCCTGCCTGGTGAGCAATCTCCTAACCACAAGAATATCTATCATTCCGTAGGAAAAAAAATCTCACAGCCAAAAACTGGCTCTCCTAAAGTTGCCCAAATTCCCACTTGCATGACTTCTCACTCCTGTACCTTGATACAAATGATTTTGTTTAGTTCCCTTTCCAGAGTCTCTTACCAGCGCTTTGATGGCAGCTTGCAGTGCTTGCGGCAGTTTGGAAGGAACCGAGGACTCCAGGTTGAACTTGAACTCGTCGATGGCCTTTTTCCGTTTGGTTCGCCAGGGGTCCGTTTTGACCAGCTGGTACTTCTTGGGTACTTTGTGGAAACTGCGGCAAATAAGGGAGACAGTGCAATACGTGAGGAGCACTGGAGTGCGAGTCTATAGACTCGGTGCACAAGTGCCCCCTCAACGGCTACGAATAGAGAGGTGGGGGAGACCACTGGGACATGGAAATGCATGGCTTACAGCGCTTACATGAAGATGCAACCGGTGAAGCACATTCAGATCAAAATTCAGAGAGTTGTTATACAATCACGTTTCTTGCACTTTGCAGGACAAGACTTAATTCTGTCCTTTTGTTTATGATCAATCACATCTCCTATAACAAGCCACTCACTTGTGAGATTTGACGTTCTACATCCGGAGTGATTATTTTTTTTTCCGCAGTTTTTCAGACTTTGCAATGCTAAATTACCCAAATTGAGTTAAGTCCTTTTCAGCAACCTCAAGCTGTGAAATGGTCCGATGTCTCTGTGCCATTCTGGCCCAGTGTGAACGATGTCCTGGTGCCGGGCATGTTTCATGTTAACGCCACAACTGATCCAGCCTTCCATATGTCCTACCTCACTCAAAAATGGTCTATTCAATGAGCAACACTGCTTATTACTTAAATTTGTTAAAACACCTGCCACTTTCTATTGATTATCAAAAATGGCTCCAATAATTTACACATCTGCAATTTGGACAATTATAAGGCCCTGCTGGAGTTTAGCAAAGACAAGCCATAAACCGTGCTGAAAAAGTCCACAGAAGGTTTCATTCTCACTTCCTTTAATGCATCTGTTGTGGTAAATGCTCTATTCATTTGAAGGAGAAAACATACCACTGAATTCAAATCACATCTGAAACGCTTGTTTTTGATTTCAAGCACAAGTCTGAGAAGTATGTTTACAGCATGTCTGTAACAAATTGTTGTTTTAAACCTCTAACAAAAAAGTCAGATATTACATGAAAAGGATGTTGAGTTTATTCCCTGTTATAACTGGGACGAGTGGAAATGCAACAACTATCAATGACTTACTCCTCGACTTTGGACCAATCATTGCCCGTCTTGGCTTTAAAAATCTTCTGGAATTCCTTGATAGCTTCTTCTTTTGAGTTGAAGGGCGTCTTTTGATATTGCCCCTCGTCACCGATACGACCCCATCGTGTGAACAGCAGCATCATATCCTTGCCTGTCTGGTGAATGATCTGTAGAAAATGCACGGCAAAGACAACATAATACGATTGCAATTTTCCACGTTGAACCTAAAATCAAAGAATTTAACTCTTTTTTGGGGTCACAGCTTTTCAGGCTCCACAACGGTCTCGATTTGCTGGTAAAATAGGTCATTTTCAGTCGCTACGCCACAACTTACGCCACCTAAAATGATTGCGCAAGTTACGCCATAATTCATTGCGCAAGTCGTGGACTTAATATAAAACTTTTGTGAAATTGTCATAACTGAAATGTTGTGCAGTGCAACATGTTGCGCAGCTTGCGCAATAAATATTGGCTTAAGAAGACTTATACCATTGCGTAAAGTTTCATGAAATTGGCTGCTAGACCCTCATAATCAATTACCCTTTTTTGTATTTGTGAAGGGCATGTTTTTTTCGTTTTTGCAAAGTGCACTATGGAGTTCAGGCAAGACCTATACAGAGTGAGTCAAAAGTATGATTTGAAAAATATTTTTAAAATATTTGGCTTGCTCCATTTCACACCAAAAAAATGTAAGGATAAAGTACATCTTATTGACTTCTAACTGTGAAAATTTCTTGTCATTTGCATACTTTACTCCCAAGTTATTTTAATAAAAAGATCTCAAAACTCGGCTGTCCACCACTGATCATTTACCGTTCTACGAACCGATGAATGCCTATTGAGTACAATGAAACATGGACGTGTAATCTGTAGTTCTCACCCAGCTCAATAGCTTCTAATGGCATTCCATAGAAAGCTAGAAAAATTGTTCTTTTAGTGAAACATTTATAACTCCTGATAGCATGGATCAATCTCAGTAATTCTTTTTTTGAGATGAGTGGAAGAAGATGCTATTTTCAGATATACTTCATTGGTGTTTCAAATTTGATTGCTTTGTAAGATAAAAAATCATTAATTTGGATACTTTCTTTTGACTCACCCTGTAGACAGCAAAGTAAGGACCACTCATTGGAGCCAGTGAGGGACACATAGTGATTTGCAAATGGGCACATGGGGTGATGAATATTCAAATGAATGTGCACCAACTCATAGTATCTTTATGTGAGAAGAATGCCCCATGCATGGTCATACAACATAAATGGCATTGAATTATCTGTGCAGAACAGAAATGTTCTTGATTTTTACTCTCAGGGCCAATCCCAAGCTGTGAAATGACAGTTGAACATATTCTGCTTGACATTTGTCAACCATTTACCACGTTTTTCCTTAAAAATGCTGCACTGTTGTACGACAGTGCCATCTGCGTGCATTAAACACATCAGAAATGATTGTGGGTCATTTCTGCTAGCACAGTTTTTTATACTTGACTTCATTTTCTCTGGAATCCATAGACCCTTACCTGCATGATATAGTAGTTGTTCATGCCATAATTGCCGTACTTGACATCCACTTTGGTCAGAGTTGCATCATAAGGAATTTCTTGCTCTTCGTCAATAAGGACCACCCTATGCCAGGAGAACACAGCATGATGTCAAACACAACCTTGATGCATACTAGGGGCAGCTAACTGCTTCAGGTCAATGCCAATGTGAAGTGAATTTAATTCGGGCGATTCACAATGCAGTGCGCCACCAAGAGTTTGCCATAAAGAGTTCATTTTTCCCATTACATTGTGGTAGATGGTCAACAAATTCGCACGTGGGACATTTGAAATTGTTCGTTTTTCCGGTCAGTAGTTTCATAAGTGTATGATTCGAGGATGTTTGCCCTTTTCTTTTTTTGTTATCAATATGGTGTTTTTGGTAAGGTGGCAGAACGTATATGCCCCAATCTATAACAAATAAGCTCAAGTTTTCTACTGACACTCATCAAATGGGCCATGTTTTGTCGACCATAAACTTTAAAAATGGACTCTCCACGGCAAACTCTTGGTGGCGCACTGCATTGTGAATCGCCCCAATTGTCACTACGTCTTTGTAGTGAGGTTGACCTCTGTTCAACTTTTGCGCATTCACAGAGCAAATACTTGACAAGATGTCACAAATTGAGGATCATAGTTAGATTAATTTTGCCAAGACTATAAACTGATTGTAGTAAAGGAAACGAGTTGGGAATAGGGTGACATTGACCACACCTACAGGAATTCCGAGGACAAGTCAAACAGGAATCAGATTGGAACGATAATACCTTAACTCCAAAACACCAGAATGCAAAAACAATTCAGAAAAAAAAATCTGTAAAAAGAAGACGTTAAAGAGAGTACTGCTCTAAGTGCATTTAATCTTAAAAAGAGTATATCGACAGGGGGGGGGGGGGGAGGGGGGATTCTGCCTCCTTCTATTACAGTGTCATGACCACTTCCAACTTCTGTAGTATTTTAACCCTTAAACCGAACTTAACCCATCAAAGCTCAACAGCAGGTTTTGTTTAAATCTGTTGGGATAGGTACAGTACCCCTAAACTGATGGTCTTTTACACTGGGGTTGGCATACCTCCAGAAACTAAGTCCAACAGTGTGTGTGTACAATTTCCCATGTGGGTGTTGGAATTTGCCAGAATGGGTATGGTTCCTGGTAAATTAGACTGAGGAGTTAGGGTTAATGAATTCAGGACCAAAGGGACAAAGCACCGTGTTTTATGTCCAAAGTACATAGAGTATATGTCAATGGTTCGTTTCACAGGTCTGTACAGGAATCAGAAGATTTCTAGCAATTTGAAGACTAAATTATGCATACAACATACAGATATTATACAAATGTTGAATGCTTCGAGTGGTGTAGCAAAACTAGCCTCCCGAGGTGATCCATGGACAGTCTATTTTAGAAAATAGAATATAATATATAATATAGTGCTTATACAGCGCTTTATACCAAAGGTCTCAAAGCGCTTCACAATTGCTCCATGGATCACCGAGGGAGGCTAGTGTTACTACACCACGAGATAAAGCATTCAATATTTGTTTTATAAAACATCACCCACAGATTCTGCTTGGTCTTAATATTTTAATTATTTAAATCTGAACACAGTTGAAATAAACTTAAATTTCAATACAAAATTGGTGGAAAATGTATTTCTGTCTTCTAAACTACCCCTTCACGAAATGTTTGAACCTAACTCTGCGGCACGCTCTCTTTGGAACAAAACGTGCTACGCGCAACGCGCACACCAGCATGCATTTGCACACAAATACCGCGCCGTGGATATAGTACTTTGGTTGCTAATGGTATAGTACTTTGGTTTCTACAGGTATAGTACTTTTGGCCGTGCACGAAAAGATAGCAAAAATAGAAAGTATCATGTGACTCGCTCTCGGCCAATCAAGACACAGAATTTGTGGGTGAGGTGTTATAAATGCAACTAGGCTGTCCAAAATAGATAAGGAAAGTCCAAGTTGCAGGAGAGTAGGATAACTATTTTTTTAAGACAAAGCTGAAAATCACATTCCAAAATACAAGAAAGCCCTACCCTCCTTCTGTGATGCCTGAGCCATCATCAACTTTTGCTAAGATCTTGTCCTCCTCCTTGTCTTGGGCTGCATCCTTCTTCTTTTCTGCTTCGAGTTGTTTCAGCATGGCCTGAGAGTCTGCTTTGAAATCTGGTTTGGGTGAGGTAAAGGTGAGGCCATCTGTCCAGGTATGTTGTAGGGGCTTGGGAATAACCTTCGGATTCAAGATTTGTTACATCATAGGGATTCTGTTAATAAATGTCAATGCTTTTGTTGTGAAACTACACTTTGATGGAAGGTAACTCACTTTTATGAAGAAAAAAAAAAATCAATTTTTTGTTTTTATTAATTGCTTTTGTAGTTGAATTAATATTAACATTTTTGTTCTTAAAATGTTAACTTTGGCTCATTACCCAATCGCTGATGTCAGTTCCAGATTATGGAATCAAGTAAAAGAAAGATTTTGAGTGTCATTTGGGGAGAATTTTCAAAATGAAAACCAGGGTACATGGAAAAAACTACACAGATTCACATTTTATGACGCTTGCAAAAATGCAATTTACATTGTAAAGCTACATGTATTGAGCTCACTGTACACACAGAATCTGCCCCCCCCCTCAACTTTTTCCGCGATAGCTCTTAAAAAAAAATTTTCCGCGACCCAAGCTGTTATGACTTTTAGCCTAGAGCCTTGCACATCTTTTGATACTAAAAACATAAACATTTTCCGGCACATAGTGAAAAGTGAATTTTCCCCTATACGTCGTGTACACAGAGCAGAATTACCATTCATACATATGAATAATTAATTAGCCATAATTTCAAAACCCTTTGACCTATAGTCATGGAATTTCTTGGGTATGTTCATGATGAGTTGCTCTATGTATGTACCAAGTTTCAAAATTTTTCGTCACTCGATGGCCGAGATCTTGGGGGGGGGGGCGAAACTCCCCCATATAAGTGAATTTTCCATTATACGTGGTGTACACAGAGCAGAATTACCATTTGTACATATGAATAATTAATTAGCCATAATTCCAAAACCCTTTAACCTATAGTCATGGAATTTCTTGGGTATGTTCATGATGAGCTGCTCTATGCACCCCCCCCCGGTCTTTTACACTGGGGTGAAAGGCTACAGAGTGAAAGGCTACAGTTGTGAATCAAGGCAGGTGAGGAAAAAAAGAGATTTAAGTATGAAAAGTGGTGCAAGTCTATAAATAGACCTTTTCATAAAATTGGTCACTGCTCAGTCAACCGTGAATGTAAGGACATGATCAGGGTGTCATTTTAAAGAGGAGATTCAACCCCTTATAGAGGATATCTCCCTTTGATTCACATGTGCCCTGCTTCTGTTCCACTTAGCAATAATATCTTGGTTTTTTTTTTATCCACCCTGTATAGAGGTGGTGATCTTCTATTATTCTGTGTTGTTTTTGAGGAGGGGTAAAGTTGGCCCTTGTGGGATTTTTTTGACGGATGGCCCACTTGGGTCAACTTGCTTCTACCGTAATTTCCTGCGGATAAGACGCGTCTTATCTGACTTTCTAGACCACAAAAACATCGCTGCGCCTTATCTACAGGTGCGCCTTATCTGGTGTCGCTTGAGTTCAAAGTGACGGTCTTTGTGTGAAGAATTCTTTCAATGCCGCAATCAATAATGCGGTCAACCAAGGCTCAACTCTCCAGACACTGTGACCGTATTTTCATTCCAACAATGCCGCGATGTGTTGATCCCCCATGATCGTGCTTTCATTCCAACAATGCCGCAATGCGTTGATCCCCCTTAGTGATCGTGCTTTCGTTCCAACAATGCCGTCATACAAACGTTTTTCTTTGTGGCCGTTTTTTCCGAAAATGCTGCAATCAGAATTAATTAAACGTTTGGAAATCGCATTCACTCAAGTTCTATTGTGTGAACGTTGAGGGTGTTTATTGTACAGGATATCTTCGAAGTCTGCAAGCCTGAAGATCAAGATGAAAACAGTGCGAGTCGGTAAAAGCGGCTCAGGAAAGCGTACTTCCGGCCCGAGCGCCATGTTATGCATACAGAGACCGCACCAACCTCAGTGCACGTGTGGCCGAACATTTTGTAGAAACACGCTGCGGTGTATCATCAAGTCCGAGCGGTAAAATCTCGTTAAAATATATATTTCAACGGACAAATACATACACAGAGAAGAGAGATCACGTTCTGAGAATTAATTTGCGGAAATTCTCTTTCTCCACCGATGTATGTTATTTTCTACGATCCAAATTCGTCCTGATACGCTACTGTAGTCATGCACGGAACATCATGGTCCGGTACCGTACGTAGGCCGTAGTCACTGGTTCCTGGCCCACATCATAGCTTCGATTCTGTAAGCATGCGATGGGAACCAACGAATACTGATGGCACTGCTGCCGCACGGAACATCGTACAGCGGCATGGCTTCGACGACGTGCATCACAAATGCGTCAGAATTACAGGCCTTTTCGTCAAGATTTAGCGTGTCAAGATGAAATAATATCGTGTAAACGATTATGTTGTGCATGCAAATGGCGTGTGTAATATTACTGTGCGTATCGGCGGCTGAAAATGTGATCGGCAATTTGTTTTCTGTGTACGGTGAGTAATTATACTGACACTGTGACAGCTCGGTTACTTCTCCCACGCGGTCTGGGTAAATTTTCCCGTGTCGAAAGTCCAAGTGCGGACAGTGGTCACATTTGACCATTTCTCATTTTACTATCGTCTCGGTAAAACCTTCCAAAAAAAAAGTCCAGTGCGGACACGGCTTAATTCATCCTCCGAATAGTGTGATCGTTCTAAGGCAACACAATGGCCCCTTTGTGGCGATGTACCGACACCGGGTGACGCCTGGTGTTCTTCTGTGTGCGGTCAAACATGCGTCTTATGCGGCGGTGCGCCTTATCTGTTGGCGTTTGAATTTTTTTTGGGTGATTTTAGGATCCTGCGCCTTATCCGCCGCGCGCCTTATCCGCAGGAAATTACGGTACTCACCATTTTGGATTCCTGGATCCCCTGCAATCTCTGCAATGCACCAGCCATCTTCTGTGATTTGGTTTCCGTGGCGTAATCCAAGGGTGTCTTGCCCTGCTTGTCCTGCAGTCTGGTCTTGGCGTCTTGCTGCACTAGGAGCTGCAGTAACTCCACGTTCTCCCAGGTGCCATAGCTACATGTCTTCATGGCGTGGTGGATGGCAGTGCGACCCGACGAATCCGCGGCATTCACATCCAGGTCACTGGTCTTGACAAATTTCCTGGTCTTAGCCTCCTCAGCTTTTTTCTTAGCTGCATGGGCAGCGCAGAGAAATCAAAGAGTATAATGTAAGCTTGAGTAAATCCATGTGTACCCCTCTGTCAGAGCTGACTTTTGGTCTAGATTTTTTAATCTAAACATGCTCTTACAGGCTTTCAAGCAGACCCAGCATTGCTCAGGTGAAAAAATAGGAGAACAGTAGAATAAAAAAAAATAAAATAAAAACAGGACAAAAGTAAGAATTTGGAGGACAAAATCAGGATAAAAGTAGGACTTTTGCAGGCTTTCAGGAGTAGTTTTTGTTGATGCTCACCCATGTCCACAGCATCATAAGCCTCATTTGGAATGTTCTGTACTCACAACACTTGTGCTCCATCCTCAACTAAACTCTTGGAAGTACAGTTGCAGTACTCCTGTGCCCAAGCCCTTCATTGTGTGATTTACATTTAACAGTGTGTAACACTTTTATGAAAAATGTTCAATGAGATTTCATTTTTCGGAGTCGTGGGACAAAAAAGTAGGAAAAAGTAGGAATGTCAAGAAAAAAGTAGGGAAAGTAAGAGCAAGGTAAAAAAAAAAAAACTAGGAACAAGTTGGAAGGGTAGGAATACTTGAAAGCCCGCATTTTTTTAAATGATTGTTCAGTATTAACCCTAACTCCCTAGCATGATTTACTAGGAACCATACCCATCCTGGCAAATTCCAACACCATATGGGAAACTGCACACACATCTTTCTGACTTTGATTCTGGAGGTGTGCCAACCCAATGTAAAAGACTGTCAGTTTAGGGGTACTGTACCCATCCTGACAGATTCCAACAATACATGCTGTTGGGGTTTAATGGGTTGAGTTCTGTTAGGGTTAATGGTTGGAGACTTTAATACATGCATAGTGATTAATATTCACTATTCAGTATTTGGTTACCAGACCTGCCAACCTGTGAGATAACAAAACTGTATTCTGAAACTCAAAAACCTGTATTTTTCCTTGAAAACCTGTATTTTTTTGTTTTAATGCACAAACGAGCTTACAAAGGTTTAATGTTGCTGCAATTCCACGTGGTGTGAGGATTTTAGAAATACCTAAGTTAAAAAAATTGAGCAGAGCTTTGCTGTATTCAGGGACTTTAAAAAAAAGGCCCGCTGAAACTAAGTCATAAGGTAATAGGTAATAGCCTAGGTAACATAAAAAAATAATTTTCAAATTCAATTCAAGGAATTCAATTCCATTCAAAATTCAGTTCAATTCTATTCACAACTGACTCTATGATATATCGAAGTAAACTTAGTTAAGACCTTTCTCAGTTAGTTGGATTACGGATTTGGTTCCCCAGGTCGGGCGGTGAGAGGGAATTTATAAATTAAAAAAAAAAAATCAACGCCCTTTACAGCGCGCCCGTAATAGTGCGCCCAGTTTTCGGACACAGTATTCGTGTTCGAACAAAACGTCGTCATTCAGTTTCACTGCACGAGTTTATCACATTAAAAGTACATAAATAATGAAGGAGAAAGTCTGCAGACTAAGCAAACTGTCATTATTTATCTTGTTCCAAACTATGTTTGCTTAAAAAAAAAGTCGTCGCTTCAATACCTGTCATCGAAAAGTACGCGAACATTAAGCTGTCGATGCATACTCCGATACGGTCGCATGGTCGGTGCAGCTGGTACCCGGCCCGTTAGGCCCAAGATATATTTGTTGACAGGAACCAGTGCACAAACGTAAAACACGTTGCTGCGAGCATGCTACATCCTGATAAATAAGGGCGCCAGCGTGGTGGGGCGGCCGTACTCAATCAACGATCAGGGCATGTGGAAATGTACGGACTACGGTGATTTCTTTCTCTATTTTTTCCACTAGACGCCAGGATTCCAGTTTAAAAGTGAATCAAAAGCTTGTGGTTACTAGGGAGGCATTTTTTGAGGAATTCTTTTTGGGGGGCGGCGATTTTTCAAAATTATTTCCCCCGACGTTATATGCCCCTTAACGTTACAACTTATTTTAAAAATGCCCTAATCCACCTAAAACTGTATGGCGAGTAAACTTCAGTAAAAACTCACAAAACCATTCTGATTAATAATAATAATATTAGGCCTACTAAACGAAGAGACGAAATACACAACGTACACCGTGCGTAATTCTCTCCTCTCTGGGACGGCTGGATGAAATCCCATTTCTCGGTGTACTCTTTTTTGTACAGTTGCTTCCTTTTAATATCTTTTTTGGAGGTCGAAGCCATATTTATTTCACGCCAGTGCTGCTTTCGAATTCCACGCTCAATTATCCTCAGCTAGCTAGTTGCACATGGTATGCGCAGTATATGCCTAGCGCTTTTGTATGCAACGATCCGATTGGTTAATACGCCCGGTCCATGCGTTTGTTTACATCCCATGCACCAATCACAGACACCCTAGCTTACTTGATCGCGATGTCGAGCCTCGTGTCTCAACGTAGTCTACGTTCGCAGCCGTTTTTTTCTTCTTGCGCACTCTTCACTCGCAGCCGAACTAGGATTTTTTTTGGCGTGTCAAAATGGTCAAAACCCGTATTTTATGGAGAAAAAACGTACGGCCGTATTTTCAATAAATTCCCGTATTAAATACGGCAAAACCGTACTGGTTGGCAGGTCTGGGTTACCCATCGCCAACGTAAATGCAAAAGCACTGCATATAACAGGGCTGTTCGAGCACTTGCGAGAAAAAAATCACAAGCTTACTTAGGTGGGACTGGAACCCACAACCTCCTGAATATTAGTGCAGAGCTCTTAGGACAAAATGCAAAATTAAACGACCAACTTGAGGTTGAACCCCGAGATACTTCATAGAACCTCCAAAAATCTTATGGTAAAGCTTCAGTTACTGCCTTGAGTTACTCAACCATTGAGCTTGCCTGTTCAATGCTAGTACGATAGTGAAATTTTCTTTGACAAGCTCCAGGACAGCATTGAATATTAAGTACTTTTTGAAATTACATCAGTGAACGGCAAAAACCCAATTTCAAATTTCAATTCTCTCTGATGCAAACACTCACCATCTTCTTTTGCTTTCTTTTCGGCTAACCTCATCTCTCTTTCCTCAGGATCTTCATCTTCACTGTCTACTTCGTCGTCTTCATCATCGTCGTCGTCCTCCTCCTCATCCTCCTCAACATCGTCATCCTCCTCAAATCCTGCATCTTCTTGCTCTTGCTGTGGCTGGGACTCTAGAGATGAAAACCAAATTTTGAATTTTCGGCTGGCTACTTCCGTGAGGAATGTTAGCAGGGAAGACCGCCCAAATAAACACATTATGCCACACAACACAATGTTTCCAGACTGTTAAAGTCTGTTAAAATCTGTTCATGGATTCCTGATTGCTACCCGTTTATGTGCGTTCTTGACAGATTTTCTCTATGAAATGACACCTTTTGCACTTGCGATCATGTTTGCCTTACTGCCCTGCTCTTCAATTTTTCTTTGCAAAGAACACTGATTATCTAAGTATATCTCTCAAATCTCTGATTTGGGCCTGACAACAGCTTCATTTCGAGTCCCAAAACCGTTTTGGGGCGTGTGATACCAAATCTACAAAAATCGAAACTACGATAAAACTTCCACAATCTACAAAATTTCTCTTTGGAAGTTTAGGAAGAGCTAACCCTGTTACGAGTGGACACATATTGTTAGATTCTCAAACGGGATCTAAAGAATGAAGATGGGACTTTAAGCTGAAGTCAGAGTTGAAACAGAGATTTGAGAAGAGACCTACGCTCATCAAGCGAAGGATTACTCTTGGAGTGACTTACTTTTCTGCTCCCAGATGTTGGTGGCCCACACCGAGAGAGGCTCCTGCTTCTTGGGTTTGGCCCTCTTACTGTCCTTCTCAGGATCAAAGTCATGGTCCAGAAGAAGCTTCACTATTTCCATTTCATTCTACAAAATAGATAAATGAATACATGATGAAAACAAGACTTTACAGTAAGCATGCACAAGGAAGGTTTCCTCCACATGTTTTTCTGACATCCATAAACAATTGGTGTACATGTCACTGACTAAATGACACATCCATGTGTGAAGTGTGAATGCTGAAGTTCTTTTAAATTTAATATACATACAGGGTGGTGCAAAAAGAAGGAAACCCACTTTTGACATGAATTTTAACCTACTTACATAACTTATTTGAATTTTCTTTAAAAATAATGTAGTGAAGTATAGCTCTTCGACCTTACATGGTAAAAAAATCTTTATACAGAATTGCAAGATTAGTGGTATTTTGCTATTTTGAATTTTGTCTAGTGTAGTGTTTTTGTCTTCAAATCAAGCTCCAGAGCTCAGTCAAGCAGATGGAATAAAACCGTCTTTGGACAAACAGATTTGATACATGAAATTTTTAAACTACCATATCTCAGAGATAAAATATGAATTTGCAATCATTTTTTCGACCCTTATGTTTTAATGTGATACCAAATCTACAAAAATCGAAACTACGATAAAACTTCCACAATCTACACAATTTCTCTTTGGAAGTTTAGGAAGTTTTAAGATCACTATTTTAATACCATTAAATTGAATTTTTGAAATTTCCTCGACAAGTAGGTGAATATTGCTGTCAAAAGTGGGTTTCCTTCTTTTTGCACAACCCTGTATTTCTGTTGAATATGATTGTAGAGCCAGAGGATCAGCAAAACTTGGAAAATTCTGTATCGTAAAACTGAGGCCAAAATTCTACATGTCTGCTTCTAGTGTCCATATAGTGTGTTTTCCGGTACAAGCAACCTGGTTCGGTTTTTTGGATAGCAAAGTTGTAATCCAAGTCGATCACAAGTCAACCCAGATGTCAGGTCAGAATTCAATGACAAAGGAATGCTGTTGTAATAGTTCTGCTGATTAGCTTGTGACTTGACTGGCGATCGGACGACAAAAACCTATGACTGACTTGTGATGACACCTTTACGAAATGGTGCATTCACGTGCCGTTTCGTAAACTTCTCCAGAGCTGAACCAAAGTTTCTTAATGTAAAGCAGAGGACTCTCTCACCAGTTTGACTGCGTGCATGAGTGGCGTGAGCCCGTCCTTGTCAGCGTAGTTGCAGCTGGCCCCATTCTTCAAGAGAAACTTGCAGGCCTTGAAGTTATCAATGTACATGTGGAGGATCAGAGGGGTGCGTGGAATAGACCAGTCCAAGGGGCCGTGGTACCAGGCTTCTAGGCTCTCTGCCTGCTTCTTGCGGTTCAAGGAGCTGGACTCCACGTTGGGCAAGGCAGTGCAGAAGTTGAGGCTTGCGCCTGACTTGATGAAAAGTCTGGGCGAAGTATAACCATTCAAAAAGTAAATAAGTGAAAAGATATACATGTAAAAGTGCAGCAAGTATTTCACTTCAAATTCGGGAAAGCTGACCACGCTTAAGTTAAACCTCAGTGAATGTTGCTTCGAATGTTTCTGATGCCACACTAGCTTCACATTCATCTTGTTTAAAATTAAGTAAGACAACTGAGTAAGGGGGCGTGACCATTCAGCCCTGGTATGAAAAGGGCCCCCAGGTACCTCTTCCGGTCCAAAGCCAGTCCGGTCTTCAGCCCAGTCTCGTCCGGTACATGGTCCTGTCTGACCAGAAGTTTTGAAGTCAGTCAGGCGCATCAATTTATTGCCCTTCAGAGAACCTCCAGAGCAGAACAATAGCAGACTTACCGGATTAAAGATAAACATCCTTCCATAACGCCTTGGTATTTACGGTCCCATTGTGCACGAAACCGCATGGCAGGGGTTTTGATCTGTGCTGACGAAAGTGTTCTATTGTTTTGCGCTCAGAGATGAAAACCACAAGCGGGTTTCTTCTGGGATATATTACATGTGTCAATACTTGCAAACAATAGACCCCAGGATAGAGGAGTTCCTGATTAGCAACCGGACCAGCTCCTGGGCCGGTAGCTGGGACGGTACGAGAGGACTTCTTGGGAGGGGACGAGCTTACTGGGGGGCCCTTTTCATACCGGGGCTGAATGGTCACGGGCCCTAAAGAGCAGGAGTGTGACAATAAAATAAAGGCATGAAGTATCGTGAAAAAAGCTTTTCTAGTAGTCTCCAAACATACACTCTCCTATGTGTTTAATATGCATAAGAGTATACGCTTGTCTTAACTTCCTAAAATGACGCAATTAAACAAACCTGATGACTTCCTCTGTTGAAGAGTCGAAGCGGAAATTCCAGAATAGCGCCGCTGCAGGAGTGCGGCCCCTATGATCCTGACAGTTCAGGCAATTCTTGAACCCACTGGCATCTCTTTCTGGAAATGTTTTGACAGAAAAAGAAACACTGCAACTATAGTGCACTGAGTGATAAAATTTTGTGTATGGTCTAGGCAGGGGGAGGGGATTTTTTAGGCCGGGGGGGGGGGGGGGGGTGGTCTAGCTAGGTCTAGCTCATGTATAGCTTTGGCATCAGGAGATTTTTTTGCACCTTATTTGGTGGAAATATTTCCATTTTGTTTAAAGGGATTGTAACAATTCTGACGTTAGAGAAGATACTTACACCAGAGATGAAGTTGTGTTTTATTGAAAAAAAACCTGAAGAGTGTGCTCTTTGCCCACCTTGTAGGTAAACACAGTGGAGGTAGCATTTCACATTGATGTAAAGCACTGATGACTACCAGTGAACAAAATTTACATTTCCTTTTTGCATCGCCGTTTCTATGGATTGTGCACTCCGTGCTGAACGGTTACACAGGGAGAGTCACGGAAGACCATCTCGAGGGACGGAATGCATCAATTCATTTCAGACAGGACCTGGCACTCAAGCAACGCCACCATGTTTTTGAGCACATTTGGAATAAAAATTAGTTGTGCGTACTTTGTGCAGAGTGCTTGCAAAGCAGTACGCACAGAGTGGTCACTGCTCGTGCAGACTCATAGCGAGGCTACATTTGAAAGTCTTTCCATGATTATTTTCAAGAACCTATTCTAGTGGACAAAGCCTTGCAAACGACCCATGTTGTTGTAAGTTATACAGGTCGACTACAAAGTCAAGTTGGCACAGTAGTTGAGAATGAATTCTTAATAAAATATACAACCAACTTACCTGCAAATATCTTACAGAGTGCAAGGTTCTGGTTGGCAGCTGCGTAGTGGAGAGGAGTACAACCCTTGTCATCCCTGGCAAACAACTTCACGCCTCGGTCAAACAGGGACTTGGCAATCTAGTGGCAAAAATGTCACAACAATCATCAATATTGTTTCTTACCAGACCTATTTGACTTTCAATATCGTCAACATTGTAACGGTGTGAGCTGCCAACCTTTTACAAATTTCAAGAGCAATATGATCTCTCCACCTCATTCCACATGATTCGGTAATAATTTTTTTAATTTACTCAGTTTATGTGATTTGTTTGAGATTCAGTAAATAGAGCAGGATGGGTTTTTAAAAAAATTGTGACCAGAGGGAAATTTAAAAAATCTGCTCAAAGAAGCCACTAAATTGTTCATCAGAACCTTGATAATCTCCCTGATGGAGAATTAATGAGGACTTTCCACCAGGTACCAAGAAAATGCCTTTGAAAGTGCTAGATAGCTCAGCGAATAGAGTTCCCAAGTGATAGACAACAGGTTTGAGGTTTAAGTCCAAGCTCTGACATACGTTCGAGATCCCACAAAATGATTCTTAAAAACTTTTTTCCACTAAATAACTTTTCTTATGTCTATGAAAGAACATACTTGGCTTTCCATTAAGATAATTCACTCAGTTCGATATTCCGATGAAAATTTACACATGTTGACAGATCCCATTGATTTCAAGATTTGCTTCAAGGCTTGTAGCTAAAAGTCTGCTCCAGTGACCACAGAATGATTTTTTTTTTTGGGGGGGGGGGGTGGGGGGGTGTAGGGTGATATGGTTTGCAAGTTTTTACATTTGAAAAAATAAAATGATAATATTGAGATACATTTGACAAAATCTGAAGGACACAAGGTTACTCACCTGTTCATAGAGGCTTGACCAATTGGATGAGACGGCATGCATTGATAGCAGATGCAGTAAGCTACGAGCTCTACGATTGGTCTGTTGCAGTTTCGGGGCATCTCGCTGCTTGCGGATCATTGTGCTGGCCAACTGGAATTTCTGAGCCTCCAGGATAGCCTGCAAAGACAACAGTAAAAGTTGGAGAACAATTTTAGTAACAGCTTTACAGCATCAATGCCCCTTCATATTTCTACTTCGAGCAACCTTGAGCAATTTTGGAAAGAATGTAGTATCCAGACGCCACTTTTTTGGTTGTGTAACAAAGTCTATGGAGAGTCAAGTGAATTTTCAAGTATTTTCGAACAAAATTGGAAATGTTTCTCAGTCCCAGATTCATGTCTTTGCAACAAATTTGCAATGAGTGTCCTTTATTGAGATAATTTATGATGAAAAAAGTGGCGTCAGGATGCAATGTTCTTTCTGCAATTTTAACCGTTGGGAATCAGGTTTCAAATCACCACTCTGCAGGTACTTCAGATATAAGACCATAAAGAATCATGGTATCAAAAATCTGTCACACAATACAGTTATAAAATTATACGCAGCACACGGACTATTTTCAGCACTAGCAGTCCGAATATGTGGTATTTAAATCTTGTAATTGCTAAACAAAAAATTAAACCATTTGGAAATGTATTTTCAAAATTAAGTTTGAGGATAAATAAGAAGCTGAAGTGGTTTCACAAAGGCGCAAACATTAGAAGAAATAACCTGAGGATTATACACACAATGTGTAGAACTTGTAAGAGAACACAACAATGTCAAACAGCTGCCATAACTATTGCCACTTAAGTAGGATATGTCTTGTGATGCTTATCGTATCGTGACGTTAGTAATGTGGCTTCAGTCATATCATGAAGAATTTCATCATTACAGTGGAGATGCTGTGAACTGTAGCTATCATCTTCTTATAAGGAGACGTGCTGCACCCAATTTCACAAAGCGCTGTAACACGTCGCAACTCGCGACGCATCGTATACTCCATTTCACAAAACTTGCGATGTGTTGAACGCGTCGTGAGTTCCGTAACAACGGCTTAAAACACGTCGCAATTTACGACGTGTCTAGTGGTCATCGCAAAATGAGAAGAGTCCGTTCATAGCCAGTTTTATGCCCCCCCCCAAAAATATTCGGTCTCTGGTCAGACCAAAGTTCCGGATTTGACGCGGCCACGTGGCTTTTTTCTTTTCTTTTTTCTTTTTTTTCTTTTTTTTCTTTTTTTCTTCATGCTTGGATTGTACAGACAAGGTGGGTACTATTTTGCTTTTTTGGTGTCCTCATGTACATTGGTGTCCTCCATAATTTGCCTTGGTGCTTTCGATCATTTGCCTTGGTGCAATTTCCCATTCCTTGGTGCTCTTTGGTAAAAAAAAATGAGGAGGAGCGGAAATAGAGGGCACTGTTGGAGCTACCGTGGAACATTTTGGAAAAAAAAAAGATCGACCCGCATGATTAAAATCGACGCGCGCGCTGACCAGAGACCGACTTATTTTTTTTTTTGGCCTTATGCCATAAAAATACATAAACCAGACTACAATACCGAGACAAGGTGTGTAGAGTTGTAAATAGAAAAAGAAAAAATTATGAATTAGCCAGGAATATTGCAGTTGAAATTTCAAAGTAGCTATACAGTCAACTGAGAGCTTGATTTCATTTAAAATTGCATCACACGTCCGCCATTTTGCTTTACGTTTTTGAAAAATTCGAGAGATCCGAGGACTCTTTGTCGAATATCAGACGACTATTTACTGTACGCTGACTAAATACATAAAACAGTCACCGAGTTGTGCTACAAATACACCTACGACACGTCGCACCTACGACGTGTTTTGTGAAATGGATCGCAGGACGCGTTGCAGCTGCGACGCATCGTAGAGATATGACGCATCGCAGCGCTGCGATGCATCGTAAGTTACAATGAGTTTAACCCTTACCCTACTAGACCCTCCAACGCATGCCAATATGTGCCTCAAGAAAATCTCCTATGTTTTTTGCATGGCCCTCCAATATCTGCCATGTCATTTCAAGGGTAACTGGACAGGCACTCCAATACATGCCACAGAGAACAATGAGAGTCCTCTGATAACAAAGTGAGTGCCCCCAGCTGGTCAGTATCAGGCATCCTCCAGGGCCTCCAACTCCTGCCAATTGGAGCCTTCACTGTTAAATAAAACTATCTGCCAATAAACTGCAGCTGGAGGGCATTGGCATAACCAACTGACATGCAGTAAACTACCCTCAGAGAGTAAGGGTTAATGAAATCGGGTGCTGGACTCTCAACTGACCTGGATGATATTGATGTATGACAAGCCAAACTTCTGGAGTCTATCCATCATGAGGTAGACCACTCCCTGCCAGCCCTCCCAGACCACGGCTTGGAAGAAAGAAGCTTTGATGGGTGCCCGAGGAGGCTTGACTAGCGCCTTCCACTGCCAGAATCCAGCCTTGGGCTGGGCGTTGTTCTTCTGCTCCTCAAGTTCGGGAGGAACGTAGGTGACCGTAGTGTTGATGTTGGCTCCCTTCTGGATCAGCATGATAGCAACACTGTGTAGGGAGAGTTTGATTACAAGTAAGGAATTACAATTCGGGCGATTCACAATGCAGTGCGCCACCGAGAGTTTGCCATGGAGAGTCCATTTTTCAAGTTTACGGTGGACAAAACATGGCCAACTTGAATGAGTATCAGTAGACAACTTGAGCTAATATGTTATAGATTGGAGCATAGCGTTCTGCCGCCTATCAAAAGCACCATATTGATAAAAAGAAAAGGACAAATAGATCCTCGAATCATACGCTTACGAAACTACTGACCGAAAAAATTAACAATTTCAAATGTCCCACTCTTGGTGGCGCACTGCATTGTGAATCGCCCGAATTAGACAGGGACATTCAAGGTTTACAGAGATAGAAATAGCGAAAATCTACAAACAGTTTTGGAACAATGACGAATATATGAGAAATAAAGAATTTGAAGAATTTGTGTGACAGAGTAATTTATTGATACTTTACACGGAGAAAACCTGTGCCCCCTCCCCCTCCCACAAAGGAGAAACACAACCAATATTTACTGTGATGTCATCAGTAAAATAGCACATGGTTTGTGTGTATTGTTGTCCAGTCATGGACAGACCTCATTATGTGTGTGTCTATAGAGCTGTCTATGATGTCACAGTCAGTCATCAACATTTTCAGTCTAGAACCATGGCTTGAATGTGGCCAAGCATTGTCCAAATTTTGGTATGGTTGAAATTGTCCAGCCAAGAGCATTCAACACTAACAATGACCTCTATAAAGAATTCAGTTGGTGCTCACCTGTCATTGCCACCTAGGGCTGCCATTCCAAGGGGAGTGTTGCCGTTGTTGTCTTTGACGTTATAGTCCTTGATTCTCTGTAGAAATAACAGAAACGACATTTGATCAAAATCACTGGTTAAACCAGTTTAACCACTGTTGCATACATGTACCAGGTGCTTTTGCAGAGACATTTGAATGCAAATGCCCTCTAGAAGAACTTCAGAAAAACATCACAAAACTCACAGTCCTTATCGTCTGCTGTACATCCCAACAGATGTTTCTATTGATAACCAGCAATGTGACCAACTTTGGTAGGCTAGTCTTGACTAGTCAACTAGACTAACTCAACTATCAACTAGTGTGCCTTTAAAAGTCAAGGACTTTTTCCAGCAAAACCTCAGCTTTGTCTCCAGGAGATGTCTTAAGGAGATTTTTCGGCCCCTTGATACGGAAGACTCCAGCTCAATTTGGGTCCCTCCGATAGAACGTAAGAAACCATAACTACAAGGCTACACCCTGCTTCTAAAAGTGCCGAGAAGCAAATGAGAAGACAGTTTCACTACCTCTGCAAGATGCATAGCTGAGATGGTGGCCCCCCGGTAGGCAGCCCAATGCAGGGGGGTCTGTCCAAACTTGTCCTGGGTATCCACCTGCTGTGCCTTCATGGCATCTAAGAGCACGGTCACTATCTCAATGGGGTCTGTCTGTGTATTATCCCGGTGTCTGCATGTACATCAATAAAAAAGAAGAAGAAAAAGTAGTACAACAGTTATGTACTCTCCACAATAGTACCTCCTCAACGGTTACAAAGAGTGAGTTGGGGGGACCACTGGGGGGGGGGGGGGGGGGGGGACATTCGAACGCACTGCTGACGGCGCCCGACATTCATGCGAAGATGCTTTGGGTGTATTTTTGTGTACTTTGCGCCGTATATGCACGTGGTGTTTCCCTCCCATTCGGTCGGTCGACTGTGTTCACAAAACACTGTCTGCTGTTCTTGCAAGGAGTCCACAAACTACGCTTACAGTGACCTCAATACGAAGCCATTACAAAGATCAGATCAGACTCTCGTGCTGTCCATACTCAAAAGTGAATGCGCTTCAGTAATGTATGCAACATAATCATGAGGATTCATCCCACATTGCTTCTAACTCGGTTCGATGGATTCGGCTATGAAAGCTGAAAGAGTTACTTGGCACACCAAAACAATCTCAACAGAATTGCTGTGCCTTGAACGTGAGGAGGCACCATTCTCAATTCTGCACCAAAAATGTTGGATGACTTTTTGAAATTTAGTGTTTTGAACCAGAGGATAAATGATGAACTATTGTCTCTCCAACCCCACTGTTGCAGAGACAACTGTTGCTAAAACCCTTAAGCAGTAAGAAATAAAAACAAACTACAATGTTTTATCCAAAAATTCAATAAATTGCCGAAGAATGTGAAATTATTTTTTGAGGTATCAATCCTCACAACATATTTAAACTTCTTTTCATTTTCAAATGCAAAGTAAAGGGTATCCTTCCCAAAATGCTATTAACAAACTGCCGTCTTTCTTCGTAAAACTTTTGATTTCTGTGAAAAACTTGACAACTTTTCCGAGATGTCGTACCGGTCTATTTTCACAAATGCATAGTGGAGGGGCAGGCGTCCCCGTATGTCCTTGACGAAGACGTTGGCTTTCTTTTCAATCAGGAATTCCGTCATCTCTGTGGGTGTGTCAGCGCTGCCAGTGTCTGAGTTGACGGAGTAGTGAAGGGGCGTACGCTGCTTGGCATCGGCCGAGTTGACACTGGCCCCTGCCTGGATCAGGACACTGGCCGACTGCACGGCCTTGTTTACATCTGTCAAGAGAGATCATTCAGTGATTTTTTATTTAAGACCATTGAAGTGATTTTTCAACAAAGCAACAAATCTAATTTTATGTACAAACAGCTTAGCTCAGCATTAACAAGGCTAGGCTAATAAGGTTGAACAAAATCGTTGCACATTTATGATTTTTGACTTTGGTCGAGTGGTATGACAGCTGCACTAGAAAGCAGGAGGTCGTGGGTTCGAGTCCCACCCGAGTGATTTTTTCCAACTTTCACTCGTGAGGTAACACACTGAGTATACAGTGTTTAAACGTCGGTGAAGGGCAAAACCTATAATTTGATTTATATAACCCCGACGCAAAATTCCTTTTCATAAATACCTTTTCGGTCAAATAAAAATCAAAAGTTTTGGGTCCAAAAGTCAAACAAGTCAAAAATTATAAATTTCCAACGATTTTGTTCAACAATTTTACTTCATGTTTTTCTAAACATCCCTCTTTCTATATCATGGAATGTCCCTCTACAACTCATTACCTTATATGGAGATTGGCACACGCGTACTGCGCAATGTGGCACAAAACGCAGCTGTGCCAGTGTAGTGTGAATTTAGGACTATGAAATACTGACTCACTGGTAGTATTGCGCATGCTTACGCGAGGATTGTGAATGTTCAACCAATGAAACAGTAAAAGGCTCTGGCTTTCACAGGAGGCTAAATTTCATGGGACACTGGAAAAGTTTAAAGACCAGCCAACTGGCCTTTACCAACCATTTTAAACCGGCTATGTGACAGGCTCTCGACCAATAGGAATGGGTAAACTGTCTTAGGCATTTATGAATATCAGATCAAGACCAAGATACTATTTGCATTGACAAGACCTACCGTGGCCTGCTATGGTTGTACAGTGCAGGGCTGTCATCTCATACTTGCTGTCTTTGGCAGAGACGTCTGCTCCTTTGGCCACCAGGATTGGAATGAGGTCGTGCAGGCCAGCTCTGCACACAAACAGTGAAACGGCAGCAAGTTGTAGAATCACAAACAGGAGCTTTCATTTCATTATTCTTTATCTTTCTACAAGTGTTTTCTCTAAAAGAATTCTAAAGAGAAAGAGAACTGGTACAGTTTATGGGCCACAATGTCTATTTGGTTATTAACCCTAATCTTCCCAAATTCTCCAACATCCTCTTTGTATGAAATGAGGATTTCGAAAGATTGAGGCTGAATGGCAAAACTGTGTCACTTGATTTTGGAGGATGCATTATAACAAGGTCTTATAACAAGCTGCACCTTGTGTTGTTTATGCTGAGCCATGCATACGTTAGGCCTAGATTATTACTTGAAATCATTCACACTGCTTCGGGATTTTGCAGGATTGAGGCAGTGGTTACCCCTCCAATGAAAAAATTCAAGAAATAACGGAGGATTTGGGAGATTTAAGGCTGTATCCAATTTTTACAGGGAGGCAGTTGGAGGATTTTGCAGGATTGAGGTGGCATCCCAGCAAAAAAAAGCCTAAAGGGTTCGGGTTATTAAAGTTATTAACATACGTTATTTGGTAACATTTTTGGTTTGATTAATCAACAATCACTTTGTGAAAATAAAGGCCTCCTTTCAGAAGGCACAAGAACATGTGCCAAAAATGATTTTCACGCAAAATTTTCAAACAAAAACTTCAAGAATCCATACACAAAATTCTTCGACAAGGAAATTGGACATGTGCAAGAAGGGATATGCTTGGTACAAATAATATCAAGTCCAATGTTCTTTAGAAAGTAATTGAATATTAGGTATAATACCGGTGGTATATTGTGTATAATGTTGGTTATTGGAGGTTCCTTTGTCAGCATCATTTGTGTTAAATACCAACTGGCTCATAAGAATTGCAAAGACATGGCCGCTGAAAAAAAAAAAATGTTAAAAGAAAAAAAAATTGCCTCGTTTTTATTTTTTGATCGTTAAATCTTATGAATCCAAGGTTTGATGTTTACCACAAAAATTATATTGATGCCTTGTTTGAAATTAAACTTAACATCGAGTATTCTGAGCAATCTCAAAAAATAAAATTAACAAAATAAGCAGCTTGATTCTCAAGTTGTATCCAACACTGAAAACATTGGAATTCATGAGCAGTGAGCAATTCTTCATATTGTTTACAGCTTTTACCTCGCAGCCAAAATCAGTGGGGTTGCCTTGTCACCACGCTTGCTGGCTGTGAACAGGTTCACGTTGGCTCCCGCTTCAATCTGTATATGATGATAATAATAATAATAGCAGGTACTTACATAGCACTTTTTACTAAGATAAAGGCGGTTTACATCATTATTACCCCTGCTCATTGGGCCATTGAAACATTCCAAATACAATCTCAGCTCCCTGGGGAGTATACATACAGCTCAAGGCTGCCATTTCGTCGCAAAACAGCTACAATCAATCACAATAACCATCTCTGCCCTCCCAGGTACCCATTTACTCCTGGGTGGAGAGAAGCAATGAGTGACAAAGTGCCTTGCCCAAGGGCACACGCACCATAGCTGCAGGCTGGACTCTAACCCACAACCCGCAGAAAGAACCGCAGACTACGAATGCAATGCCCAAGACCACGAGGCAACGGCACTTCGCATGGAAAAACATGTCTGGGCTGCAGCCTTTTAGAAAGACTCTACTACAGAATCTTTACAGATGCTGTGGATAGTGCTGTGTTGCCAACTCCAGTGCACAATTTACAGTTCAGGATTAACCCAGTAGATAAAGCACTATGGGCGGCAACTGGAACTAAGTCAGGATCTTCAGTTTTTATGAGATTAAAACGGACGGAAATATAATTGGCACATCTGGGGCCAATTTCATAGAGCTGCTTAAGCACAAAAACGTCTTGCTTAATAAAATCAGGTTACCGGCCAAAACTCCATGCGATTGTTATGCTAAGTAAACAACAGCTAAATACCAGTTACAAGCAATGTACATCACATGGAGTTTTGGCCGGTAACCTAATTTTACTAAGCAATGTTTTTTCGTGCTTAAGCAAATTTTCTGCTTAAGCAGCTCTATGAAATTGGGCCCTGTTGGAGCAACGGAATATTGTCAATTATAATAGTTTCCTAATCACTGGAGAACATGAACTATTCTTCGTTTTCATTTGTACCCTCTGTAATTGTTCCAAACATAAAATTTGTCAATGTGGACACTCTGTGCGCACGCACACTTGGAAAATCAAACTGGCTTGTTTCGGCAGTGTTGTCACCAATTATGTACCTACCAATAGCTTGGAGCTGTCTTGTCTCTTGTGCAGTATGGCTCGTTGTAGGGGTGTAAAGCCACCTTTATCCAGAATGTCTAGCTTGGGCTTGGCCTTCAGGAGAATGGTCAAGGCCGGAATATTGCTGGCCAGCGACAACAGGTGGAGTGGACTGGCGCCCTCTACAGCAAGGGGAAAAAATATAGCAACGGTGGCAATGATAATTTTTAACCCAATTCTTTTTTTTTTTTGTATCCTAAATCCTTAAAAATCCAACACTATGTACAAAGACCCTTCCTTGAGAAAATTCCTCCCAGGATCAAAACATCTAGCCCTCTAGCTTTTTTTTGATTTTGCACATTTGCTGGATAGCTCAGTTGGGGACCACAAACATGGGGCTGGATAGCTTAGTTAGTTGAACACTGGAACGGCAATCTGTAGGTCGCAGGTTCACCCCTGCTCCAAGTCAATTTCTTTGTTCCAACTTTTTAAAATAATTATAATGCACCTAGTTAGTTTGCCTTTGTGGTTGATTGGTAAATTTATGATACACAGTAAACAGTGTAATGTTTCTGTTGTGGTGCTATTGCATTGCTAGGAATCGAGGTGTTAATCTCAGATGTCAGTGGGTCACTACTGACCAGGGCCCAATTTCATAGCGCTGCTTAACAGCCGACTTTGTGCTTACCGAGCCTTCATCTATTTCATGGAAACCGTTAAGCAGTAAGCACAGCAAAAGCACGCTTAACCCCAGAAGAAAACTTTGCTTAAATCAATGACGTAACAACAGAAATCTCCATGCGCGCGCAACCGTTAGCATGAAATAGTGATAAGCAGCAGCATGATTTTCTGCTATAGTAAGCTCAACTTTTCTGCTTACTGTTAAGCAGTGCTATGAAATTGGGCCCAGCTGGGAGTATGGGTAACCAGTAGATGGGCTGGTAGTTTGTGCATGCATTGTGTGATACCCATCTGAGAATGATGCACACTGGGAATTAGCTATCGTTTCTTGACAGGTTCGTAAATTGACAAATGAAAGCAATATGTTCAGGCCATGAATATGTATGAGGGGTACAAATTACAACTACTAGCAAATGACTCACCACATTGCTGTGCGTCTTTGCCCTTCCCGCTTACTACGACAGCGTTGACGTCTGATTTGGCAACTTCAATAAGAGCCTAGAAAAAGAGCAAGACAAAAGTTTAATACCAAGGAGGTACGGTTTGAAGGACTCAGTGAAAGGAGAAGATGGAGGGAAGATTCAAACCAAACTCATCCCTTTGACGATAATAAAAAAAGGGTATGTAAAATTCTAATCTATGTACACATCAATGAGCACATTTTCCAAAAAGGCCCAATAAAGCTATTTCAAAACCTGATTTGGGTCTAATGTTTGTGTGACAAATGAGTACTTTTTTTCAATATCGGTTCTTGGAACCAGTTGGGTTTAACACTATTAATAGTTTATGTTTGGTGCAGGTGTATGCAGACTTTTAGCCTCAACTGTACATGCTATTTTGCCATTATCTTAAAACCAACAAACCCTCATTTTCACCGCTGCCCAGTTCTGTCGCATTTTGCCAGAACACTTCACATATACAGTGATTTTTTTCCAAAGTATACTCAGGCATGCCACTGGGAATTTAGAAAAACGAGGAAACTCCAAACCACACAAGAGGTTGTACAGTACTTTACAATTTGTAATGACATTCATGAGAAGTAAAAAACGAGGATATCAGCGGATCCAAGGAAAAGTTACATGCCTGTTACTTGAATATGATGATAACATTTCTTTGTCAGGTCAGGTGCCTTATCAAATGTCTGAGATTTTACTTAAGGTGGTTAGTATGTTAGCTTACTTTGAACATGCTGAGGAAATTCTGCAAGGTCTTTCCATCCTGTAATGCAGAAAAGAGAAAAAACCTGATAATTATGGCCGTTTAAAAATGTTCAGCAATTAAAAAGCAATCGGTAGAACAAAACAGGATTGCATGTATGATTAACAAAATTCATACATGTCAGATATAATAAAGACAGGAACAAAGTGGACCCAATCCATATAATGATGCTTATATGGAATAACTGCTGACAAGTTTTATATTATTAGCGGCCTGACAATCGCTCAGTTCTTGCATGGTAGACTAGTCCACTACTCCTTGTCAGTATCGATAATGAAGGGACTGGGGTTCTACTTGCACGACCAATCCGTTTATTGTCAAAGGGCAAATCCAAATTAATTGCCTTTTTTAATAGTTGTAGCCAACCAAAACTTTTTTCTTTGAAATAGAACATACAAGTTAAAAATTGCAAGAGGAGAAACGATAAACTTTGTCGAAGAACACAGACAAGTTGCAAATACCAGTTAAAGATTGATTATCATGGCAGTAATAAAAGCACAAAATGTGCATGGCAGGAAAACAAAAACCAGAAGAGTCGGCAAAACCTTAAGCCGGCCTCAGATCGACCTGCAATTTGGTTGCACTGGGCGGAACCGTCGGTAGCTAAACACAAAACTAAGAAACGGTGTGATTATCGTGGCACAAGCGGCATCTTGACACAGAACAGTGGCAACCATGCTCGTGTCAACCACAACGCGACAATGAACCCGTGGAACAGAGGCTACCACATGACTTGTTTGAAATGGCGGCGCACAATGATCATGAAACTATTCCACAAGCTGATCATGCCGATAGGTTACACAAGAAAAATAGATGATCTGGATGTCGTAACCACACACACATTGACTGTGATTGATTCCCACCTGTTGGGAACAAGTTCCTTCATAGCGCAGAAGTTGACAATTTTTAACCTTTGAGACTCTTAATTTTTTTAGTGACAGCTGATATCGATCGTTTTTCTTGGTATAGTTACACTCAGGTTGCAAATAAATCAGTGGTAGACAGTGCCACACGGTCGTACTTCGTTGGACAATTTATCAGCCGGTTTTTGTATGATTTATTTCATCCTTTGGGCTGGGAAATAGTAGTCGTGAGTATCACCCGTTATCCAGGAGCCCAGACTCCTGTCTAACGTCTGATATATCAAAGCATGCAGTTTATACGATCTCGCGCCTCAGCCATTCGGAGTTGACTTTACTAAATCGTGACGTCATTTCATTCCCAAATCAGGACTAAATGTTTGATTAGTCAATTTGAATGCAGTGTTTTGTTATACAACAGCCGGGCGTGTATAGCCTAACACAATAAAGAGCGCGTGACACAGCCTTTGTTGCTGTGTCTAGGTTTTTTATTTATCCATGTCTATGCAAGACAACGGGTCAATGACCGAAGAAAGCGCCCGCTGATTGGTCAAAACCTAGAGGTCAAGATGCGATTGTCTTTCATAACTAATCAGCGAATCTGCTCAATGTTATAGACCATGGCTCAGCTTGCATTTTATTCAACGAGTGATTGCAAATCTCACATACTGACAAACCGTCTTTGCTTTTTTTTTGGGGGGGGGGGGTCTTTTCCACTTTTTTCAAAGTACTTAAAAGTACCTGGTGTGATTTGTGATGACAATAACAGATCCAATTCAATACAATTCACTGCAACATTTATTTCTATTCAATCATAAGCTTGAATTGAAATCAAAAGGCATGTACAATGAGAGAAATCAAAGAAATATACTTATATAGGAACAAATAAACCAAAACGGGAAAATTAATTAACAGCAATATTCGGCAAAAATAAGGTAGAAAAGAAGATCCTCACCTTTATCTGAGGTGTTCTTCTTGACATCTGAGGTGCTCTGTATCCAAATCCTCTGTGATGGACTGGCACTTTAGTCTTCGGCTTTGTAGGGAATCAAAAACAGAAACAAAATGTGAATAAAACACTAGATTCAGACATCTTCTCCCAAAAGAATCTTGAGCAACTTCCTTCAAGCATTTGGGTGATAAGACTGGTGATAAAAACATTGACAGACACACAAGTCTTGAAGTTTTGTACTGTGAATTTTGGACATCACAGCAACAAAGGTGTGTTTTTGTACGGTGGGCGAGGACACAAGGGTTTCTTTTTCGGTCCAAAGTCTCAGTAAACTACTAAAACACAAAAAGACTTCATCTGTTAATTCTTAAGTATCTATTATCCTCAATTCAGAACCATTTAAAGTTGTCAAATTGTTGTGAACCTGTAATGCACCTGCACTAGCAACCATGAGGACGAGGATATGAGTCTCACCTAAACAGCTTGTGTAATTTTGCACACAAGCTCTCGAACAGCTGTGAGTACACAGTACTTATAAACTTTTTTTTCCTGGAGAGGGCAAAAGCATTGATTGGAATGCAGAGGCGTATTTAAGTGGGGAGACATGCTTCCATCCCCCTAGAAGAGTTGAAAAGGAAATTACAAATAGATGCTTCACAGCTTTGTTGACCTGGTGTTTGCAAATATTGTGGGGCTGGACCCGTCAGCAAAATCCCGCAAAAGCCAGGAAGTATTCCTCCAGTTTCTTCCTACACACTGCCTCGCTAAGGAACTCCTTACCTGTGTCTTGTTTTCCAGTTGATTTTCAACTGTCCCAGTTCAAGCATAACTTCAATACTTATCTTTGTACATAAAGTATTTTTTTCTTTCTCTCAGATTTCCTTTTCTATTCCTTCTTTGTGTAGCCCTCACCTTGAGTGGCCCTTAAATAGGACCTTGTGATGGGCGACTCTCATAAAAAGCTACAGCAAAACGTACATCTCCCTTATAGGGGGAAGATGCTCACAAAAAAACCAACTCCAAAATCAAGTCTCAAATACTTGCTACCTACTTGAAAATTAGCAATGATGCATCTGAGTAGTGGAGTTTGACCGTGTTTATCAACTGTTTTGGCCGCCTCCTCTAAGGATATAACCTTCTTCTTCTTGGCTGGCTCCTCAGAGTCATCGTCCTCCTCCATTGGTTCTTCGGGCTGTTTGTCAAACTGTTAGAGCAGATAACGAGACTTTAATGCAACCTTGCAAAATGGAATCCCCACTATTTTTTCTTGCAAAGTTGTAATCTGATGTAAACAAAAGTTTGTCACAATTCAAATCACAAGTTAAATCACAGGTATGTTTTGAAGTAGAAACCCTGCCAAACGCAGCAACATGCAACACTTGTCCAAGTGACAAGCCTGCCCAGTGCAGCAAGATCCATCAGGCCAAAAGTCTCAAGGCCAAAGTGCCTCAGAGTCTGTGGTCACCGAATGCAGCAGGATACAACTGTGGCATTGTTGAATAGGACTAGCTCTCAATGTTTCAGTACTGGCCATTGATGCACTGGTGTTGGTAGCTGAATGCATCAAAGTGCATCAGACTTTTCCACCTGATGCACTGTGCTGCGTCTGGCAGGGTTAGGGTTACAAAGGAATGCATTCTCATGTGGATGGACAGGGTACATACTGTCTGAAATAATATGTCAAAATCAGACTTTTCTGGGCAAAAAGTCAAAAATGAGATTTTTGCTTATTGTTAAAATATGTACTTTTTCCTTTTAATAGGTGGTTTAATTTTGAAACCGGTCATTCCTGGGCAAAGTTATGCTATTTTGAAGTTAATCGTGTCGAAAAGTAAAAAACGGAGAAACGGCAGTTATAAGTTGGGGTCTATTTTAAGACCTGTTTCAAGTGACTTTTCTTTAACTGATATACCTTAACAAATCATCAAAAATACTATACTTAGAGTTCAAATTAGGGTTTCAAACTATATATATTATTATATTTAAGACATGTTCAGGATTACAAATATGCAAAAATTAAGAAATCCAAAAAAATCATCCCCAACATCATTTTTTTGGCCCTATCTTAATTTCAACCTGTGAACAGAAGCGTCTGCTTTTTTGACAGAACAGGTCACATATTGACATAGCACTCTCACAACCTGTTCTTTTAGAACCAACACTTCTACACAGAGGAGATTTCTTTTCACATGGTGTCGCCCGCGAACCACATTGTTACAATAAGGAATGCCTCTGTCACATTTCATATGAACAGCTTGTGAACTTAACGTATGACTTGTGAGTGACTGAGGAAGACTTATGTGCTTGGCAACAATACACTATTTCTTCACTGAACGAAGAACCGAATAAATGCTAGTCTTGGTTCTTAGACATCCTTTGCGGTGTGGTGTTTCAGCGTGCCCGGGTAAGTGGACTACCCAGCGATCCACCAAAGTGGGCGCCCTTTACACAAGCCAACACAAGCAGCAAAGGAAGCCTGGGGAATCTCGTGCCATCAGTATGTTACCCGATTAACAGTTTTCCAACCATTGTTTTTGTTTCCACCAGTGCGCATGCGCTATTATTCCTGTTAAATTATGCATATTAGGTCACGCCCTACTCCAGTGCGAGATTCCAAAGACGTTCCTTGAGCGCAGTTTGTCTAGCGAGTCAGGTTGGTAGATGGGAACAGAAAGCCCTCTATCGGGACAATATGCGAAATTCATGCAGCTGCGCGGTACAAAAGCTGTACCTTCTATCGTAAATTACCCCACTAAGAACATCTCGCACCAAGACTAAACACATGCTGAAACAACGGAATGCAAACCCCAATGCTTACCGTTTTGGCGATGGTTGGGAGTAGCACACCCAGGTCGTTGTGGGTGCAGCGGGTGGCCATGATGTGCAGTGCATTGTCGCCATCCCCTGCCACATCCAGGGATAAGCTACAACCTTTGTCCAAGAACAATTGCACCAGCTCCATGCAGAAATTATCCTGCAAAATAAATCAATAAATTGCAAAAACACACAGATATAAAAAATGTTGAGCTCCATCTCCCCCCCAAAAAAAATAATGGAAAAAACAATTGTAACTTATTTTGAGATGCTGGTGTTCAACATGAAAAGAATATGCTTTTCTAGCACCTTTACAAGTACTGCTTATGGCACCACATTGAGAAACTCTTATCTGATACCCCTTAAGCACCCACAAAAAAGTATCTGGTTTCTGGTCAGTATGTATAAGCTTTATGTGACCTCTCTGGGCTCCCATATATTTTGCACTAAATTTAGTCAGGCACCAATTGCAGATGGTGTTGTAATTTTGTAACTGTGCGTCTGGAAGCCAGACTGAGGGAACGATGGTCGTGTATCTGGAACCTGTAAACGCTTTTGAATTAGCGCAATATGTAAGGGAGCAGACAAATGACCAGCCTGGCAGCATATGCACAGTGTCGCTGTATAGTCTGATGTTACCGTTTTCTCTGAAAAACCTTTCCCTTCTAGATCACCATCAAATTTTCTTGAATTTCCCTGTTTTGTGGAGTTTTTCCAAATTCCCTTAGTTTCAATTCCCTTAGTTTTCCCTGACTGGTAAAATGAAAACTTATTTTTAAACTTTCCCTTATTCATCTATTATAGTTAAAGCTATAGTCCATCATTTGCAGCCATCCTGAAAAACAAACTTGGTTGAAAGATAGTAAGGGAACTAAACTCCCTGTGAAATTATTCTTTCTGGGAAGCTGTCATTTTGAAGTAATCAACGAAAGAAGGCATTTCCAACGGTGATTCTTAAGACGCACCGTAGGAAAATTTAAATTAGTAGTTCGTTTTGTTAATCAGCACAGCGCGCACAAGTATTGGAACGACGCACACGCGCGCGCGGTTGTTATAATTCGTCGGATCAGTGCGCAACGTCGCGTATAGCTGCAATTCAAAACAATTCAAAACATGATTCAGTAACTTTTGATTTGAAATTGAGATCTTAGAATGCTGTTTTTCTCGGAATGTACAGCTGAAGCTTAGCTGAGACTTCATCAGGTTAGTTGCTCAGTATCCTTCATTAGATTTTGAACTCTTTTGTTGCTTCAAAACGAACAAAATGCACACATTACAAATGATGGACTGTAGCTTTAAATATTAACCCACATTTTAATCATTTTGTAACGTTTGTGTGGAAAATAAAGTAAAGTAAAGTAAATTTCCAGAATGGCTGGGAGTAATGGAAAAACGCCATGTCCCACATCACTCGGCAAGTATCAAGGGAAGGCATTCTCAGCTATCATGTGCCCCCTGACATGTTAAAACCCCCCATGTCAGATATCCAGGCTATTCAATGATTGCTCCAGTGTACCTGCTGCAGGGCCAGGTTAATGGGTGTCTTGCCCTCCTTGTCCTTGACCGTGGCATCACAGCCTTTCTCCATCAGTAGCTTGGCTACGTCCAGTATAGCATTCTTCTGAGCTTCTTTCTCTGCTTCCTACAAAGATAAATGTATGACAAAAGAGTTGTACAATAATCTTCTTAAAGTTGCGTTCCCTCTGCGCTTCAAAAAATTCAATTTTTTTTTTTCCGTTACTAAATTTTTAACTTGCATGTTATATTCCCACCAAAATACACCTAATTTTCCTTTTTTGGATGTATCAAAATCTATGGGGGAAATAGGGTTTTTGTCTTGTTGATAACCCTTGACTGTATGATGTTCAATGGTGTTGCTGCTTTCTTACATAGTGGAGAATTTTGAAAAGCTTCTTCGAAAAAGTGCCACAGACTTAGGGCTTAAAGGTAGAGTCCATCATTTGTAATTTGTGCATTTTGTTCGTTTGAAGCAACAAAAGAGTTCAAAATCTAATGAAGGATACTGAGCAACTAACCTGATGAAGTTTCAGCTAAGCTTCAGCTGTACATTCCGAGAAAAACAGCATTCTAAGATCTCAATTTCAAATCAAAAGTTGCTGAATCATGTTTTGAATTGTTTTGAATTGCAACTATACGCGACGTCGCGCACTGATCCGACGAATTATAACAACCGCGCGCGCGTGTGCGTCGTTCGAATACTTGTGCGCGCTGCGCTGAATAACAAAACGAACTACTAATTTAAATTTTCCTACGGTGCTTCTTAAGAATCACCGTTGGAAATGCCTTCTTTCGTTGATTACTTCAAAATGACAGCTTCCCAGAAAGAATAAATTCACAGGGAGTTTAGTCTCCTTACTATCTTTCAACCAAGTTAGTTTTTCAACAATAATTACGCCAGTTACTTTTCGGATAGCTGCAAATGATGGACTATAGCTTTAAGAGTTTTCACTTCGTGAAGATTTGTGAAACCCTGAGAATTAAGATATGGGAGTTTTTGAGAAGTACGAATTCCATATTCAAGATACATGTGCATACTACACTTTGCCGTGCAAAATCATGAGGAAATACCAACAACCAAATGCATTGCCTTGCCTTTATTTTTGGATGTGTTTGAGGTTGCATAAGAGACGATACCAATGTTGTTAATGCTAAACATTTTATTTTGGCCATCACTGACGAAGATCTGTAAGTTTTTTTGTGTCCACATTCTGAGAGATACTTACATCACCTCGATCAGGCATCCCACCGGCAGCCAAGTAGTGAAGCTGTTGCAGGAAAAAACACAAAACAAAAAAAATCTATCAATCATGCTTGAAATATGTACTAAGCTATAATGGGCTCTTAAAATAAATTTGGGGTCCAAAGTGTGACATTTTTCCCGTCCCTGTTACCTTGGTACTTTGTTATTTGCCATTCAAGCATCTTTAAGAATGACTTCAAATGATTGTTTATTTGTTGAGTAGGTAGTTTGCTATTCACAATCACTCTTGGAGGATGACTGCATTAAGGAGTGCATCAGAATTATACAATCATAGATGTCAGATGTAACAGGGACAGGAAAAAAAGTGGACCCCAAATTTATAGAATGACCCATATGGTGACAAACCGAAGCCGTTGCTGCCGTTCATGCAATACCTACGCTAAAATGCAACGGCTTGTGCTCTTCAGTAAAAGGTTGTTGTTGTAGTCAACCCAATCATAAGACAAATTACGAGTCACATCACAATAACACGGGTGAACAACAACAAAGAAATGTCTGTGACACAGTTCATTTGAAGAGTTATCAACTTGACTAGAAACTGGAGGAACTTGAGATGGACTTGTGATGGGTTTGTGATGGACTTGTGATGGGTTTGTGATGGACTTGTGATGGGTTTGCGATGGACTTGTGGTGGGTTTGTGATTGACTTGTGATGGGTTTGTGATGGACTTGTGATGGGTTTGTGATGGACTTGTGATGGGTTTGTGATGGACTTGTGATGGGTTTGCGATGGACTTGTGGTGGGTCTGTGATGGACTTGTGATGGGTTTGTGATGGACTTGTGATGGGTTTGTGATGGACTTGTGATTGGTTTGTGATGGACTTGTAATGAGTTTGTGATGGACTTGTGATGGACTTGCCATTACTTGCAAGGAACGTAGTCCAATTCATGGAGATACTAAGCAGAAAATTTTGCTTAGCCGAGACCCAGAAACAAGCAGTAGACATCTGGGCCAAATATAATAGCGCTGCTTAACAGTTAGCAGAAAAGTTGTGATTACTATAGCAGAAAATCATGCTGCTGCTTAAGCACTACTTCATGGCACGGACGTGCTCACACATGCGCGCGCATGGAGCTGTCTATTGTTACGTCACTGATTTAAGCAATTTTTTCCACAAGGTTTAAACATGCTTTTGCTGCGCTTACTGATTACGGTCTCCATGAAAAAGACGGAGGCACTATTAGCACAAAATCAGCTGTTAAGCAGCGCCATGAAATTGGGCCCTGATGGCATTTTGCTTGGTCACCTGATATTGCATGGCAAATGTATTCTGCGCTTACCAAATTTTTACGCTCAGCAGCATCATGAAATGAACCCCTGACTACAACTCATGCTTCTTTTTGAGTCATGTTTTGAATTGCGCTCGAAATCAGCGCCCGGGACACATTCTCATTCAGCCGATTGAAGTTCAGCTACACAATGTTACACGCTGAACTGAAAAAATATAGCAACTGCTCACGTGTGCCTTCTTTAAACGTTTGTGTGCACCCATTCACGGCTTCGCCAAATTGAAAACGAACCACTAACGCAAATTTCCAAAAAAAAAAGCGTCTTTAGACGCATCTTCAGAAATGACCTTCTTTTTGTTGTTTTCTTCAAATGACAGCATGCCAAAAAGAATAACTTCACAGGGAGTTTAGTGCCATTACTATCTTTAAACCAAGTATGCTTTTATATAATAATTTCATCAGTTAGATTCTGAATAGCTGCAAATGATATTCTCTACCTCTAAAGTGCCTGGACAGTAAAAGGTTCTACTCACAGCATTTCTGTCATCAATATCCACCAGTGTGAGGTCAGCTTTCTTCTTAATCAGGTACTTCATCTGTTCTACCATGTACTTGGTCATTGGGCTGGCAGCAGTCAGCATGACTAGAGTAGCTCCACTGTCATTCCTGAAGTTGAGACTGACCCCTGGCTGTTCCAGTAAGAGATCAGCACAGCCGGTGTGTCCCTTCATCAAGGCCACACCTAAAGGCGGGGTCTGGACAAAAACAATGCTGGTAATTCAATGCCGATAAAGTTTCGCCTAACCTTCCCAAATCCTCTTTGCAAAACGGAGGATTTTGCAGGATTGAGGCTATATGGTAAAAACGTGCAGCTCATTTTGGAGGATGGATGCAATGTGTCAAGATCTTGAGCCGGACTTTGTGTTGTTTATGCTCAGCTGTGCATAAATTTAGGCCTAGATTATATTTGAAATCCTCCACATGTCTCCCGAATGTCACTGGCTATGCCTAAACACATTGGCAGTGATTGCTGGACAATTTTTGCAGGATTTAGGCAGTGGTCACCCCTCCAAGGACCACATTCAACAAATAACAAAACAATTTGGAGGATTGAGGCTGTATGCAATTTTTATATGGAGGCAGTTAGAGGATTTTGCAGGATTGAGGTTGCATCCCAGCAAAAATGCCTAGGGAGTTAGGATTACAAGTTGTACTGATATTTTTATCAATAATGCTAAGAAATGTAATTTCACACATTTTGTTGTATCTCTCACTTGAGGATAACTTAAGTTTGTCAAGAGAAAGGAGAGACAATGAACTTTCTTACTTTTCTATCTAACATTGTTCCATGTATACACCAAACTTTAGCTAGAGTTGGGAAATAGGCAGGAATACAACACACGAAAACAAACAACTAATGTCCACAAAAGCAGATCAGACCAAGGGCGTGGTTTGGACTAGTTGGTCATAGATATTATGGAGCTTGCATGCCCCGTCATCTTTATTGAGAGTGTTCTGTATGGATCAGATGTAGGGGGAGAACACTCTCAATAAAGACGACGGGGCATACGAGCTCCATAACATCTATGACCAACTAGTCCAAGCCACGCCCACAACGCCCTCTATGACGACCAAGAAAGGGTAAGAAAAGGCAGTTGAGAATTGGACATGGTTGCCAGTCTGACGAAGCTCCTAGTTTAGGAGTGAAACGTAACTACTAAAAATCATGAGTAACATCTTCACGTTTTTGGATTGGAAAAAAACAAATCTCTTGACTCTTACAGCTTCACTACCTTACAAAAAAAAAGCATGTTTACGTCAAGGGATCTAAACTCCAACTCACCTTCCAGTCATTGAGGATGTTGGGGTCGCCGCCAGCTTTGAGCAGTAGTTTGAGGCAATGCCACCAGCCGTAGGCAGCAGCATAGTGAACGGGAGTGTTTCCTGACGAGTCCTTGTCATTAGGGTCAGCTCCTTTCCTTAGGAGTAGAGTAGCTACTGGATAGTGGCCGTTCATGCAGGCGAGCATCAGGGCGGTACGCTTGATCTTATCTGCCAAGTACAAAAATGAAGATGATCCAACAATTTACACAGTTCACTTAAAACTATAAAAAGGTTCCTTAAGGGTTCCTTTTATGTTGCCGTGCAGGTAATAATGCAATTTGTCTGAATCAAGGTTAATATTTACTAAAAGTAATAAGGGCTAAACTTGAAATCTTAAAAAGAACCTCTAGGTGCGATTTTCATTCACTTTAATAATTTTGTGGGCCATCTCAAGGGTATTTCAGGGCCTGTTGAAATTTTATGCTTGTTTCCTTAAAGGGAAGATACATTTGCAAACCTCACAAAACGAAATGATCAAATTATCACAAAATACCATACTGGATTGTTAGGGAATGAAAGTTTAAAGCATCCTGTAAAATCGTGGCTCCTGGTGTGCTGTCATTTTCAGGAAAAACAGGATTAAATTCCAATGCTGGTCGGTGGACCAGTGTTGGAGAAAATTGGCTTTTTTCAAAAACTGCTCCTAATCTGTCATAATTAGTTATTCCGCGTTTTCTTTGCAGTTGATTACACACCTGTGAAGGGGTACAAGCCTGCTAGACTGATTCTCTGAACTTACAATTCCCCAAAGTCTATAAATTGCTCCGTTTCATACTGAAGAGTTTTGGAGGGTGTAAAAGAGTAGGGTCAAGGAGGGAACGAGAGACAGCAATTTGAATAAAATACCCTTTTTGGCAATGATGGCCTTGACGTCGATCAGAGCTTTGGCGACTTGGAAGTGGCCAGACTGGGCAGCAACCATGAGCGGGGTGAGCCTATTGGTTGAGGCCGACGTCACGGCCTCGATGTCAGCACCGTGCTTGATCAAGCTCTTCACGCACTCCTTCAATGAATGCAAAAACAAAACAGAACGTTAATGATGCTTGGGCTCTACCACAGTCCTCTAGAAATGATTCCAAAATCACAATAAAAAAATGTGATTTCTTTCAAATAGCAACAGATAAAAACATTGAATCCCAACATTCACCCTCCTATGCAAACATACATTCTGTGCCAAGTAGTCCTTTCAGTCAAAATCAATCAAGTGACTGTTTTCAACAGTTAAGAGCGCCCAGCCTACATAAGGCGAGGCGTCATAAATAAATTAACCGTTCGAACGCGTGCGCACGCTAGGAACGGGGCCTTTTGTTACATCTACCTCCCGTTCGCACGCGTGCTCACGGCATCCCGTTCCGAACGCGTTCTTATACAACAAAAGGCCAGTCACGGTCTGTGCACACACGAAGAGCTCATCGGCACTAAAAGTATCCGACAAACTTTCTCGTCGCTACAGGCTAGCCCGTACAGTACAGGGGGGACGTATAAAAATACGGGCACCTTGAACGGGGAAAGCAGTCCTTTGCAAACTTTACTATCAGTATGTAAAAACCTTGAATATTCGATTTATAATTCGCTGATCGTGTGTACAAGGCCAGTTTATAACATCAGTCATCAAACTTCTTACAATGTTTAAACTTGTTTTTGTGAACATTATATGCAGTACCGTACCTGCTAGTTTACATTTCCGTGCTTGTACCCAAAAAAAGAAGAAGAATACTCGCACTTCGTTTTACATAAAATAAGTGTCAAACGTCTCAATTATTTTTTGGGTTGGAAACGATCTAGTGTAGTATGTCTGGTTTTCTCAATTTTTATTTTAAAACGACTTTATCTTCTTCGTCTGTTTTCATTTCTGAACTGCAAACGCGTTTTTCAGTAGATTCAGTGGTAAAATTTAACGAATTACGCCCAGGTTTCTGGCTTTTAAATTGCCCAGGAATATCTTAAAAGGTCAGGCATGGTTGTCTCTTGTTGAAGTCTCAGTAATTCCTGCCACCAACTGATCATCGTCGTGCAAGGTGCGAGGTTCATGCGCTGCACCGTCCTCCCGCGTGCGAACGGGCCCCCTGCTGTACGTCGTGTAACCCGTCTCATGCCTCTTGCATTTACATGCTATGTAGTATGCAATGCTAGCCCGGGGGCTGACTGTTTATAAAACGTGGGAATTGCGTGCTCAGGGGGAAGTCCCAAGTCGTGCAAAACGGCTGTTTCATGTATCATTTTCTTGAAATGTTTCGCTGCGTGGCCTTTGTACGTCAAAAAAATTTAAAATAATATCAAACAAAACTGAAATCTAATACTAATAAGTAATAGACCCTCACAATTATTTAACTGCACTGTGTATAGGCCTACATATACATTCCAAACCAAAACGGATTTTTTTTCTGTACAAGTATATACACATAGTTGTTCTTCGCATCTTTGTTGTGCTGCTCCCGTTCTCGCACGCAAAGGAACGGTTGATTAACATAACAATACCCCCTCAGTGAAGCTTGCCCAAGCACGATCTACGGAACGCGTTCTAAAAGCCGTTCGGCACGGGAAGGAACGGGGGCCGTTCAGAACGGGAAGGAACGCGTGCGCACGCGTGCGAACGGTTAATTTATTTATGACGCCTCGCCTAAAGAAAGATTGACTGGCCGTGACTGTTTATGTAACTCGATACAGCTTTGCTTTGGCGGTGGGTAATTGATAAAGCCAGCTGTGCCCACAACTTGCCTGCTTTGTCTATTCATGGTCTGTTAACCGAGTTTGACCAGTCACAGTGTTTGCTTGACATAAGATCTGACTGCTGGTTACTAGCTCGTGTTAAAAGTATAGCAGGGGACTTGGGTGGAAATTTTGACTGTCTGTGACTGTTTTAACAGCAGGAGGGTTAAAGTTTTGGAATGTGCTGAAACCTCCAAAATCCAGTGCTGTGCAAGTATATAGCCAGATCCAATTCTTCTTTAACCCTAACTGCTAAGGGCCTTTCTGCTAGGATCAATCATCAATCCTGCAAAATCCTCCGACTTCCATCTATGACCTCCTGCAACACAGTCTAGAATTGCTAGGGTCCTACATTTATTTTGTAAGGACAGCTGTACGTACCACATGTCCAGCTTTGGTTGCGTAATGGATAGCATATTCTGCAGTGGCCGACTTCCTCTTCACCCCACACAGTTCATCAGTGTTGCCTGCAAGTTGAAATGCTGCATGCTATAGAATTTTGGTTGTTCTTTTTGGTAGCTCTTTACCAGCTTGTTTTTAAGTATCATTATTTTTTATATATTTTCTATTTTTTTTTAAACTTATGATGCCTATTGTTTGAGAGTAACTTGTAATGAAATTACAAGTACATTTTCACATTGGGATTTGCCACTCACCAATGTTAATTCGGACGATTCGCAATGCAGTGCGCCACCAAGAGTTTGCCGTGGAGAGTCCATTTTTCAAGTTTATGGTCGACAAAACATGGCCCATTTGAACGAGTGTCAGTAAACAACTTGAGCTAATTTGTTATAGGTTGGGGCATAGCGTTCTGCCGCCTTACAAAAAACACCATATACTTGAATCATATACACTTACGAAACTACTGACCGGAAAAACTAACAATTTCAAATGTCCCGTGCTGCAAATTTGTCGACCATTTCCCACAATGCACTGGGAAAAGTGAACTCTCCGTGGCAAACTCTTGGTGGCGCACTGCATTTTTTGTGAAACGCCTGAATTGTATAGACACTGTATACTGTGTGATATCAAAGAGCTTGCAAGAAATAAAAAAAAAGGTCAGTGATTGTGGTACGCACTACTAAATCAGATTCAAACCAGCCCCCGACCCATCTATCGTATCACCCTCCAAAACCACTATTAAGATTGGAGTGCTCACGTTTGTAACGACTTGAAAGTTTAATGAAAATGTTGCATCTGTTTCAGCACAATGAAGTTGAATCTTCAGTCAAAAAGGACTCGTGAGTCTTAGGCACTTACCAGACTCGATCTTCTTGAGTAGAACTTCGATGTTTTGTTGGCGTCCATACAGAGCTGCTACCATGAGTGGAGTCATAGCTTTATTGTCTGTCTCATCAGGGTTCATCCCTCTAAGAACAACAAAAATCCACACAATATTAGCAGAAGAACCTAAAACATATTTCATTCTTATTGATATTTTGAGAAAGACTTCCTAAAAATTAAAAGATACAAATTTAAAAAAGCAACTTAAAAGAAAGAAAAACATTACAAAAACCCACAAAATGAAGAAATTTTCTGTTTTTAAGGTGAAAGAAAAACCACGAGCAACATCAAATTGAAGACCACGTCCACTTGTCAGGCAAGGTGAGATTCGAACCCAGGACACTGAGGCTGAAAACTGCTGTCTCACCTACTCAGGAGTAGTTCAAGGGGTCCGCTCCCCTCACAAGCTGCAGCGTAGTGGATAGGCTTGCGTCCTTTGCTGTCAGTGATGGCATACTCTGGGCAGACTAAGAGCAGCTTGGCAAGGATCTTAGGGTTAGGGTTGATGGCTGCACAGTGCAATGGGGTGACCTGAACAAAGAAGGGGAACAACATGGTTCTTGTCAACCCTAGCTTCCAATGCGTACAGCTGTAGAAGGCAAGCTGTACAAAAAGTAGACACCGCAAAAAGAGAAAGTCTACACCCATGGGAGAGGTTGTAATTTTGAATCTGATCTTCTTATGAAGACGTCGTTTATGTAGACCTTTGGGGATTTTGTTAGCTACATTTTGATACTCCGTTTGCTACCAAAGACTGTAAATCGTCCAAGATTGACACTGGTTTGCAAAAAAATTATGCAGTTTGAAAAGTTTCAAATTTAAAGATCATGTGAGAAGAAACTGCGAAGAGTAACCACACATGTCCATAATTGGCCCCTATCGACTGCACAGTACCCGAACAAAGCGCAGGTAGTTCAATTCGTGTGCTCCCTTGCAGTCAAGCACTGTGTGATCGGTATTCCCTGAAGTTCATTTCGGGCAGTGTGACATTGTCACACAGCAATTTCCACCTGTGTACTCTTTAAATTTGCAACTTTTCAAACTGCAGCATTTTTCATAAACCGTTGCCAATGTTGGACGATTTACAGTCTTTAGTAGCAAAAGGGGTATCAAAATGTAGCTAAGAACATTTCCCAAAGGTCTATATAAAATGACGTTATAAGACGATCAGATTGAGAACTTTGACCCCTCCAATGAGTGTGGACTTTCTTTTTTTGTGGTGTTTACATACATGCAGGGCTGCGTAACTACTACTTTTGCTTCAGTCAAATTTGATTATCAGACAACTTATGTACCTTTTCAGTTATCCCTCATGGTTTATTTGATGATTTTTGTATTTTCAAATGACGCAAAATTACTTCACTACAAAATGCACTATCCTCACAAAATAGATGCAATCAGCCTGCTTTAATTTGAATGAAAGCAAAACAGCCAGCGGGCCTTACCCTGTCATTATCGTAGGGCTTCTTCTTGACAGAGACTGCTCTGAATGGTGACAGGTCCTCCGGCTTATCTAAGAGAAGCACCTGTCAGCGCAAAACCAATCAATTAGAAGAAACAAAGAAAATAAGGTGCCTAACCTGAATATTGTTTATAATGGTTACGTCATGTACTATTAAAATTCACTGCAACCATATACCTGATGCTCATGCCAAGACACAACGGGTTATTTTGTGCACACTCAGAAAGAAATAGGTCGTGCGTACTTCGTACTTATCACACGCACGCGGTCTGTCCTTCCCACTAAGGCTTTCAAAAGTGGTTGTACCATCTACTGTTTGTGCACAGAGTCGACACCGACGATACACTTTCTTTGAAATGTTGGTGTATATCAATGGACTTAAATAAACCATATAAAAATGCATGATTATGAAACAGAAAACACATTGATAAAAATTTGAATTGTAGAATATCTGGAGTTAGAACTGACCTGTTCGTGGAGTTTGTTGCAGTTGAGCCCCCCAGACTGGTTGAACTTCTCAATCAGGCAACCGGCTAGCTTACGATGGCCTGCTGTGATTGCTTTGACGATGTTCGTTTGTACATGAGACTAGGTATCCAAATGACAAAACAAAAGCAGGAAATATATTACAAGCAGGTTTTGTAAAAAAAAAAAAAAACACACACATACCGTTCATCTCTGATGAATCCATAACACCACCCAGTGTTGGGATGGTTTGAGGCAGTACAGGGGTACAGGGACGCATCACGCAGGGCAGTTTGGGGAGGTACAAGATCTCATGGGTTTAATCCCAAAGGTGTCCTAAAAAGGTGGCCTCCCATAAACCTTACTCAAGACCCATTACATGTACCTCTCAAGAAAAAAAACAGGGGGCAGTTGAAAACATTTGTGTTGCAGTGGCCAGATGAGGTGGGGTAAAGGCTGCTCCTTTACATGTGTCTGCCTGTGCCTTGCCAGCAACAATGTATTGATACTGCAGGATACATTATGTAGACATGTTTGGCTAAAGTAACGTGAATTACACTTGTTGGAATGTAATATCTTCGCTTCACCCATGCGTCATATTCCTAGGTACTTAAATCTGATACACTCATCACTTGACCCTTTGGTGCGTTTGATTGTTTGGATTAGATGCACAGATTGTAATGGTTTTTGCGGCGCTTGCTAGCGACCGCCATGTGCATTAACCCTCCGCAGAGTGACCTGGTTCCATTTTGCGATCAGGTGACCAAATTTTTTGAATAAAAAAAAAATTGAGGGCCAATGACGGTCACCTTCCATCTAATCCTCATTCAACCCATGCCAAATCAGCTGGTTCAATGAACTTTGCAGCCAGGGCTTCACCCAAGCCGTGTCAACAAACTTTCGACCAGGCCTCCTGCCAAGTCTCATTGAAACATATACAAACACCTGTAACTTGACACAGCCATCTCCCTTCATAGCCCCAAACCACAGCCGCCAGTCAATTATCTTTTAAGTGCCCTGTCTGGCAAATGCCTGGACACTGTCTGGCACGTGGCTTTTTGTTGTTTTGACATGAATAGGGTCTTGCATAGTGCGGGGAAGTACCTGTGGCCCAAACATTTTTTGTAAACGCTGCGCAGTGTTAAAGGAATTAACAAGACTTTAGCCTGAAGGTTTCTGGGTATCATTTGGACACCTTGTCGGCTCTTCTGATATGAACCCCTCATTTTGTTATCTTTTTATTTTTATTTTATTACACCTCTCCACTGGTTGATATAAAAAAATATTACAAGATATACAGAAAAAAAGAAGAGTTTATGCCAGAATACGTATGGATTAAGCCAGTGAGTGGCAAGATGGAACAGGTGACTAGCACCTCTACAGAGCCATCCTACCACAGGAAAACCAGATCCTATAAATTAATTTTTGTTATCTTTTCTATTAAAAAAAAAGAAAAAAAAAAGAGGGGGCAGGCCGTATGATAGGTAGAACAAAAAGCCAAAAGGAAGAATTTAACAAAGGGGGTGGGGGCAGTAAGCGATACTAGAACTGAAAAGAGTTAATTTCAAGTGGAAGACTGGCAAGAAAAAAACACAAAAAATAGGGTTAATTAGCGATTTCGAAGCCACCCTCCCCTGCTGCCTAGGGGGCACATAAGATTTCTGAATACCGACTTGTTTGGTCTATTGTCCCTATTGTAATACTCTGTGTAGATGTACCTAGTACCCCAAACCATGTGTGTGTACACACAAACAGCTTTTTCGCTTCATATAATAACACTGATGAAGCTCACAATTTCAACAACTTGGACACCCTGTTTTACAATTCAAGGCAAAGGCTGACTTAGGTACGTCCACAAACCTTTCCATGAGAGTCTGCAAGCATGATCATGTTGATGGTTTTTTCGGAGACGCCTGAAGAAAGTGCTTCTTCCAGGTAGGTTCGGTCGCGTACGTTTCTGGACAAATCCTAAAGCCAACAAGAACAATTCACAATGAGGCAGAGTACTAAGGCAGCAATTGTAAGGCCAAACATGATGTGAAGTAAATGTCCACAAAAAAAGTTCGGCAGTGGGACACGATTTTGCTGTTTATAACATGCTCCAGCAAAATCAGACCAAACTGGGTGGGGGGGGGGTGTTCAGATGCGTCATTGGAAACTTTGCAATATGTAGTTCACTTCAACACTTTCCTCTACAATGCCATTTGGGTTATTGTAATTGGACATTCCAACATGAAGTTACGCCTTTTCATAGTTGAAAGATTTGATATAACAATGGCCGTTCACACCCAGGAAAGGCTTCTACACTATAGCCTTTTTTTTCAGAAGTGAAAGATTTCAATTACTGTTTCACGTCATATTATCAACCAAAAAGGACTGTAAAGTTGAAGGCGGAAAAAAAAGGGGAAAAAACACTTTCACTCCTCATTTCTATTGGTTTATTTATCAGTTACAGCCTACGCCTTGTTCTATCTGATTTCACATGTACAAGTCAGATTTGTCCCTTGCTTTTACTTTACAGTATGTCAAGATACTCCTTTTCCTTAGCCTTAACCCCCTGTGAGTTTCATTTAATTCAGTCACACATCACTGCACCATGGTCAATTAATCAAAACATTTTTGGGCACTGTAACTAAGTTCCTTGCCTTAATCAATTTCAGTCCTGTGTTATGTAAGCTGTGTAAAATCCTGCTTGTTGTGAAAAAAAGGCTGATGTGGTTGGGGATTGGAATAATTAACCCTTGAGCATTAACCTGAGGTCTTGCTATGATGACTGATAGCCAGGCAAATGATTCTAATCCCCAACCGCAGCCCGTTTATAAACATCCTGGCAAAAACCATGTGCAGTGGACGCGCGCTCGCGTTTGCATTGTTTGCTCAGAGCAAAAAGAAACGCTCATTCACTGATTGTGCGTTTCGGTTTTGGGGGTATCAGCTTTGAAAATGAACCAGACTAGAATAGGAAACGCAATATATGCAAACAGCCGTACAAAAGCCATACAGAATTTTGATATTGCCATAGGTTTGTGCACAAACATGGATGCGCCCAGCAGGCATCACTTTGTACATGAGGCACCTCTCTAGTAGTTTAATTTATATAACCGACATACAGATACTCGTCATTTGTTTGGTGGAACTCACATCACGTGTCATTCGTTATTACTGCCATTCACGCCGGGGCTCAAAAGTACTATCTGCCCATGGGGAATGGGAAATACTATTTAACAGTTAGGATCAGTCTTGTTCCATGATTTGTGTGCAAATGCATGCTGGTGTGCGCATTCAGCGTTGCACGTAGCGCGTACTGTTCCAAAGAGCCAGCACTTCAGCGTTGGGTTCAAACATTTTCATGAAGTGGTGGTTTGGAAGAGAGAAATACATTTTTTGACCAATTTTGTATTGAAATAAAAGTTCAAATATATCAAATGACAAGGATCTATATGTCAGTTATATAAAACAAATATTGAGTGGCTTTAAATTGTGAAATGGGAGGAATATTATCACTCGGTAAAATCTGGACTTTTCCAGTTCACTTGGCTTCGCCTCATGAAATGGAAAAGTCCAGATTTTACCTTGCGATAATATCCTTCCCATTCCACGCTTCCCATTCCACGCATGCAGTCAAGTTAGCTTGCAGACACTAATTCTAGACTGTTCTATCAAGCTTACCTTAGTGAAGGCATTGTTGCCTTCTCTGCTCCCTCGTCCCACATTGATTTCCCTCACAGCATGTCCAAGACTCTTGAAATTGTACCTGGAAACCCGAACAATAATCCAGAACTAATGAAGCGATTACTCAATCCCCGGAATTTTATAAAGAATCAAGCAAATCGTACGGAACACATCATCAGAAAAAAAAGGCTCCCTCACAATGAATGATTTCTAAAATGTATGATTATGTATTAGATCAGTGTTAAAACCAAAGTGTCTATGGTATAAGTTTGCATGAATCTTTAAATCGTCTGGGAGTATCATAGAGAAATGTTAGCTTTGTTCCATGTTTAACCCTCACCCTACCAAATCCATCAAAATCCATCCCCCATTTGGGGGATATTGGTAGATAAGCCATGTGTACCAAGTCCATCAAAATCCACCAGCACCAGTGGTGGATTGCAACGGATTTGGTCCTGAAGCATTTTGTAAAGCAGAGTGAGTGATGGAATTTTTAAAACTAAATAGGGAGTTAGGGTTAAAGCTTTTCTTTTGAAAAAATACATACTGCATCAAGTATGATTTGAAGCACTATGTATGGTGGAATTTTATACAAGAATTGTGCTGAGATACTTAACTCAGCCTTTTGGATAGATTTCAGACTTTCTTTACCTTCAAGACTTTACCTTCTTTCCCTCAAGACTTTACCTTTCTTGGAAGCAAAACAAACACAATTTAAAATGAAAATGCAAGGAAAACATGGAACGAATTTGAATAGCTTTGCTCTGCAAAAATACCTTCCAGTTTGTTGGTGCTGCATGATGACTTCGGGCAGTCGAGCTCTCTCTTTGGTGCTGTCAATCTCCGGGATAAGGAGCTTCAAGGCTGCCTGGTTGTCTACCCTGACAGCGTAGTGCAGGGCACTCAGCGGGACGCTGGCACTCCGCTGAACCAGGACCGAGGCTATGTCTTTGTTGTCAACCAGTTTCTTGAGGAGGCTCATGTCGTTGGTCAGCACGGCGCGGATGCTGCGCTTGCACTGGACAAACTTGGACACCTCGGGAATCTCAGACTCGTTCCTGGGTTTGACAAGCACATGTAGGGGGAACAAAAGCAGAACAATGGTCAAGACATCATTTATAAGGGATGTAATTTCACCAAGCTGTTTGTGAAAAGTTGTTACCTTAATGCAGAAAATATTTGATCAGTAAAAGCCAGTCGCCACACTTTTCAAGAAAAAAGTGAAAAACTATTTTGTTAAATATTACTCATTATTTCCAAAGAACAGCGAATTGACTGATCGTTTGCAATCACCTACATTTCTTGATTTCTTCTAAATGACAGCAAACCAGAGGGAATAATTTCAAGGAGTGTTTAGTGCCAGTATGATCTTTAACCCTAAACTTCCCAGCTCCGTCAAAATCCATCCCCCATTTGGGGAGATTTCGGTAGGCAAGCCATGAGTACCGAGTCCGTCAAAATCCACCTACAGCAGTGGTGGATTTGCGGTGGGTCTGTGGTGGATTTGGTCCCGAGGCATTATGTGAAGCAGGGTCAGTGATAGATTTTGGCAGACTTGGTTCTGTTTTTAATAAAACTCAGTAGGGAGTTTAGGGTTAATCCAAATAATTAATTGATAGGTTACTTTTGGGATATGCCTTTAATATCAAGTGACATTGTATATTTTGTTTGTAATTGATTTTTTTTTTATTTCTGAATGTTTGTATCATGTATTCAAATCATGGTTGTTCAAAACACCAAACCTGTATGCTCAAGTGAATCACAATAAAAACAGGTGAGTGCAAAGACCCTGCAGGGATTTGAAAGAGATAATGCATTATTCAGAGGGACATGTAAAATTAAAAACAGGCCTCGTTACTTTGGTAAGGCAGTAGCCAGCATGGGTCAAAGGGTACACAGAATGGCAAGTTTTTTAACAACTTCGGAATACTGCAGACTGAAGAACAGATTTCTCACTCTTCATTGAAGCTCGCCCTTAAAATGACTCACTTGACTTCAAACATCGGGTCCTTGGCCATCACCTCAATGTTGGTGTTGGGAGTCAGTTTGTCGTTGGGATGCAGCTTCACTTTAGGCTTTTTCTCTTTTTTGGGTTTCTCCTTCTTCACTTTCTTCTTCTTGGCCTTGGCTTTGGTGGCCTTCTTGTCCTTGCTGGCCAGTGGCTTGCGTCCTGACTTGGCAGTTTTGGCAGTGGTTTTGCCCTTGGTGCTCTTCGCCTTTGCAGTGATTTTCTTGGCCACTGAAAGAACAGATGGTGAATAAAATACAACTCACCGATCGACTCCCACTGCCTGAAAAGTTGGCCTGTCATATTTAACAGTGATACCCTTATTATAAGATGGAATGTGATACCATTCTCTTGTACAAAATTTACACGGCGAGAAACCTCGCCCTCAATAATCCCCTATGGTGCATGAAACCGATTCACATTATTGTTCATTTGAAGTTAAACAAAAAAAACTTTCTGGTGGATTTGGAAGGATCTGAAAGGGTATGGACAATTAATGACCAGAGTTGTAGTCACGCTATCTCAAGTCAATCACAAGTCATTATAAGCCACCAAAAGTCATCACAAGTCATCACAGGTCATCTCACGTCAATCAAAAGTTATTCTCAAGTCAATAACAAGTCATCACAGGTCCATCGCAAGTCATCTCAAGTCAATCTCAAGTCAATCAAAAGTCAATCACAAGTCATGACAAGTCAATCACAAGTAATCATAAGCCATCACAAGTCATCTGACTGAAAAATGTCGCTCAGTCTCAAGTAAAATCAAAGCTACAGCCAAATGATATACATTTAATTGTCGCTGTTAACATGCTTTTGCTCAACTTGTGATTTGACTTTTATTAGTGTGCTGCAAATAAAAAGTAAAGAAAAATTGACTGACTGACCTTTCTTGGTTGCCGTTTTGGTCGTGACTGTGGCCTTGGGCCTGCCTCGTCCTTTCTGCTTGCCGGCCGGTTTAGGGCTGGCTGATTTCGTTTTAGGCTTGGCTTTGGGCTTTTTTGCGGGTGATTTCTTGACCTTTGGATTAGTCCTGGTTTGGGTTGAGGTGGATGGTTTATCTGCGTCATCTTGGTCTTCATCTGTGTCTTCATCGTCCTCATCCTCCTCATCCTCATAATCATCATCGTCATCGTCGTCTTCTTTCACTTCCTTCATCTCACGGAATCGAGGACCTACAGGAAAATATTAAATTGAATACTGTCAGAACAAGGCCCTGTAATGGTATAACATGTTGCTTCCCTGATACAATTTTATCTCATAACCGATTTTTAATATAAAATCTTGTGGACGATTAGTACATCAGGCAAATTAATATTTTTTTCACCACCTAAGTAGTGTTTCCCGGTTGCATTTTTCATCAACCTTTCATGGATCAAAAAAGACTGACTCACAGAAAAACACAGATTACAATAAGTCAATCTGAAGCAGAAATCCCAGCAACACAAGTTTAGCATGTTTGAGGCTATTAACTTTAGAGATGAACAACCCACTGACCCTTGTCATTGTCCAGCATTCCATTCTCCTTCTTGATAGCCAATCCCAGGATCTGATCTACTCGGGCAATCTCACTGCGCGGCAGGGACAGTAGCCCACCGGCCTGCCTGTTCATGACCACATCGGTCAGAACGCTATCAATGTCGATGGTGTCACGGTACGACATCTCATAGGTCCCCGGCGACGTGCGCAGCTCCAGCCAAAGAATCTTAAACATCTTGGTGGTTTGGTAGACATTCTGGGCAGTCTTGCAGACGAAGAATTTCCCTGGGGGATAACAAGGGGATGATTTTAGAAAATGCTGTCCATGGGAATAAAAACTTATTGTGAGTCGTTCTGGCAAATAAAGACGGAACTGGGCACAGGCCGTAGTGAAGAAAAAGGCAACCAAAAAAAAAAAACAACTGGGGTGAATTTTTTTCAATTTTCAGATTTATTGATATTTGTAATCATTGATATGTCTACTACACATCGTTTAATGAATTAGTATAAATATTGTAGAATAAATCTTTCATTTTCATGATTACCAAACTTGAAACTCAGTATTTTACTTTTTTCCACGTCAATAAATGCGACCTTTAGACAACCATAACGTGTCAACGGAATGTCTCACAACGTCTCACAAATCACCTAAGCTTTTGTTTTTTTTCCTCAATGAAGTAACTGATACTCTTCGGGATGTCATGAACATGTGGGGTGCTGTGGTCCAATGGTTACGGTGTTGGACTCGTGTGCGGTGGTACACGGGTTCGAATCCTAACCGTGGGAACATGGTGCCTGCGCTCCTGAGCAAGGCGCTTTACCATTATTGCTTCGTCCTTCGGATGGGACGTGAAGCCATAGGTCCCGTGTGTTGTGTAATGCATGTTAAAGAACCCAGTAATACTTATCGCTAAGAGAAGGGGTTTGCCCCGGTGTTTCTGGTAGTGGCTGCTTAATGTGCCGCAGCACCTTGTAAACCATTATAAAGGTGCTACATAATGGTTCTCATATTTCTCATGTACTTCATTTACCTGTCTCTAATAATAGACATAATTTCCAGCGCCTTGAGTACCTAATTGTTGGTAGATACGTGCGCTATATAAGACTTCGGTATTATTATTATTAACACCAAATGTACCCTGTCCTTTAACCAACCCTACACTTCTCACAGTGCATGTGACCAAGTTTGACCAAGCTAATGGCAGACACCCCTATAGCAACTGTTAAGTCACATGACCAAAATTGTGTAATCTTATTGGTCAGTGCGCACTGTTTGATTGACAGGCCAGATCGGTCCATTGAAATTTGGGATCTTTAACCACTTAGCGCCGGGATTATTTTTGCCGAAAATTTTGATTTTCGCAAAAGGCACAATTTTCTAACCAATTTCTGATATACAGAATACAAATACTGATTCGCAAGAGTAGCTTTAACAATAAATGTATGATATTTCTAGCCGAAACCTCATATTTTTTTTACTCCTGGGTGTGCACTGGAGCGTAAATTGCACAACAATAGGCCATGCACAACGGCCGATTCATGATCAACACATGGTCCGCCCCCACAGACTTCACGGACTTTGTGTGTGTGTCTTGACGTCTTAACCCGTCAGCTGTGCCTGTGTATAAAAATAGCCAGGCGTGATGCGAACTGGTAAACAGGGTAACTTAAAGCCACATTTTCATTTCAAAGATACAATTGTTTTCCGTTACTCTTCCTTAGGGCTCTGAGCTCTGAGTATGTTCTTTGCTGTGCTTACTGCTACCAGTCTCTGTGAAATAGACGAAAGCTTTCTTAGCAGAAACGTCTGCGCTTAACAGCACCATGAAATTGGCCACTGAACTGACTCTATGAGAAGTGCTTGCACTTGCTTACCATTGTCTGTTCTAACAGCCAAGAAAGTGTTCTTATTAAAGACCACCTCCTTGTCTGAGACAGGCGTCCTTGTAGCTTGTTTGCTGATGGCGTCCACCACATCTGACTGGTAGTACTCTGCTGGCATGCGCTTGCGCTTGATCTGTGGGCTGCGAGGACTTGGGGCACTTACTGCCCGCCTCTTTCCCTAGAACCAAAAAAGATGAGAAAGATTTCAAACTTTAATTTCAGAAAAGTAGTTTACATTTGCCAAGTAATCTTGTCGAGGATTTTCTCACCAGGTCTTGTAAGCACTGAGGATACAGCCATTGTTTTACATTATAACATTGATGAATGACTAAAAATAACATTGAAATCAAGATCAACTGTTTCAGATAGATAACAGATAAGAGTTCAATTGAAATGTTGAGTTTGTTTGTCGCATAGCCACTGATTTAAATCTGTATTGATTGACCCTAACTCCTTCAGTGATATACTAGGAACCTTCCTCACCCTTGCAAAATCCAACACATATGATAACTCTGATTATGGTGGTATGCATGACCTCATGTACATTTTGTAAAGCATAATCACTTTACTAGTGCAGTACTCACTCTAACAGATTCCAACAAAACATGTAGTTGGATTCTGAAGGGTTGGGGTTGTTAGGGTTAATGTTAGGGTTGACTGGCTCAATGTCTATGTACGTGCATAGAGTGAATCACAACAAAATGGAGTACTGACCTTGGAGGTTGACGGCCCATTGGTGAGGTCTGCACCCTCATCAGCCATTCTTGCTTTTCTGGATGGCTGGGTAGAAGAAAAAAAAGGAAAGAAAAGAAATAAATGCAATCAATCTCTTACATTCAGGTGCGACTCAAACCGCCAATGATATCCTGTTAGTCAATGCAGACATCTTAGCACTCGATTGTTAAGTGACTCAATTGTCAAGTCAATCTGGACTGGTTTTTTTTTTATTTTAAAGGGAATATACAACATTTGCAAACATCGAAAAATAAAACTACCAAGTTTTTACGAAATACCTTACTAGGATGTTGGTAAATGACAGTTTAAAGCATCCTGTATAATTATGGCACTTGGTTAGCCCCACTAGTGTGGCCGTCGGTATGCTGTGCTGAACCTAAGGCCACACACCGTGGTCCGCGCACTACTGAGGACGTTTTCATAAAATTTGCAGGGAATTTCTTACATATGGTTGTATTCTACGATGCCCCATCTATCACTTCTGGGATGCTTAGGTGTAATGATGTTCAATTTTCCGAGATATTCTTGAATCTTTCCGGAGCCCATATGCACTCGTGAAACGTCCGGTGATGGCAGCCATTTTGAATGTGACAAGAGATGACCTCAAGCTGTGACGTCGAGTTTATGCAAATTGCTTGTCGAGCGAGGGCGCGAGTTGCAAATGCGACGTCTGTTTCCTGTATCGTCTGGGGGCCACGTGCACTGATCTCTATTCAGGATCTACGGCACAGGAAACAGCCGTCGCATTTGCAACTCGCGCCCTCGCTCGACAAGCAATTTGCATAAACGCGACGTCACAGCTTGAGGTCATCTCTTGTCACATTCAAAATGGCTGCCATCACCGGACGTTTCACGAGTGCATATGGGCTTCGGAAAGATTCAAAAATATCTCGGAAAATTGAACATCATTACACCTAAGCATCCCAGTGATAGATGGGACATCGTGATAGATGGGACATCGTAGAATACAACCATATGTAAGAAATTCCCTGCAAATTTTATGAAAACGTCCTCAGTAGTGCGCGGAGCACGGTGTGTGGCCTTAGGTTCAGCGCAGCATACCGACGGCCACACTAGTGGGGCCAGCACCTGGTATGAAGTCATTTTCAAGAAAATGTTTTTTTTGTATACATTTCCAACAGTGGTCGGTTATGCCCAGGCAAGGTTTGGGTGAGTTCCAGTTGAAATTAGTGTCTTACGGGGACAAAATTGCACAACTTCCTCCAGCCCTAAATGACAACCCAATGATAAAATTTAGGGCTGGGTAACTTCAGCTACATAGGCCTATGTGTAAAATGGTTGGTGTCGGTATAAGACGTAATAACCATAACAGAACATGCAGAACGCAATCACGGTAGACACACGACGACTCACGAGCAGGTCCTCGCCTCACGAGCATTGGGTGTGGACTGAATAAACACCGACTTTGCCTCGCGTATTACACTATTTAGTTGATCGCTAGTTTTAACACATTTTCATTATTTTGCTGTTACGAAAGAAATATATGAAAGTATTCGGAAAACAATTCGTTTGTGTGTAAATAACGCGGCCTTACCTCTCTACCATGTGTCTACACCTGCAGCACACAAGCAAATGCACATTGAACAATTTTCGGATACGTTTTCATGTATACACAATTTACCATTGAAGCATTAAATTTTCAATTCCAGATTATTGTCTCTTATAATTCAGTGCTCAAAAGAGGAAAAAATTTAAAATTTGAGAGTAAACTACTTTTGGTGGGTAGCCACATTTTTTTAAATTAAGTGAAGATAGGTATTTAATTATTATCACAGTATCGAGGGTATAGAAAGCACCGATCTTCATTTCAATGTGTTTTTTTAATTTGAATATTTTAGGAACTGAATTTTGAAGTATTCGCTGCGGCCTAAACCATGTCATGAAATTTAAAAAACAATGGATCAACACAAAAGGAAATAGTGTTAACTTTGCAAGTAAGCCTAAATTAAGGTTGGCATATTCCGGAAGGTCTGCGCTCGTGAGTTTGTTTTAAATACTTCAATTCAATAGCAATCATGTTCCCACTAAAACCGATCCGAAAAATGCCTTGACCCAATTCCAGGTCAGCGCAGCCGACGCGACGCGCGACGCTTATTTGTTTTGCAAGGCGCCGTGTGCTAAAGGGCGTATGAAAAAGAAGAATACACATCATAGACCATGCATAGAATAGGTTAAAGGTTACTTTTGTCCTGAAGTTGCCCCAATCTAGTAATCTCATGTCAATACTATTGCTAGCCGTGTATGGATGGGTCAGAAAATCCACATAATGTCTTATATTTAGGATAACATTTTGAGAAAAATAAAAACCTTTGTTTACATTCATTGACCCGCCCCCGGCGCAGCGATTAGTGTGACGTGGTGCATGATCATGGTACGGCTGGCACTGCATGTCGGTACATGCACATGTATACAAAATGCGTGTATTGTAATTGACAATAGGCCAAGATATCACAGGCATGATACCCGTGACTATTCATTCGCGCTATAGGCTACATGGAAACCCTGCGGAAACCGTTTTACTATAAGTTGTGTGAATATTGATATTCTAACGATCATGCATTTAACTATTATCATTTCGTGACAATTAACGCGTTTAGAGACAAAGGGTGTGATCCAATTATCAGCATCAGCATTATTGTTGTGTAGCATTATTGTTGTGTAATTGAACAAGGGCGTCAATCGCTTCTCAAAAGGGGCGGGGGATATCTTGATGAGAACTAATGCCAGCGCGAAGCGCTAGTCCGGGGGTCCGGGGCCCATAAATAAGGGCCCCGAAATATTTTGGATTACGTACGCTCTGTAGGTGTGTGGTGCGATCTGAAGCAATTTGCCACTTTAACCAATTTGTTTGAGCATGGAGCAAGGAAAACGTTTTCCTTGCTCCATGGTTTGAGCAAAAGATCGTCATTTAAACATCATTTTCGAGATTGGAGTTATTGAATCAAGCAGCTATTCTGAGCTTTAGAATCATAACATGTACAGTTTTTATTCGGGGACGCAAAAAGTTGGGGTGGGAGGGGGACAAGCAATATGATACCCCCCCCCCCCCCCACACACACACAAACTTCACACGCATCCCTATGAGAATTGTTTTGCTGAAAGCCGTAGACAGAACTTTAAAACGGTGTTTGTGTTCAAAATTCTGAAACTTGAAAAGTACATGAGTGATTTGAATGATTCTTGTACTAAAAGAAAGCTTAATGACTGGGCTTTGATATCCTATATTTTGAAAGTACTACTGGCAAAAATTGGTCCTGCCATTTGGGATGCATATGTTTTTTACTCACTGCCTGTAGAAAACGGGAATGGGACGTGTATAAATCGACCTATATACGCATTTCTGTATCTGGTGAGCATATTGCAACTGTTGCCCATAATTATTTTACGTTCGTATAATTGAATTGACGTTTGCCTTTAAAATAATAATAGAAGATGCCTTTATAAATATCGGCAACTAAAAGCCAAAACTGCAGAAGTACTTCGCATCTGATGATGTGATGGAACATGTAAGCATACTGATCCAGATGAGGGTGGTCCGGGATGGGCGGTGGCTAACCCCACCCACCCCCAATGTTAATTAGACCAATAATAATTAGCCTAACTATAATGGCAAAAATCCCTAATTTTCTAAAGCTCCCTGCAAAAAAAACGTCGTCACTGATGTGTGATTCTTTGATTCATTGCTACAGGATTTGGTCTAGTCTCAATACGTTGAGTGCAACGTCTCATATTCAAACACGGCCTAGGATTGGACAGGACCCTATACCCCCCCTTAGGAAAGTCCTGCATCCCGGCCCCCACTGACGGCTTTAAATGGCACCCGTGCCACGCGGGCCGCCGACGCACCGCACCAGAGGCGAAACAAGGGTGCGTATTTACGGGCAGCGGAGGTTAAGGTTTGAACAGGTTCAAGGTTGAAAATACTATACAGTATTCATGTAGTATGCATGTACATGTACATGTACATTATCATGTACTCAGCCGACTGTTCTATAGCGGAATCAATACGTACCTGCTTGCGGGTAAGTGACGAGGAATCATGTTTTCCGCGTGATGAGCCAGTTTTTGAGCCAGTAGTTGACGATCTCAAGCGGCTGGACATGACTGTTGAACACACCAGGCGATCGCCAGGAGTATATCAACAAAACAAAGAGTTGTTCAAATTGTCTTCAATGCCTTGCTAATGCTGGCTGGATTGAATGACTGGAACAAAATAGACCGTCCATGTAAATGTTGTACATACACGTACCTCTATTACGGAAGAGCTCTATTGCATGCAGTTCTTGCACGAGCTGTACATGTACATGTATATCCAGCTCTGCATAGTTATTATCATTTTCAGTTATACATGCAGGGGGCGTTAACTCATTGCTGATGCATCTGCGCAAGTCATCGTGACCTTTAGATTGTGTGATCGAATGACTCGTATTTTATGGTTAATCATTGTTGTACTTTCGTTATAGTGGGAGGCAATATTTAAAGTAAATGTTAAACTAGCTTTCATAAAATAAGAGGTTTTTTAATATACCGAATTAAATTGAAGGATCCTCACTGAAAGCGAAATAAAAGATCAAAATGTGCCCGTTTTCAAAACAAAAATTAATATGCATCTTATTTATGCAATTCCAAGCTAAAATTTTAGCTAAAATTTTAGCTAAAATTTGCAACACTCATAAACACTTCCAAATATTGACTGACAATTTCTGAACACTCAGGTTTCTCTTTACAAAAGCTGATCCAGAATCGGCCTCCTGAATAGTCAATTGGTGTACACTGAAAAATTGCCTGGGTTAATTTTACCAAAGAATGGGTGAAAACTGGAACTACCCAAACGTGGGTTGTTCTATAACCAATTGTTTGGGTTAGAATTTCTGCTCAATTCAACCAAAACTTGTAGTCAATCAAGACCAAATTTAATTTGGTCTTAATTTAATTTGGTCTTGTATGACTACAACTTTTGGTTGAATTTAACATAAGATCTTCAAAGACCGACAAAGATCTGTTGTCACAGACGTCATCATGTGATATGCTGCACTGTTCAGGAAGGGAATAAATTAAATTAAAATGAAACAGGTCGTGTTTTGATGGGCTTCCGTAGTTGTTTACGTTAAGAAAACACACTTTTACATGATATAGTATTGTTTCACCTGAAAGTTATGTAAAGTTGACTAAATTGTCTTTTACCTAAAAATTTGTAAATATATTTACACATACATCAAGTAAACTTTTACACAACCAACAACCTTTTTACACAATTGCAAGCGAGTTCGTATAGTACATATAAAACATGGTCACTTGACAGTGAAACATTGATTTCATTATCCAACATGGAAATTAATTAAATGGCGGTGAATGGGACAAATCAAGCTGAAAAAGTGACCTTAATTGGCAATTTTGTGTAAAAGTTGGCATCATACATTAAAGTTGCAATTCTACAAACGCTTTTTCAGTCCGTTTCGAATCAGCTGCGTAAAAAAGGCCTATTGTTTATAACGGCCAAAGTACGCAACCAACACCAAATAGACTGGAAACGCGCTACATGAGTCGTTTTCACTTCATCCCTCTTACACGCAACTTTTTTTTTCATCTTTTTTATATTATATTACAGTGAAAATTAATTACCGTACAACTCCAACCCCACCATTTCTTAACGTATTTTCAACACCGCATATGAAAAATCGATGACGGGGCACTGCGGTAGGGGGCTGATGAATTAGATGTTTTTTATTGACCTGCTGGTTGCGAGGTAGCAACAGCAGTTTCGTATCTGACCTCATTAAAGAACAAGAGATGGGTATCGACTTTGATAATGAGGGAAATGGAGCAAAATCACCAGGAGAGTAGAGCTTCGATCACAATGCGAGCGCACATCAGAATACTGACGATCGCTGTTACTCGAAAGTTGGTGCCGGCTGATTCGGGCATCATTATGACTCTAGATGTTTGAGATACACGCAGGCGGATTTAGACTCTTGGTCCGTGTAGTTTACTCGGAGATAGTATAGCAATTGCTCAGCACTAGGACGGCGTTTTATAGTTTTCGATATTCGCCAACTGTGTGAAACTAACGAAGTCACCTGACATCAAATATCAACGACGAGTGTTTTCATGTTTAGCAAGCTCAACCCATTCCTCTGACAGATTTTCTTCAACGAAAAACTACAGACAGTTTCTGCTTTTCGAGAACACAAACGTTTCCACGGAAATCGCGAGTCAGGAAATCAGGTGGAAATCTTCAAGTTTAGAAATCAAAAGCTCAAAGGTTTTTGTCCGCTGAAAACAAAAAAATCCCCTATTTGCATGGACCGTACGGATGAGCTAGTGCTTGATAGGCCTAACAGATCTTTGAGGCCAAGCAGAAAGCTCCATAACTTTCTCTCTTAATTTTTCTGATACAATTTGAGCGAACATTTTCTTCATGTGCGTGCTAAGATTTGCTTGAATCTCAATCATGTACTCGTCGGCTACAAGAGCAACTCGATTGCCGCTGTTTGCAGTTTCGAACTTTATTTATTTTGTGCACTTGTCGGGTTGTTATGCCTTAGGAAATCATTGCCCATCGATCACCCCTGTTTCTATTGAGTTTTACGGGGGAACAAATCAAGCCCTGAACTCATCTTCGTATGGGCAGTCCACTGTACCTAACGCTGTCATTTGCGGGCGAGACTGCCATGCTGACCCAAACTGCAAGTCGTTCAGTTATCACAGGTGTAGCCGTGTATGCGAATTGCATAGAGGCACGCGGCGCGATACTAACTTGGTTGAGACAACAGGCAGCGTTTACTTTGACTCTCGTCAAGACACTCCCAACCTATCGGTCGAGTATCTCGACGATAGGTACTGCAGTTGCAAGGAGCTACTGAAGGCTGGCTACAACACGAGCGGTGTCTACACAATCTATCCGGCTGCGTACTCCGGCGATGGTCTGCGTGTTCACTGCGACATGGACACGGCTGGTGGCGGCTGGGTTACCATTCAGCGTCGGCAGGATGGCAGTGTGAACTTCTTCCGCAACTGGACCGAGTACCGGGCCGGCTTCGGCAACCTAACGGGTGAGTTCTGGCTGGGCAATGCGGCTCTACAAGGTCTGACCACGTTTGGGGGACCGTGGGTGATAAGGTTCGATTTCGAAGACTGGTACGGTAACACGGCTTGGGCAGAATATTCGGGGTTCCAGTTACTGGGCGGGGCCTATACTCTTAGTTATGATGTTTACAACAAGAATAGTACAGCCGGTAACTCACTGTGGCAAATTGAGAACCGGCCATTTCAAACTGAGGATAACCATAATTCATTCTTTGATGTCCCCTCAGTATGTCAGGGCGGCTGGTGGTATGACTTTATTCCGTGTGGGAAAGTCAATCTAAACGGTGTTTACTATTCCAAAAATGATCAGTCATTTGACAGTACTGACGCAATTAAATGAAAAGATTGGAAGGGTGTAACCTACTGGTCAAACAATGGGCTGAAATATTGTGCTATGAAAATCTCGGAAATATAAGAAGATACGTATTAAATCTGGTGTGTTTTAACCGGGCGGTCATGTATTCGTGAATTCGTGGTCTGCGGGTAATTCTGCAGGTTGTGGGTTCGAGTCCAGTCTGGGGTTATGGTGAGTGTGCCCTTGGGCGGGGCACTTTAATTGTCACTCATTGCTTCTATATACACAAGGGCAGATCCAGAACACAATTTTTTGGGGGGCCAAAAAAAAATTTGGTCCCCCAAAAAAGTGGGTCAACAAAATTACGGCGTGGGGTTCGGGGCCCGCTTAAGGGCCCCGAAATTTTTTTGGATTCTAGATGCTCTGTGGTGCGATCTGAGGCAATTTCTGACCACTTTTACCAATGTTTTTGTGAGGAAAAGATGGTGGTGTACTCATTGCCTGCCTTTATTGCGATGTCACATAAAAAAAAAAAATGGTTTCGTCACGGGGGGGGGGGGGGGGGGGCATGGCCCCCTTTGGCCCCCCCCCCTGGATCCGCCCTTGTATATACACACCAAGTCCATGGAATATTCCCTTGCACAGCAAGGGGCTATGAAATGAGAGCAGATTCGGCGATTAATTATGCAACTAGACTGCCTCTTGAACTCGAAATTCTGACCATTCAGCGGACGCCTTCTATATCGGGTCTTCGGTAACCCGTTTTGAAAGCCAATGTGGGGTTTGATTACATATCTATGCCTGTTGTTTTATTACAAAAACATGGCGTCCAAATTGACCAATCAACAGCTTAGTCCAGATTTCGGAATGAAATGGTGTCGCCGGCGCGGCGTGCGGAGTCCCATTTTGTATGCTTATAATCAGACGTTGGACCGGAGACAGAGAGGGCTCAGTTGGACAACGGGTGAGGCTCGGGTTCTCCATCTAGGAGTAATACGAGGGCATGCAGATTTGGTCATTGTGGTTGACTTTATAGCTTCTTTGCACCGAAATGGCAGCGTCGAGCTGTATACTCCCAAGGGAGCTGACATTGTTTTTGGAAAGTTCCTTGGCCCAATGAGCAGGGTAGCGCCATGTATTGAGCACCAACACTGGTGGATACGTGCGCATTATAAAATACAAACTTTTAAAGGACCAAAAGGGATCGCAAAGAATGTACATTGTTTTTTGTTTCTTCTAAACATGTGAAAGGGCAATTTGTGGACAAGTGGAACGCCAAACCTAATATTGACTTTGAAATATCGAAGTGGTCTTTAATTTTCAAAATTCCTTATTTTTGTACTGTTGATATTAACCTAAGATGGTTTCAGTTTAGATTAATTCATCGGATCCTAGGTACTAATTGGTTTTTGTTTAAGATCAATAAGAAGGACACTAATATGTGTACATTTTGTAATAATGAAGAGGAGACATTAGTCCATCTTTTCTGCACCTGTCCTCGTACTATTTCATTCTGGTACTCAGTATCTTCATGGATTAAGGAGAAGACCATCTATCGCAATGGATTATGAAGTTCTTTTTTTTCGGTAACCCTAACGTTAACAGCAAATTAATTAATTTGATATTGTTGATTTGTAGATTCCATGTGTACAGAATGAAAATGAAAGAGAAACGCCCCTCACTTTTGGTTTTAAAAAGAGATGTGATGAATTATTATTCGATGGAAAAATTACTGTTTTACACTAACGGAGACAGCTTCGAATTCTATCAGAAATGGGACCAATTCTTGATATTAGGCCAAGGTTAATTCATGTCATTAGAATTTAAGTCTGTATTTGCTTTATATTCATTGCTTGTTCATTGATTGCTTGTTTGTTAAGAAAGAGAAGAGTGAACAATGAATAAGACTCTCTGGGAGAAAACAAAAGAAAAAAAATAAAATACAAACTTAAATCCATCAGGATCGAAGGGTTAAATCATATGGTGTATCTTCGTGTAATAGGGACAATGCTCATCAGTTTATTGCTGTTGACTGTTGGCTGTTGGTTGTTGCTGTTGAAGTATTCAATAGGGCTATTATAATGAATCTTGTGAGTATGCTTAGAATAGTGGTTGTGATTTGTGAAAACTTTCTTAATCAAGTGTGGCGTGTTAGAAATCTTGAGAATTATTAACAGTGTTAGTTTTGTGATAATTTGTTAAAGATGTATCCCCCCTGCTATTTTCGAGTTTCACCTCGAAAAAAATAGATTTGTTATTTTCAATTGCTATTTTCCAGAGCAGTATAAAAGTTATTTACTTTTGAATGAGACATTGAACCAAAATCCACCGACGTTTAGTTATTGAATTATTTCTTTACAAAATTTGAATTATTGGTTGCCAAACAATAATTCGGCTCTCACCGGGTGGGTTATTTGTGCGCAAAATGAAAGCCCTTTTTAAAGAGGGTTGCAGACACCCAAAATCTGAATGAAGTAGTTTTCTCGTTCAAGCAAACCATACTAATTGAAGAAAAACATAGGAGAAAACAAATCGATTTGTAAGAGCATAGGGTAGGCCCTGTGCATCTTGAATAAACCTCCTGATGTACAAGTCACCTTTTAGTGATTATTGATTATTGGGCTTAAGAAAATTGAAAATGCTCTGTGAACTAGGTCAAATTGTACCATCGTTTAAACTGTGTTATTGTTAATCGGTTTAATGAGTTTAAACGTAAATGAAGTAAATCGCGCAATGCGTGTTGTGTAATTACTATTGTTTTGTTGAATAATACAGTGTTAATAATTATTGAAGTCGAGTCCATTACTAGTCCGGTCAGAAGTCCATTCAAGGGCGGATCCAGAACCAATTTTTTTTTTGGGGGGGGCAAGAGGGCTCGAGTATTTTTTTTTTTCAAAAAGGGAGGGGATGAAGTATATAGTATCGTGCGCTATTTCCACATGTAATATTAAAATTTAAAGGTATGTGTAGTTGATGGCTTGCGAGGGAGATACACAATATGTTATTTTTTTCCTGAAAATTTAAGACCAAAAAGTGTTTTCAATCCCTGGATCCGCCAATGAGTCCATCACGAGTCCTTTCACAAGTCCGGTAACAAGGAACAGTGTACGTGGATGAACAGTTATAAAGGAATGCTTTTTTTGTCACCATTCACTTGAATGATAATAACTTTGGAATGGGGGGAGGCATTGTGGTGTACTTGAGAAGACGTGTGAGAACTCGTGATGAACTATGTGTTGGCACTATTAGGCCATTTAAAATTGATTTTTTTCGGTTTTCATCACCGCACGCGACGATTTTCAAACTCGCCCCGATTTTGTTTATATTTGTATTATTTAATGTGTGTATTTTCTCCAGTAAAGTATATTTTCAGGCAAATTTCTTACAAATCCTCGGGCAACTCCGTTTTTACAACGTAAAGTTTATCAGGTTTTTCTTCGCTTGGCGCATATAAATGCATGCGACATGCATGCATTACGCGGACACTGGTTTCCACCGCTAGACATGGCTAGATCAGCAAGAACGACAATGAAAGATGTGGGAACCAGCGTGGTGATGTCTGAATCATGCCCGAACAGATTTCGAAGACTCGGACGTAAAAGATTGCTGACGCAAACAGCGTTGGAAATGATCGAAACTTTCAAAATCTTTCACGAAGGACGTTTAATTAACACAACTTGGTCCCTCTTTCTGCGTTTATATTTTCTGGTTTCATGACTTTTTTCTCGGTGTCAGTGCTTTTGTTTGTGGCGTTTCAGCGAAGCGCGATTTTCCGTGAGAACGTCGCCGTGTGCGACCGCCGCGGCATTCCACGCACGATGTTACAGTGCGATACGGACCGTGTTGGCCCGGCATTTCCCCTTCATAAGTAGTGATGTAAAGGACTTCAGTTTTCCTCTTTTTTAGTGAGTACCGCCTATCTTCGACACGTAAACATGGTGTCACCTCTTCTAGGTTCAATTTTAGTACCATAACATCGACTTTGGTCCCCTCAAGTCATTTTGGAAGTGAAAAAGTGGAATTTATAAAATATAAATTATAAATTCCCCTCCCGACCGATTTTTTGTTCAATCTCAGTGATGTAAACCTCAAAATTCATTTTAAATGGCCTAAAACTAAGGTATTATTACGTCAGAAATATGTAAGAACCTATATATATATTTGAGGCCAGTCTTATTGAATGCTGACATTTTCGTTTTCTTTTTGTTAATTTTAAATTTGGAAAGGGTTTTTGTTTTAACTGAAACAAAACATCAACAAAACCAAGAGTAAAAATCAGGCTTATGTCACAGTATGTGAATAAAAAACATAGTGATGATGACCACGAAACAAATGCCTACTGCTTTATATTTCACTCTCAGTGCACAGAATTATGAAAAGCCAATGGACAAAAGGCTACATAGATTACGTGAAAGTCATGTCCAGCGGCGTAGCTACAGGGGCGTGTTGGGGGGGGGGGCACGCCCCCTAAAAAAACGCGCCCTCAGTCGCCCCAGTGGAAATTTGGCAATCGGAGAAAAGCAGACGTGATGAGTCTCCATAATTAGCGGGTTGGACATAAAGTGCCTTTTACCACTTTTCTTGTGTAGTTTTCAGCAAACCCTGTATTTTTTGAGTAGCTTTTTATTTCAACATCCCATGGAAAGCGAATTGCGCTGGCTATTGTCTAACATTGACTATGATATCGGTTTTGAAAACCACCCCATGGGAAGATGTTCCCCCCCCCCCCTCCCCACTATTTGATTTTACGGAGGTCGGGTGTCCGGTGAACTAAAAAAAAAAAACCTGTCTCCCTTTCAGCACGGATGAAATTGGGCGCCCCTCCATTGTAACATCCAGCCCCCCCCCCCCCCACTCGTACACTTGAATTGTCGAGCTGGCTTTAATTGTTTTGTCTCTACTTTAATACAATATTATTTATTATAATTAATTAATTAAGCAAAATATAACCAACCTCACGCTAAAAATGGCTTTTTCACCAGAGAGGAACACTCAAAACATGGAAAACCCTCAGTTGGTGCAGAAGTGGCTGTAAAACTGAGGCCGCTGCCTTAAATAACATCTCGATTTTGCTCATGAATATGCAAATTCGTATGATGAGCATATAAACAAGAAAGGCCCGAAAACCCTGAAAGCAAGCAATACAAGATTTGAAAATCAGTTGAAGTTGAATTGAACACAAGGCCAAGGACGCATTTCAATGATTGCAGTGGAAAAGAAAATCTATTACATGTGCATGTACTTTGTAATGATTATGCCACCTATTACTAATGCCGACACAATGGAAAAAGATATGCAGACCGGTAAATATGCAAATTTAGCTTACAAACACAGCATTGTACTTGTTTTGTGTTTGACAAGGTGTGCAGAAAACATTGTACGTCTGGTAAAAACTTCTCATAAGTAACTGCAGCAGAGGTGGAAAATGAACAGTGACGAAAGCAATGACATTAGGGAAAACACTAGTAACTTAGTAAGACTCACAAGATATAACGGTCGCAAAATAGAATCTCAAAAAGAACATTATCTGACAATGATCGTCTGGGGGGAAAAATGCTGTCCAGCCTGCGTCTGCGCTTCGTCTGGCCTATGATACTTTACATACAAGGACAGCCCTTACCATGTCAAAGTCACATAACATTTGGTAAGTTAAGTTCATTGTTAGTATGAAATCAATCTAATGCAACATTGATGAGCAGGGGTTCGCTAGAGAAGGGGGGGGGGAGCGTTTTGTCTGCAAAATTGTCCTGTCGGCAAAATCGTATGAATATAGACTTCCAATTGTCCCTTCCGTTTCTAACAGTGCCCCATAAGTCAAATGCTGACCCCCCCCCCCGGCAACCAAGAATAAATTCAGGTGCGTATTTGCCTGCAATCGGGGACCCCTATTGTCCCTTTTTGTTTGTACTTCTAACTTTTTAGGAAGACCTCCCATATGTTTTGTACACGAATCCAAATAGGGGACCTCTCGGTAATTGGGGACCCTATATTGTCCTCTTGTTCAACGTCCCCTATTGAATGTAGAAACAAACTCACCCACACACACCCACGTTTGTTTATGGTGTATAATCGAGGATTTTCTATTGTTCCTCTTCCCTTTTTTGGCAACAACTCTCATTGGTTTTGTACACGTTTTCCAACCGAGGAGTCCTCGATTTGGTTTCTGTCCTCGATTCATCGATGATGTTGCACCGTGTGTGTCCTCGATTTACACCATAAACAAACGCACATAATTATTTACCTTCCAATGTTTTTCATGATTTCCATGGATGTCCGTTTTCATTTTGCGACGGATAAAAACCCAAAATGCCTCTAAACCTGTTTTCCAGAGAGGGTGAAACCGTGTGCAAGTTCACAAAATGTTCACACTTTCTGCACGGTGGACCTATTTTGTTCACAGGTCCACAAAGAGTATGCATTAGAGCAATTAGAGCACACCTTCACACAGTCTAGCGACGCCCGTGTGAAATCTAACTACAGAATTGCCTTCATAATGATAGAAATGCCAACCACCAGGAGAGCTGCATAATCGACTCTCAGCCGATTAGAGCCGCCATCGGCGTTTTCCGTCAGCACAGCAACGATGCGCACAGGACCGCCACTCCCATCCCCAATTTTCATCGGCAGTGCATAGGCCGTTGCACCTGTGGTCGGCAACAAGTCCACGTTGGCCACATTCTCCATGCCGAAGATGTTCTCCTTAAGCAGGACCTCGTGAACCGCGAAGTCCACCTGGCTCTGGCCGGACTCGAGAGAAGCCGAGTCAATGCCAACGCCGCTGACTTGTGTGTTACTAACCAGCCAGGTTGCAGCAGCCTCGGAGATCCCTGGAAAATGCAGCAATGAATTGCCATCTGCGTCTAAGTAGTCATCCTCTCCCGCGTAACCATAATACGCCAGCCGGTTGGTCCAATGCGCTCCGTAGCCGGTATAGACGAAGAGCAAAGCGCCGTCGGGAATTGGTCCGTTGGCAGACACCCAGTCGGTCAGATCGGCTGGTGACAGCTGGTAGTCGGCGTTTGCCGCAGCCTTGGCTGACACGTCCACTCTCACAGCGGGACCAACGAGGTTCCTGGCAGGGATTTGGTCAACTCGCCATTTGCCCTTTGCCGCGTGCGCTGGGGCGTCCATATGTGTACCAAAGTGTTCTGCAGTGCAAAATTTGTTACCTTCCAACCTGTTTAAAACAAGGTAAACTTTTCTTGAAAGGCTATAACAACACAAGGAAACTGAACGTACATACACTACACTGCAGGTCCACAAAATGGCATCATTTATAAGAATCAAAAGTTACAATGGAATGGTTCGTTTGTTTTTATGTATTGTTTTTGTTTCCATTCGTGGGGGAAAAAACAAGCTATGACCTACTTTTGATTCAGTCATTTAAGATTCTCCTCAAATTTGCCATCTTTTTTTTTTAGAACCTCGCCCTGTCCTCTTTTGAAAAGCGCAGCTTTAGGAGAGCCAGAACAAGAATTTAATCATGTCATCCAGTTTTAAGCTGTCAGTCACAAGCTATAGAGCTATTGCATACAGCAGCCATCTTTAGGTGTGTTTTGTTATGATAATTCTACGATGAATGAACGAGAAGTCTATTTTGCGTATTCCGGCTGCATAAAAGGACACACGTCAAAGATTATTGCAGTGCAAATGATATAATCGAACGAACCGTGACGAGGAATTCGTTGTTATTGTTAACCCGTGAGTTGAGTTGTAAATTAATTTCTATGTTTGACTTGTGACTGACTCGATTACTTAGGAATAAATGTGTGCTTGGCCGGTTTTAAAATAACGCTCTGTTTAAGACCGCGGTTGGAGTCTGGATTCTGATAATTACCCGAGCCGAAAGCGAGGGTAGTTATCAGCATCCAGACTCCAACCGGTTTTAATCATAGTGTTTAATACCGGCCAAGCGCATATTTAAGTCAAAACTTTTCGGTCCAAAAGTCAAGCAAGTCAAACATAATAAATTCCCAACGATTTTGTTCAACAATTTTACTGTATAGTTTCGGGTTATCTCTCTAGCTATATTATAGTATGTCCAGTCTCACGAGTAGAGTTAAACAGCTCCCTATGGAGATCAGCGCGTCGCGCGTAATGGGCGTAGTGACGCAGAACGCAGCAGTGCCGGTGTATTGTGAATTTAGGACTACACAAATGGTGGTTTGAGGGGAAGTAGTGGGAATTACTGGTCCTGAGGTGTATGTCAGCTTGACCTACACCGAGGGACCAGTAATTCCAACTATTTTCCAGAAATAAACCATGCTGTATTTGTTTTACTACACCTCATAAATATAAGTAGCCTCACTGCCTTTTTAGTAGCCTTACTGCCTTGTCGTTCTTCGTCAGTCAATGACGGAAATCTAGTAACGTTACCCGTACTCGTAGACGCCATTGTTGTTTCTGAGCTGCAAAGTTTCGTGTGTCATGGCACCAGGGTTGAAATAGTCTGGTGCCTCAGTAGTTACAATGACTACAACAACAGACTGGTTCGGTAAAGATTACAAGCCACAGACTACATGTCTAGGAGGCGGGTTCCAGAGGGAATTTTTGGTGCTACCAAAGAAAATACCGCACGGCAGTGAGCTGGATACTCACCGGGATGTCGCCACCATTTCCACTTCCCGGACACGCGGCGGAATCGGCAAATGACGTGCTCCAATTTGATCGTGAATATTTATGAGGTGTAGTAATTATAAATACAGCTTTAATTGTCGCATGTTGTTTCACAACGCAAAATATAGGGTATAAGCCATATTATCACGCTTCATTGCTAGTAATTTGGCGTTCTCGTTTGCTAAGCACATTATTACAATATTTCGCTAAGCGACGTTTTCTGTAGAATTAAGGTAGATGGAATGGAATTGAGCACCGGTGTTTAATTAACCACGATTTGTTTCTCTTATTGAAGACTGTACGAAGATACCACTCGATCCTGTCCAGTATTAACTTAGATGTAGAAGACGATGGCTTACCAAGGCGTGGAAGGCGTTGGTCCTCTCTGGAGTATTGTCAGCTCGAACGGTGTAGATCCCGGCCAACCTAGGGTTGTTACATTGTCGTACTTGTATGTCATGTCCAGGACTTCACCCTTCTTAAGTGCCGTTGCTAGCCCTGCAGCAAGCACTAACCCTAGCAGGGTCAGATGTGGTGACATGGTGGTGTGCTTCGGAAGATGTGTGGCCATTGTATTTGGATCTCAGTTCTCTGTCAAATGAAATGTAAAACTTTCTAAAACATATTTTGCGACTTTGCATTTTTGAAGTGAATTTCCGAGGGAAACATACGGAAGTTTCTTTAGAAACAGAAGAAAGGATGACAACGCGTGTATGCAGTTTTAGTGCTCTTTTATGCATGTTATAACTGCATATTGTTTTCGGTCTGCTTGCCCTCCAGAAAAGCGTGAAACTAAGGGGTTTATGTTTGTCCCTATACTGTTTGCGGAATGACTGTCTACATTCGTTCAACATTAATAAAACGCGGGGCAGAAGTTTAAAAATGGAATGGATTGGTTCAAGTCGATGTCGGCCATATTGCATTAGAGAGCGCTTGGCATTTGATCACGTAACCGTGGGTTTTGGTGTGAAAGCCCAACAGGTAGGGCAAAGAAAACAATGTTCTTTGACGTCAAACATACATATAAAGAATACCTATTATTGTTTTTAAAATCGGTTGTCACGGCAATTGTGAACATCCCAGTGAGTTAGTTTTGGTATCATTTTGATCCCGATAAATTTAATTTCATCTCGATTGGCCGAAGTGTTCCAGAGCTAAAAAATTAGGTTTGGGGTTAGGGCCAGCTATACTCTTACCAACAGTTTCCACTCCAGCTGGACAAACTTCAGTGTACACTCAAAGATTGCGGCATGCACATATGTGTTGAACGGTCTTACATAAACTTCTCGAAGGTTTCCGCCGGTAATGCCCTTTGTACCATTCCTCGTGACGGAATGTTTCAGTCAGTGATATTTGTTGGTTGTTAATAATTGCTGAATGAGTGCCAGCCAGGGGTGGTAACCATTGTCGTCATTCGATATCAAGTTTTGCCCATTGTCGACATTTTTAACAGCAAACAAGATAGGAATCTCGGCTGCGATATAATAATCGGCTAGCACGCATTTTTTCGTCGACCTGAACGAGCGTATGTAAATCACGTGTGAGAAATGACATTTATACTAGAGTAGTTTTGAGAAAATTCTCCAGAAAGTTTGTGGCGCAATTGGTTAGGTGAATGATTTTGGGTCTCGTGTGCGCTTTTGTTTGTACCCATATTTAAAACTTTTCTACTTGTTTATTATGTTTCATTGAAATAGATTTCCTCTCTTTGTTGATCTCCCTAGTCAATTACAAGTACCAAGTTCATTTATGGCATTGAAAGGTTTTTTGACAAACGGCGCATGCGCGCCATTGGTGCCATTGGTTGCAGCAGGATCCGTGGTTGCAGCAAACAGATGCCTTGTTGTTAAAACTGTGTTCTGAAATCAAAAGCTATTTAATCAATTGTTGATGATTAACACAGATTTTTTAAAAAAATGGGATAGTGTTCGTTGATAATAATCAAATTTAGAACTTGTCAGTTATGAATAAAGGAGGGTTTTGATAACCTATATAATTACGAACACAGGCCTACTGTAAATAAAAATTTGATGGAAAGCATTATAATTTAAACTTTGGATTTTTTTTAAAACTGAAACAAAACATCAACAAAACCAACTGTTTAAATTGTTTCACAGCATAAATAATAAAGATAGTGATGGCCTAGAAAATGGACTTACTGCTTTATGTTTCACTTTTAGTGTACAGAATTATGGATAAACGTCTACATAGATTACGTAATAAGTCATGTCCCGTGCATGACAGAAGCGTTAAATGAGTTGTAGTGAGTCGATCAAGAGTTAGCCATTGCCTCACAATTCAATCACAAGCCAAACCACTATAGTCAAATCACAAGTTTGCGTGTCACGAGACTAGTATAACAAGGATTAACGGTGACAAAGAATTCTGCTTTGTGTCTATTCGATTTCTTGCGTGACTGGGAGATGTGATCATTTTGATCGACTATTTGCGTAGCTTATGATGGCTCGTCATGACTTGTGATGTCTTGAAGTTGAACTGACCGGTAATGTTGAACAGCGCCCTCTGTCATAAACGTGAAACTAAATGCAGTGTGAATGTTTTCACATTACCATGTCTCATAAAGCTGAAGGTTGACTCTGCTATTTTTCTCTGTTAAATTTTATTACCGTTTTTGTTATTAATTGATACATTTTATTAATTGATATATGATGATAAAACTTCAAAGGGGTAAAGTGGGCGTCCTTTTTTTTGAAAAATCTCCCTTCCTTAATATGACCATGTTTCGATATATTAGCATTGACGGATCCAGAATGACATTTTGGAAATGCCAAGAAGACGGAAGTTTCCTATACGGCAAATTGAATTTGCCTATGCCCGCTTGATGTGCGCCCGCGCACTTGACATGTCGAGCTGGCTTTAATTTGTTTCGTCCCTAATTATGCAAACCCAACGGCTTCTGATATTATTATTAATTAATTAAGCAGAATATAACCAACCTCGCGCTAAAATTGTTTTTTTTTTCAACAGAGAGGAACACCCCCCCCCCCCAAGGATATTATCCCTATCAACCCCAAGACATGATTGATCACTCATGCATTGGTTACCACACTTTTGTGCGTGTTTCTCTTGAAAAGTACATCCAAAAGAGTAGCCTGTGGTTATGCAAAATATTGGAGGCTCTCTGAGCCGTGTCAAAAAGTTAGGGCCTAGTTGAAAAGTTAAGGAACCTAGTTTACCTGACGTTCGGTTTGTCCCAAGACTTTGATGAGGTTGCCACCAACTCGTCATCGCTTTCTTCTGATGTGGATGAGGAGGAATGGTCATCACAGGATATTTCTGAACCCCTATCCGCGAAAATTTCGTCAAGAATTTCAGAAGCGTCGGCCACGTCTGGTTTTCTGACCCGCGCGCGCGTGAATTATCGTCCAATCAGCGGCGCTATTTACATTTCAGTTGCACGTGTTATTGCCGTGTGCCATTTGGAGCTTTTGGGAACAACAGAGTATCGAATTTGTGGTACAAAGGATCACATTGGTAAAGAGACTACATGCCACTTTGAGCCCAGGTGGCACTCATGGGGCTGATAGGGTTATGTTGGCAGCCTGTGGTACAGAAGTGGCTGGAACACTGAGTCCGCTGCCTTAAATAACATCTTGATTTTGCTCATGAATATGCAAATTCGTATGAGCATACAAACAGCCCGAAAACCCTTGAAGCAGGCAAAACACGATTTGAAATTCATTAAAGTTGAATTGAACACAAGGCCAAGGACGCATTTCAATGATTGCAGTTGAAAAGAAAATCTATAGATGTGCTTTTTAATAATTATGTCACCTATTACTAATGCCAACACAATGGGAAAAAAATATTATTAATATATTATTAGTAAATATGTAAATTCAACTTACAAACACAGCATTGTACTTGTTTTGTGTTCAACAAGGTATGCAGAAAACATTGTACGTCTGGTGAAAACTTCTCATAAGTAACAGCAGCAGAGGTGGAAAATAAACAGTGACGAAAGCAATGGCATAATGGAAAACACTACAGACACACAAGATATAACGGTCGCAAAACAGAATCTCAAAAAGAACATTATCTTCAAACAATGATCGTCTGAAAACAATTAATTGCTGTCCAGCCCGCATCTGCGCTTCGTCTGGCCTATTGTGCTCTACATAATTATTAAGGACAACATAAACATTAAAGTAACATAAAATTTGGTAATTTAAGTTCATTGTTAGTATTTGGTAATTTAAGTTCATTGTTATTATGAAATCAATCCAAATCAACATTGATGAGCAGGGGTTCGCTAAAGAAGGGGGGGGGCGTTTTGTCTGCAAAATCGTCTTGTCGGCAAAATCGTGTGTATAACGCACTTCCCTTTCTCCCTTCCGTCTCTGAAGGCGCCCCATATTCAAATGCTGTTCCCCCCCCCCCCAAGGCAATTAGGAAAACATTAATTCTTTGATCATCCTTCCAGTCAGTCGGCAAGATCCTCCCCCGCCCCAACACCACCTTCAGATTGGTCTAGCGACGTCCGTGCCGAATGTAACTACAGAATTGCCTTCATAATGATAGAAATGCCAACCACCAGGAGAGCTGCATAATCAACTCTCAGCTGATTGGAGCCGCCATCGGCGTTTTCAGTTAGCATGGCAATGATGCGCACAGGACCGCCACTCCCATCCCCAATTTTCATCGGCAGTGCATAGGCCGTTGCACCTGTGGTTGGTAATAAATCAACGTTGGCCACATTCTCTAAGCCGAAGATGTTCTCCTGAAGCAGGATCTGGTGAACCTCGAAGCCCACACTCGGGCCGTAGTCTAGAGAAGCCGAGTCAATGCCAACGCCGCTGACTTGTGTGTTATCCACCAGCCAGGTTGCAGCAGCCTCGGAGATCCCTGGAAAATGCAGCAATGAATTGCCATCTGCGTCTAAGTAGTCATCCTCTCCTGCGTAACCATAATATGCGAACCGGTTGGTCCAATGCGCTCCGTAGCCGGTATAGACGAAGAGCAAAGCGCCGTCGGGAATTGGTCCGTTGGCAGACACCCAGTCGGTCAGATCAGCAGGTGATAGTTGGTAGTCGGCGTTCGCCGCAGCCTTGGCTGACACGTCCACCCTCACAGCGGGACCAACGAGGTTCCTGGGAGGGATTTGGTCAACTCGCCACATGCCTTTTGCCGCGTGCGCTGGGGCGTCCATATGTGTACCAAAGTGCTCTGCAGTGGAAAATTTGTTCATTTCCAACCTGTTGAAAACAAAGTAAACTTTTCTTGAAATGCTAACAACTCAAGAAAACTGAAAGTACATACAATACACTGCAGGTCCATAACTAACTGCCTCTGTTATCTTTTTACCATCATTTTGAAAAAGGTGAAACTGAAACTTACAATAGGTCGTTTTTGCTTATTATTTTCCTTTCCATTCGTGGGGAAAAATAAGGTATGAGCTCCTTTTGATTTAGAGCATTGTTTGACTTGTGACTGATTCTATTTCTACATCTTTGACGCAATGCAAAAACAGGGCAAAATACTGAGTATCACAAGGAAAAATACAGGCTATCGGCCATAATCACGCTACATTGCTAGTAACTCGTTCTCATTTGCTTAGCACATTTCGCTAAGCGACGTTTTCTGAAGAGTATAGCTCGATGGAACTGAGCACCGGTGTTAATTAACCACGATTTGTTATTTCTTGTTGAAGACTGGACTGAAAGATGCCACTCGGTCCAGTCCAGTATAACCTTAGATGTAGAAGATAGTATCTCACCAAGGTATGGAAGGCGTTGGTCCTCTCTGGAGGATTGTCAAATCGAACGCTGGAGATCCTGCCCAACGTTGGGTAGTGACATTGTCGTACTTGTACGTCATGTCCAGGACTTCACCCTTCTTAAGTGCCGTTGCCAGCCCTGCAGCAAGCACTAACCCTAGCAGGGTAAAATGTGGCCATTTGACGTGCTTCGGAAGATATGTAGCCATCGTATTTGGATCTCAGTTCTCTGTCAAATAAAATGTAAAAGTTTTTAAAATCATTCTGCCGATTTTTTGATTTAATACCCTTCTTAAGAGGACAAACTGGAAAAATGTCCTTAAAAAGAAAGAGGGTGCTCTGCCATTGTATTTAAATGTTCATTGCTCTGTTGTATTGAACAAAACTTGCTCCACTACTTAAAAAGCTGCGATTTTAGCATGCCATCTCGCAAGTAGTAAATGCTGCATTGCATTTGAGTTTGCATTGACAATTGAAATTGTTCCTGCCAGAGCTTAAAAACGGTGGACGAAAAGGCGACAATAATCTATGTCACCGCACGAAATTTATCGACCGCTTATTATAAATATAAGTTGACATGACCTTTTAGCCCTTGAACGTGAATTATTATCAGCAATGTCAGGTTGTTGTTTTGTTACTGACGCAGACAGCCAAAGGTTGAGGATGTGCTGATAAGATGGATAGCAGAGTTCACTCCGCGTATAGCAAAGTTCATACCAAAGTACAAGGCTTGACGGTCTCGGCATCTCGTTTTTAGTAGGTACAGGTCACAGTGCCAACAAGGGCGGATCCAGAACACAATTTCTTGGGGGTCAAAAAAAAGGTTGGTCCCCCAAAAGCGGGTCCAACAAATTACGGTGTGGTGTTCAGGGTCCGGTTTTTTTTTTTTTTTTTGTGGATTCTACACGCTCTGTGGTGCGATCTGAGGCAATTTCTGACCACTTTAACCATTATCTTTTTGGAAAAGATGATGGTGTACGCAGTGCCTGTCTTTCTTGCGACGTCACTTTAAACAAATTGGGTTCGTTTCGGGGCGGGGAGGGGGAGGGTTGGGCATGGCCCCCCTTGCTCCCCCCCCCATCCACCCTTGGGTGCCAATTAAAGTCTATAGTAGTGTCTGTTTTCTGTTATGGGTTTCTCTACATTGAAAATTAGCCTGCATATTGCGTGTGTATAGACGAGGAAGTCGGTTTGGTCGACAACATTTCATCAATTCGGGATCGGAGGTACAGTTTTTGGAAATCATCCTGTAGGCATATCTGACACTGAATTTTTTTTTTTTTAAGTGTTAATCTAAAAGTATTCGTCATCATGGGCACACATTTAGCACAGAGCGAATACACACGTCTTTAGGACCAACATAAAAGTGATGAGTTTAACAAGTGCCTATTATGTTGACACTACATTGGGTCTTTTCAGAAGCGGTTTGGGGAGGCGAATCATATACCCCTCCCAAATCGTACTCGCGAAATATGATTCGGTCGATTTTCCTAAAATTTGGTGAGATCACCAGATATGCTTGAACATGACTTTGGCACTGGCTTTCCTCAACTTCTCCGCATAAATTGGGGGCAAGATCAAACAAATAATGGAGTACGGATGGAAACAAAGGTTACTACAATTGATTTTTGGGGGCAGAAGTTATGAAAATGTGAAGGCCAATGGCCACCATCGAATACTGAATTGGTTTTGGTAACATTTTGACCCCAATAAAAAGTTAAGAAAGTTCAATTTAATGTAATCCTATCGGCCGTAACAAAGGTTTCGGCTAGGATAACGGCCAGCTAGCTACACTTACCAATAGTCTCCACTCCCGTTGGACGAACTTCTGTGCACAACCAGAGACACAATAATTGCGGCATGTGTTGCATGGTCTTTTATATCTTCGGATGTTTGTTTTTTTGCTAGGACTGCCCTTTGTACCAATACTCGTGACTACAGTGACCGTTTTAGCCGATTTTCGGCTAACTTTGATTTTTTGTTAAAAAACGAGTTTGACAGAAAATTTGACAGAATGGACTTTTTTGGCAGATTTCTGGCAGAATTCTGCAAAAATGGTTATTTGACAGAAAAACATAGTAAATTATAAAAAAAAAGATCCATTTGTTTAAAAAAGCTTCAATCTTTTTAAACAAACCCTTACATAAATGGGACAGGCTGGCTTACTGGGAACCGGAATTTGTCGTGGCGCAAATTAACCGCGTTTTGCCTGAAATTTACGCACTTTCATTACATCTTGATGTGACTATAGATTGTTTACAATGTCATTTGAACCTTATTTAAGGCAACTCTACAACATCTGCATGTGATTTTAAGTGTTTACAGTGTATTTCGAGTAATTCTGGGGAATTCGGCAGATTTTTGATAAATCTGACAGATTTTTGAAGTGCATTAGCAGAATTTAGCCATGACCTTACGGTCACCCTGCTCATGACCGGATAAAATTAGTCAGTGTTTTTTTGTTGTTGGATGTTTTCTTCTTGCTTTGATATACATTTTAAATGAGTGCCAGCCAGGGATGGTACCAATTGTCGTCATTTTAGCAAACAAGATAAGGAATCTCGGCTGCGAACTATTAATCAGCTAGCACGCACTTTTTCCCTGCAACCTGGTACCGTCATTAACCTGAACGAGCGTGTGTAAATCACGTGAGAGATGTAATATTAGATTATGAGTGTTCATAAGGTGGAATTTGCGTCGGGGTGATGTAAATCAGTAACAGGTTTTGCCGTTCACCGACGTCACGGTGTCATGGTGTGTTACCTCTCGAGTGAAAGTAGGAACAATCGCTCGACTTGGACTCAAACCCACGACATCCTGCTTTCTAGTGTAGACGTTTTACCACTCGACCACCGAGCTAATGGGATCGGTTGGCTGGTTCGAATCTGTTGTACATGCAGAATTCGCAGGTTATCGCAACTTTCACTCGGGAGTTAACAGTCATACTTGAGCATACAGTGTGTATACACGTCGAAGAATTTATAGTAGTTTTAAGAAAATTGTCCAGCGACTTTGTGGCGCAATAGGTAAGGTGAGTGGTTTTGGGTCTCGTGTACGCTTTTGTTCGTACTCATATTTAGAGCTATTCTATGCTTGTTTATAATGTTTTCTTTTTTGAACTCCCTAGCTAGTCCCAAGTACCAAGTTGAAAGATATTTTGACAAGCGGCGCATGCGCGCCATGGTTAGTGACGACAATTGGCTGCAGCAAAAAAAACCGTACAGATGCCTTTTCGTTGAACTGTGTTTGTTGAACTGTTGAACTGAAATTATAAGCTACTCAGTCAATAATATTGTTAATGATTAAACACAGGTGATGTGAAAAAAATGAGACCGTGTTCGATGATAAATTTATCAAAAATTAGAACAGATCAGTTGTGACTAAAGAAAGATTCCGGTAACCTATATCTTTACGAACGCACCGAGGCCTATATCTTTACGCCCACTGCAAGTAATTACGCAAACTGCAATTATTGATTGAAAGCATATACAAGACACAGCATGCGTGTTTTCTTAAAGGAAACATGCAGTGGAAATTCAGCTCATCTTTTGTTCATGCACATTACTACGTGTTGCAACAATTCCTACAAGATCGTAATACTTGTTTTCATTGGAAGTGACAAGAAATGGTAGTTTTTTTCAATTATAAGTAAATCCTTTCATCAATACATGTAAGAAGGCGCTATTTGCTTTTGTCACAAGCGTACTCCTTGTCAAAAGTGCATATGAACCGTACAAAAATTAGTCCTTCAAATCCCACCAAAAAAGTTTTGGAGAAATATTGGCCACTGCTATTGTCCAAACAAGCTGTTTAACATGATAAACAAGTAAAAAGTGGAACGTACTCCAAGAAAATTAAGAAAGTTGGATATATATTTGTACACAAAGCTATGGAGACACTATAAGACACTAAATATGAAAATTTAATGAGCATAAAAACTAAAATGTTGAAATTTCTCCCTTTTACTGCTACAAAGGAGGTAGAAAGTCATATTTACATGGCAAGAAAGCTGTTTTAAATGTATGTAAATAAATCCTATTACATATGTTCCCTTTAAACAATTTAGGATCAGCACCTTACTTCTTCTCGCAAAGTCTTAGAGAATCTGGTCAATATGAAGACAATATGCGTTCAGTCCTTAGTCTGTCGGCTTAGTTGGGCCAAAAGTCGCCCTCGGATGATTTGTTTCGACATTTTTAGTTCGGTGATTGACCTCTCATGGCAACAATTTATTTTTGTCCAGTTGTGGTTAGCCCATGTATGAGGAAACCACAGGCCCTGAGCCCTTGCGTTAATTCGCTGGTGTATGGAGGCAACAAAAGGACATGGAACTCGAGAACTAATTAGATGCAATGTTTTATTCAAAAGCACGGACATACACAAGCAATTAAAAAAACCACCCGAATATCAATTATACACCATTAACAATAATTGTAAAAGGCATGAACGCTTAAGACAGAATTCATATTAGTAGTGGAGGTAGACTTCTTAGTACGGTTTGACCTTGAGCCTAGAAATATGTAAAGGTCACATAAATATGTAAATATGGAAATATGTAGATATAAATATGAATGAATGGGGTTATGAAATTCCGGGCAAAGTTTGACCTAATGAATGGATGGGATGAATAGGGAATAGGTGTGGGTATAAGGAACCGGGTACAGTTTGACCAATTCTATGGGAAAGATTGCATAAGGTATGGAAAAATATATACATATTTTTATGGTACATTTGGATCTTAGCCCGAATATGAGTTTCATACGTTAGTCCCTGTGAACGAACAGCCGGTCGGATCTTTAATCCCCCAACAATAGACGGGAGAGGGCGCGTGCCAAGTCAGCGCACTAGTATTGTTACGAAGTTAATCCGATCGATACAAAAAGTAATTGGATTTCCGAACGCTCGACAGCAGAAAGCAGCGATAGATGGCAAAAATGAATGTTGCGTTGATCAGACTGAAACGAGTACGATTGTCTATTTGAAGAATTATTTTAAAGTCATTTTTATTGGGTTTATGGGTATTGTGCACGTTGCGTTTTCCAAGGTATAAACAAACACTCACCGCAGCATACTTGCAGGGTACAGCCTGTGTCGGCCATGGGGGTATATGATAAATCCACGATCCATAATCCATGCGTCTGTACGGAGACCGGTGGTCGATCACCCCTCGATGATCGCACCGATCCTGGAGCAAATAAATAACTCCGTCCGTGCGCCTATATTCCTCTTGTTAATCGATACAATACCAATGGCACTCTTCTACACTGCCACCAGAATCATCCAAGTAAAAATATATGTTTGTGCGCGGTGATCGTAGAAAAGGGAAGGTTTTGGCATCAGCCAGAGCAAATGCTAGTATACATGCACACTACTGTATACACGCCGTCCGATCAGATAGCGCTCAAGTTTTCTTAATCCGTGACGGCTAAATTATCGATTAGGCTCTATAGTCTGCAGAGGCGCGTACAATAAGGAATGGATTCAGTGGTTTAAAGCCATAACAAAACGTGCGGGTATGTGGTTTTCAAGGGAACTACGGCCTGGAAAGTGCCCGATTAAGTGTATAGGAATAACACAACCAGCATTGTGCATTTTGTAATATTTCGTACTAGAACGACCCCAAACCAAGCTATAGCCTATCCATAGTTAAAAATTCAGTCGTAACGTGGTAAAAATGGTGCCCCTTTAACGCTGTCTGTACAGGAAAGCACCGAACACTAGTTGTACCTCCGTGCCGGATTTGTTTACAAAATCGAGGATGACTGGGTTTTATCTACGACCATTTTACGGGGGTTATTTAGAGGGCGTGTCCAAGCGCTAATTTTATGACTGAGAGTAGGCTTTTCCGATTGATAAGACAACACAAACAAAGAAAAATACAACTGCAGAAAGTATATACGATATGACATTATTGCTTTATTGACGTCATTTCTCATTAAAACACTCGTGTTTTTATTTGTCTGTCCCAATGTATTTCTTCGCAATTATATCGTCATTGTAATGTTGACTAGTCTTTAATCGTCACTGTCTTCCTCGCTGACGTCTTCTTCATCTTGATGGAACAATCCGTCAAATTTCATCTGGTGTTTAGGCATAATTCTGCCGAGAGCCTTTTGTACGCTAATGCCCTTATATATTTTTTCTTCGAGATTGTCCACAATATCTTGATGAGTATCGTTATCTTTCAGATGTAGGTAGCTTGACAGAAAATCCCTGTACTTGTCAAAAAAGATTTGCTTGACTGCCCAGAGGGTCTTCCTATCGGCCTTTTCCTTGGCCTGATCTTCACCCATACCCTCGTTGATGTACTTTTCATGTTTTTCACTCCACATTTCACGAGTCGCTTCTTTGGACTCTTCCAACCAGTCTTGGAAAGTAGCATTGTCTTCTAATTCAGAACTAGACTCATCTTCATCGTCATCTTCTACCTCCGAGTCCGTTTCCGAGCCCGATTCATCCACGTCAGGATGATCAGATTGAATAACCTCAATTTCAGAATCATCGTTAACCCCATTCATTTCAGATTCATCTTCAGCATGAGCGTTTTCGGTATGTCGCCAGAGATTATATCTCCGTCCAAAGCTTTTATCACACTGGTTACAAGCATGGGGTTTGACTGCAGAAAAAGTATTCATGTTGAAGTTATAAAGGCTGATTCACGAATGACAAGAAACAGATGAATTGGTTTAATATATATTGTGCCGAGACCTGTCTGTTTGAGCTCATCCTGCTCTTTTCCCTGCTCATCCTGCTCTTTACCCTGCTCATCCTGCTCTTTACCCTGCTCATCCTGCTCTTTACCCTGCTCATCCTGCTCTTTACCCTGCTCATCCTGCTCTTTTCCCTGCTCATCCTGCTCTTTACCCTGCTCATCCTGCTCTTTACCCT